GCCCTTCTCTTTGTACTGTGATGTAAATTGTAGCAACAGTGATTGAATAAATTCAGTGTCCCCCATTCATGAAATTCCTTTTCAGGTTATTTCTGAAGTTAAAACTTCTTCTTTCACATAGCTTCAGCAACCTATTTTAACTCTTTCAGGCACAGAAATTATATTACTTTTTTTACTCAAGCGTCACAAAAAATTAAAATATAGCTTTTGTGAATTATAATGATTTTATTGTAAAGAATACTTAAAACTAAATACATTACAGCTGATTTTGTGACCGTGTGTTAGCTCACAGACTCCTGGGGGGGTGTGGTACAGGGTCTGTAAAACTATGGCTGAAGGGAAATGATTGTTAAATAATTTTTAAATGTAAGTACTTAAANAAAAGTTGTGTGGACAATGTATTCCGTAAATCAAAATAAGTCAATTTAAATCAAGTTACCTATAGACACAAAATTCAAAGATACCGATTATTTTATTTAATTGGAACAATCGTTGTACCTTTAGGATACTCATTTGTATAAACTTTTTTTCTTATTTTTGTGTATAAAATCACCCATTCAAATATGAAAACGGAATTTTCGAACATCCTGAATTTAATTGAACGAAGAAGATTTATCTTTTTTATTCGAAACTCATAGCAAATATCAAAATTTCACAAGTGTTAAAATTTTAGAAGGGAATTTTGTATTGAAATGTAAATGAGATACAAAGGAACAAACCTCTGGCCAAAAGAGATGTCTCTTTTGAAAATTATATAAAAATACATCATTTCAAATACCAAACTGAAAAGGCTGTATCTATCTCAATAAAAGTTGATTTTTGGATAAAGGTAAGTTGATCTGAACAGATTTGTTTTACTTTTACGTGTATTACGTATTTCAAAGACACCTTGTATAAACTTCGTTTTTCTTATTTTTTACCAAATTGCAATTTAACTTTCATATTATTATTTTTTATTGTACCATTACCAGTAAAGTTTATACTTTTATGGCATTTCCTATTTTATTCCGCCAAATTTTAGAACAGCTTTCAGTAGGTATGGGATAAGGTTACTACTAGCGCCAAAAATACGAGTGGCTAAGAAAATATACCTAGAATTCCTCCAACTAGCACATATTACCATAACTTGTTTATTCCACCAGTTTTAAGTCGAATGATACCTGTTTCTCCTTTAAAACACACTTATTAAATTTGACCCTGAATTATAAACACTAGGTGTTATTGTCGATTCGCAACGCTCTATGAGAAACAGCCCACAGCTTAAGTAATCAAATCACTTAACCTATATATACACGTATCTAAGCAGCGTTTTCTCCGATTATTTAAACAATAGACTCTTAACAATAGCGCCTGAAATTTGTTAATATTATGTTGACTCGTTTGGTGTTTCTTTCATTACATTTTAACGTAATAATTTACGTTTTTTTATAATATCTCGCACACAAAAGTTTCTGTAAGCGGGAAGTTTGTGCAACAATAATTGTATTTAATATGTTTATGGAATATACAGGGTGTCCTGAAATTCATGCAACAAAATTTGGTCACAGATTCTTAAGACAAATTTAGGGAACCCGTATTTTTTCTTTTTGTCAACTGGCCCCTTTTTTCGGACACACAATCCTGTTGTACGAGAATCACTAAATTTGGTACACAGGGATTTTATGACATGTGGAATCTGACGTTTTTTGGCGGGGAACCCCCTTAACTCTTTCAGGCACAGAAATTATATTACTTTTTTTACTCAAGCGTCACAAAAAATTAAACTATAGCTTTTGTGAATTATAATGATTTTATTGTAAAGAATACTTAAAACTAAATACATTACAGCTGATTTTGTGACCGTGTGTTAGCTCACAGACTCCGGGGGGGGGTGGTACAGGGTCTGTAAAACTATGGCTGAAGGGAAATGATTGTTAAATAATTTTTAAATGTAAGTACTTAAAAAATTCTGGTACAAAATATGTACCACCAAGACCTGAAGGAATAAAAAACGGTGGTACATTTTATGCACCACTGAGACTGAAAGAGTTAAGAAATGATCGTAAATTTTTCACACTGTTACAATTTTATAAAACACTTTTTGTACTTTACTTAATCATAAATTATATTAAATTGCATTGTGGGTAATAAACATTTTTCAGGAAATATGGAATCTTTAAATATCCATCAAAAATAAATATAACTTTCATTTTATTTCGTTGACGTTTTCTGGCGTAAAAATTATATTACCATAGAATTGTGTTGTGTTTTCGTAAAATAGAATGTCAAGATACAAGTAGTGCATGACAATGAATAAATGGAAACGTCAAATCTGGTCATACAAAGTTGGTGGTACGGTAGGTAAACTCTCCAGTTTCTTAATGAAATACGTATCATCTTACACCCGACAATGATAAAATATATTACGTTAAAATTGATGGCAATTTATTTAACTATAAAACATTTTTACCGCAATTTCCTTTTTATTCTATTGGGTATTTCTGCTACACTGAAAAAAATAATAAATAACCCTTTAAATCTCTCTAAAAAAGTAAATAATCACTATACCTATCACAGTTTACTATTCGAAGAACTCTTATGTTTTCGATCAAAACTTCTGTTCTCAAATCGACTTAAAAATTAAATGTGTATTTATATACCTTCTAGATCATATAATATTTATTATATCATTACTTACCTCGTCGTTGAGTATATTCAACCAATTTTACATATTTTAGGCTAAATTAAATTTATTAAATCAACCTGTTATGGTCCTTATGCTGCATAGGGATATTTATTTAAAAAAATTTCTTTTCAGTGTCGTAGAAATGCCTAATCAAATAAAAAAAGTAATTGAAAATACCACAAATACATAATTACAGATTGTGATTCTACAAATAAAACTTGAAGATCCATTGTAAATGTAATATTACTTTGTGATCATATAAAACAGAAAAATATTTCACAATGTAATAATACATTTTCTACAGTAACTACAGTGTATTTTTTATGTCATATGCATTTTGTTTTAAGAAGATTGTTCCAAAAATGGATATCTTCTTTATAATACTATGATTTACTAAAGGTGTTTTGACATATCTAATATATTTCAATTTTCATAAGTGTAAATAAGAAATGTAAAATTCACATCAATTTCAAGACATTATTTAAAAAAATGCTCAAATTTTTACAAATCTAACATTGCTGTAACATATTTTTGATATTCTTCCTACAATACTTACGTTATCTATATGTAAGTCGTAGGTTGAACAAATATTTTTATTTCTCATTATACTACATTGTATATTTATTTTGTGACGGTTAATTTTGCAAAACTCGCTAAAGGTACTCATTAATTAAAATTATTCACATTACATTATCCACGATAAATTATGTTACAAAATTTTTGTATCATGACGATAAATCAAGTGCATACCTACTGCACTCAGGGCACCAAAGTGAATATCAGCAGCCGACTGCCTCAGGAGTGCATCTTAGTCATAATATTTGCAAGCAGATTAGGCGTATTTTTACAGTCATCTACATAGTAAATTTCCTACGTTCAATAATTTTACAACATAAAAGTGCATTTCACATTTGCAAATTATTTTAACTTAAATTTTTAGATTTATTTTGACATTTATCAGTATAGTCTTACAAAATATATTTGTAAAATTATTAGCCCTTGTTTTCAGAGCATAGAAACACTTCAGTTAAAAAATGTACTCTAATCTGTGAAAAATGTTTCAAATGATTAACATTTCTTATAGTGTAGAAACGGATAACTCATAAAATTAAGTTGCTTGATACTAAGATGAAAGATATTTAAAAATTATAAATATATGTATATTACCAGTATATGTATACCTATAATCATTGTTTATATACGTGTAATTTATATATAAATTATTTATTTGTCACATTTGTAACTGTATTATATTTAATATTTCCGCACTGTAAATCATGTCTGTCCGAGATGATTCACATTAGAAACGGAAATGTAATTAGGATGGAAACGTTTCCAATTAGGCTGTCAAATACATAGAAAAATTTAATGAATTAGGCAACAAAATAAAGTGACAATTTAATTAATCAAACGTTATTTTGTAAGAGAAAAAGTGAGATTTATAATTATTCGAAATATCTTCCTGTACAGAAAAGATTGATATTTATCCGTGCTTTAAAAAAATTAAATGAAACGCAAACTTTGTGGAATATAACAGAGGAAAATAGAAAGTATTGCATTCACAAGATACGAATAAGTTATAAACGTATTTTTTTTTTGTCAAAAAAAAAAACTAATACTTTCTATTCTAATATTAAATGTGTTTCCTATTCTCCTTAATTTTTTCGATAATAAAGGAGTGTACAGATCTAATCTAAGACTCTACAGAAAATCTGCAAATGCGCATCACGATACTATATGTAGTTGTGCTCAGGCATATGAACAAATTTCCTACTTATATTCTACGATAATTCTCGCCACATAATTGAAAAGGCGCAATTATAGTCCGGTTTCCCGGCCTGAATAATGTCTGTCATTGATATCGCACTCTTAGTTGATGTCCAAACAATGCCTGGAAAAAAGTTTCACGCGTGGACTCTATCGGCTTTTCGCGGGGATAACATCGGAATTTTCCAGCATTTTTTATTCCGTCTGCCGAGGGTTTCACGGCCTGAAAAACGTCTGTCATTGGTAGTCTGCTCTTAGTTGAGACCTAAATAATGCCTGGACAAAGTTTTGCGCCTGTACCTTATCGGTTTTTCCAGGTTTTTTTTTCTGGGACTTTGAATCCCGTCTGCCAAAGGTTTTCCGACCTGCTAATCGTCTGCCATGGATATACCGCTCTTAGTTAAGGTCTTAACAATGTCTGGAAGAAATTTTTGCCCTTGTACCTTATTGGTTTTTCAGGCACATTTTTTCATCATCGAAAACCGGCCGCCATTATAATATCCGACTTATACAGTAATAACAAAAAAATTTATTTTGACCTATAATAAAAAAACTTAATTGTTTTCAGGTTCACTCCGACTCCGACATTCAACTGAACTGCGGCACTGGTAGTTTTAAAAGATTCGATTCCGTAGATAGGGATTTTAGGATAACAGTAGCCTCTACTAGCTTTATGGGTGATGGATGCGGGACCAATTACGAGGGAGAGACCTCCATTCCCCCCCAACCCCTGAGGCCTGCACCTGTGCCTGCCATGACATCATCGCAATCTACAGAAAATTCCGTGATGACTGCTACATTCCCACGGAAGACACTCAGGTTGGTTCTATAATTATATTTTGATTAGCAGCAATTAGAATACGTCACTTGCTGCAATTAATAACGCCAGTTGTTACAATTTTTATAATTAATTTTTTCAGATATACGTACGTAGTATTCATTTAGTGCCGCCTGAACAAACCCGAAGTTTTTAATACCCTCAGTACTTAATTATTAAAATTAGAGGAGAACAACACAGAGCTATTACCCTGCACGACTTCGCAAAGCCCTTTGACTGAGCTCTCGTGATTTAATTTTTAATAAATTAAGTTATTATGGTATTAGACGCACCACCCTTTGTCTCTAATTTATTTACAGGAGAGAATATCTGCGATGCCTACGTCTATAATTTCAGTTTAATTAAACACGAATCGGTATTTTAACTATCGTATACAGAAAAAATCGAAATAGTTTTTATGAAGGATAATAAATTTTTATTTATTACGAAAACAGGATCATCTAAATTTATACCACTATATAGGAATATACTGGTTGTTAAATATTTAAAATTAATCACAGCCCGTCTTTTATTAAAATTTTACAAGCAATGAAAAATACATTAAAACTTTCACTAGACTATAATGACAACTTTTAATCACTTGCTTATAAATCTTGAATAAAATAAATATTGTCTTTTACTTCCCGTTTACCTAGTGTCAGAAAGGTTATTGAAATTATGAAATGATTTATGTATTAGAAAACTTTTATGAGCAGGTTGTTTCCTGTACCGATTATAGTTTATGAAGCAGTATATCTAGAACCGGGGTCACGAAACTAAACTCATTTGATTTACGAGTCATATTTTACAATATATTACTAATGGATCTTTTTCCATCAGCATTAAAGGAGTATTCAATATTTATTTCGCTTTTAGTATTTTCTTAATTTAAATTACAATATTAAACACAAACTAGTTAGTAAAAGGTGAACTGGTTGCCAATGTGTCTAAATTACAGAGGGTGTTAATGATATACTCTGCCTTACTTTAATAGTGGGTTCGATTTCACAAATCAATAAAAAAGGGTTTGTATAGATATTTGTGAGGAAATGATTTGTTTTCGATATACAGGGTGTCGAATTTAAAAAGAAATCTCTCATTTACCTATATAAATACATCTCAAAGTGCTTGACACAAATTCCCTTGTTGTTCTCGAGCTAGACTCTTTGGGGGCAGACTCGCTATCAGAACCCCTACTCCCGCCTTAATATTCATTTTGGTCCTGTTGTTAGTTCTAAGGTCACTAAAGGTGGAACCACTTCTCAGACTATGGTGATCCTCTTAGGCGGTCAGTACCGGTTTCTCTAATTGGTTGCATCCAATACTTTCAAACGTTTCGTCGTTCTTCACAATCGGTATCTTCAGTGGTGGCTCTGCAAAAGTTTCGTCACTGCTGATGCCGCTTGCAACCTCGTCACCGGTCTTATAGCGTCGGAGTCGTTGCATCCGCATCTAGGTGGGAATGGAATGGGTAATCCCTAATGCGTTGCAGATAACGTCGCGCACGCCTCCAGTCCTGTGGAGGGGCGTAGTAGGGTAGTAATAGCAGGTCCGCCTTCGCAGAACCTAGTTCGAGAATAACAAGAGCAGATAAAAGAATCTTAGAATATAAAACTAAGGAACTGGAATGCTATGTAACGTCCTATAAGACGTAACGTGCAATTTTTAAATTCCGAACCTACTTTTATCGCTATATGAAAAAGCATTCTACACAGTAAATACTGTTAAAGTAAAGTTGAAATAGCTGAAAGGGTTCGTTCTAATACTTTGTACAAATTGTCACAATTGAGGTTGGGAGATAAACATAAATTAAACAAGTGTTGTTCCAAACAAAAATGTATTCTAAAAGTTAATTGCTGTTTGTTTGTTTGTTTAAATTTAAATCAACAGTTGTGGTTGAAAGCAAATAGACATGGGAAAATCCAAAGCACACGCGTGGTGCAACGGTAACATATTGTATACGTAGATTCTGAAACGGTGACAAAAACATTTTATTTCGTTCCTGAAAACTGTATATTTGAAGTCGATATAAATAATTGTCTCATTGTGCAGGGTGAGTGGATGAGTCAGATTCAACGCCGGACCACAGTATATGGCATGACATAGTACTTTTGAAAATAATTAACGAAGATATGATATATTCAAACTAAATTTAACATGCATTAATATCAAGTCCTATACTCAACCATTTAACACGACTTTCATTTTAAAATATCAGCATACCCGGATTTCCGTTTGCTATGTTTAGTTAGGTTAGGGATATATTCCTTTTTAGTTCGTTGCATTAATTGGATCAAAATAATAACTTTTTATTCTTGCACTTTTTCTCTAAAATGCATCCTTGAGGAGTTATAGGCATTTTAATAATGCTCAAAATTGATTGGTTAAAATTGGTTGCTACTTTTTAGAGAAAAAAGTGCAGAAATAAAAAGTTTTTGGGTTAACACGTCTTTAATTCTTAACTATTGTAATAAAATATCGAGATTTCCACTGATTTTGAGCTAATTTTTGAGGTTAGGGAACAATGTTGGAGCATTTCTGATAGCTCCATTGTCTTCAGCGAGTGAAAATACAAGGGTGCATAAAAAAGTAAAATAATGAAATGAAAATAATCTATGATTACTAATGAAAAACACATACTTTACATATTGATTGAAGTTATTAAATAATATAAACTAGTACAAACTTTCGAGTAAGACGTATGTACTCAACCTGGACATTCAACTTTAACTTATTAGGTACTTTTAAAATTATGGCGAATGCGCCGGTGGAATGAACAGAACTCGAGGCCAACCAACATGAAAACATTTCCATAGAAAACGACACTACCTCTAGACATAATATATTCTATTCACTTTGCTACTGTATAAATGCCTTCCATTCGAATGAAGCTTCATTCAATGTTACGTACCTGTACACAGAAAAAAACATTTTGTGTAAATTACGGTTCATTCACGTTAACATCAGTAATTACATCTGCAGAATATATGAATAAATTTGAATTATTTTTCTGAATTTTGTGAAGCAGTAACACGCTATTTTCGGAAATCAGTTCAGTGATCAAAAATGCCTCAATAACAAAAATTACCAGACAGGATTGCAGTAACATAAACAAAACTGTTATGTGTAATCACTTTTTAATATCTTAAAAAGATCTTACTTCGTCTTATTTATGAGTATTTGCATTGCACCCCATAACTATCATTATTGTTATGAGGTTATAAAAATACAACGCTTACAGATTTAATTCTCCCCAGATTTAAGGAAATTTTGAAAAACGTTTTAACCCCCACTTTGAGGGGTGTCTCAAGGAGTACCGCAAACGACTTCTTTTGAGCTAGGTACGTACACCCTTTGTCGAACAACACAAGTCTTCCATTCCTAATACATTCAACTGAAAAACTTTATAAGCATTGGTTAAAGAGAGTGGAGGCTTCTGGTAGCTAAAACGGATTCAACTTCAGCAGAAAAAAGTTGATTGTGTTTTTATTTTTTATTTATATTTTCTTATTCCAATATGTGTTCTGTATCTTTTAGTATACATTTCTACTTTTAAGATATTCAAAAATGGATTCTCTATTTTTTACAATATATATGATTTTTATTACAATTACTATACCTTTATAAAAAACGATTTTTTTGTATAAATTCTGAATATAGTGATTTACAATCATTTAAAATCGACTAATGTCATCATTGCTGGTAGGGAAAGTTGTAAGACACGATTCCTAGGAAAACAATATTTTTAGGCATATTTTATAATTACAAACGCTTATTTTATGTAAAGAAAAAGTTATTGTTGCAACGAAATTTTGTAATACAATCATTTAGCTCCTTTGTCTAAAATAAATGGCATAAAAGGAATTTATAACAGGTCATAAAGGAATATCTCATATCATTTTATGTTTTGAATGTTTTAAAATGGCAAATGCTTTTAGGTTTAGAATAAGTGCATTTGCTGTACTACTATCAAGGCAACGAAACATATAAATATCATTAGATATAATCAACGATATTGTAATATACCTACTTAGATGTATGAAATGTAAGAAATTTATGTTCAAAAACTTAAAATTTGATCAGGTTTACTGCTGATTGAATTTCTTATTTTCTCCACCCTCTGACGTACATCATAATCTATCTCTTAAATGATTAATAGAGACGTATTTTGCTCCAGTTCACCTTCAAACTCAATTTATAAGGACTGTTTTAAAATGGATATGGTAATTAAGTTTTCAGACATGACAAAGACATAACAGATATAGGAGGGGATTGCTGAATTCAATTGCCACAGGCTTTTATACGGACAAAGATGTTCCCGAAAATATGAAAATATTCATTACTAACACACCTATAACATATTACTTCAAAAATCATAATTATATTATAAATGCAATGCATATTTAATCATTTTCTCTTCTTTGTTTTCTTTTGTTGGTAAAATAAATTTTTAATTCGAATTTAATTTTTCATTATCTGGTTCAATTCTAACAGAGGTACGATTTTGACACCCTTCCAGTAGAGTATGGCCCTCTTGTTACAAAACACCCTGTATAATCATAGACTAGCTGCATTTTACGAGTACTTAATTTTATCTGATATTTAAATTCACTGAATAATTCCTCTGACAAAATTCTAAGGCGATGAATGAAACATGGAGGAACCCCTAGAGAATTCTCAATTAAACAGAACTTGAAATATTGTGCAGGGATTCATAAATCTTACTCGGGCTCAACTTCCCTAAAGGAATGAAGAAACTCACCATAAATAACTTGAGAATGATCTTACCATATACGCAGAGGCTGAATTCATCTTGTCGAGTTGAATTTCAGATTCGTTTAAGGTTTAGGTATTTCAAAATATTAAAAAAAAACATAAAACAAGATTTAATTATTTTACATCATTGGGTAGTTAGGAATTAGCTATCACTTAAAGAAGTTGAGATTTTTTATGAAATTATTTCGTTATTTTGTATAAAATTACGTCTCGATCACATTAAAGAGAAAAATTCACATGGTCAGTATAATCTGAACAAAACCAGGAAAATTATGGGCAAAATATATTTCCGCCATAATAAAGCCATAAATAAAATAAAGGTTTAAACTTGTCAAATAACGAACTCATTTAGGTGCTTAATAAAACTATTTGCCTTGTGCACCTTTTATTACAGAATATTTTAACAGGACCCCAGTCTGTGACTGGCTATAAATTTATTACGGAAGTACTCTGCGTTCACGACTCAAGGCGTGATATACGGCGTCAGCGGCTGTTTCAGCATAATTTATTTGATACCGGAATATTCATAAAACTGTACTTGAAAGCTCACCCAGCCCAGAACAGCAAAAGGCGCCATCTATTAACCGCAAAAGACGCAAGGCCATAACCGAATAAGAAAGAAATGAAAAATGAAGAAAAAATAACGCATTGGGCATTTTGGGGCCTCTCACTACACTAGTATGACCACTTGATACACGCCAATGTCGAAAATTACCAAGATGATACTGCATTTTCCCCAACTTCTCTATATTAATACTTGATGGAAAATTTCGCTCCCCTATTTTGCACCCAATCAAATGATTGGCTACAAAATGAGCATTAAAATTATAATTATTAGTAACATTAAAAATACAATTGTTATAAACAATTTTAGGTTGATTTTATCATCTGTTGTATTTTGTCATGACAAGTTTTTCTCATGATTTCAATCATCTCTCTTTATTGTGAAATTATCTAAAATTTTTTCAATTTTCGTGTGGCAAATTTACTATTTCACGAGACATCTTATTTCGCAACGTCAGCATGGCTTCATGCAAAAAAAGTCAACAATATCTAATTATCTGTTTTTTCGCAATATGTTTCTGAGGTTTTGGAAAAGTTATTTATACAGACTTCTAAAAAGCCAAATTGGCCTTAACATTCTTCTTTCGGAACTAGAGAATTTTGGCTTTTCAAAGGCTAATAGAAAAAAATTCACTTTGAAATCATTTAATTTTATATATGTCATTCCACAAGGTTGCAGTTTGGGTCCCCTATTTTTACTTTTTATTAAAGTTCTTCCTTCCTAAAATCATTACTTGTGAGCATTAATTGCTGATGATTTCAAGCTTTATTCTGAAACAAGTTTAACAAAACTTAATAATAGTAACGTAATCACACAAAATTTTACTATTTATGGCTATTTGTCATTGGTAATAATGGCGTCAGTAGAGATGAAGGATTCAAAGATCATATTGATCATAGTATGCCTAGTGAATTTGAATAATATGATTTTGCAGGGACTTTACCAATGTACACACTTCCAAAACTTTGTTTTGCACTTTTGAATCATATAAAGTATATGATATCCGATGTAACATGTACATACATTGCCAAAACTTAGAAATGGTTCAAAGGCAAGTTAACATTTTTGTTTTTTTTTACAAGAGGGATCTTATCCACCTAGATGTTTTTCTACAAAATCGATTTAATTTTTAATCGTTGGAAATCAAACATAATATCATACTGATTTGATATTTATACGTCCCTTATGAATAGCAAGGTAGATTGTCCTGAACTTTTGAGCACAATTAATTATTTAATATCTTGCCAAAACTTTACAGAACAAGCCGTATTTTATCGTGTTGCGCCTCCAATAATCATAAATTTCAACAAAGTCTCCTATTCATGTGTGTCAGTTTTATAAAATAAAATTACAAATAGCTGTGGCATTCATAATGATAATTTAAATAATAATATATGTAAGTGGGCAGTTGAATTAGTTACAGTATTTTTTATTTGAATTTAGCTGTAACAGACTATTGCATAGTGTTTATTTTATTTTATTAGTTTTATTTTATATTTAAGTTTAATATAATTTAAGTATACTCATATGTACTTACTTAAGTTTGCATCACGAAATATTGTACTTTTTTCTACTAGTTTAATAAATCATAATTGTTATCATTATCATTATCACTGTTATTGCCATTGTTATTGTCATCGTATTTTTCATATCACTATTAGTATCAGTATCAGTATGAAAATCAGAATCAAAATCGCAGTCAGTATCATTATCGTTATCATTGTCGATACCGTTATCGTTATCATTATTATTATCGCTTCATTTTTTTCATTTTGTATTTCATAACTTTCTTAACTCTCTATACCTTTACATATAATTTCACTTAGCCGCTAAGCTTCGTTTAAAATGTTTTACATATTGTGCTTGCCTTGAGTACTCATTTTTTTTTAAATCTCTTTGCAAGAAACAAGCAACCCTAATGCGTCAGAAACATCCACTTATTTTATATGTCGTTTAAGTAATTGTCAGCCATACTTGAGCGTTATCATAAAAAGCATCTCCACCTGAAACCATAAATATCACTTAATCTGAAATGGTAAATCTTCTGGGAAAACAAAAATAAAAGAAGTTGAAATACGTAGTCAAAGTAAAAATTGAACTGAAACAATTGTGTGTTATTTTTGTATACATTTTATTTAAATTCTTATATTGCCATAATTAATTACTTAGTTAATTAATTGGCAAAATAATTGGGTAAAATAAGTAGTCTATTAGCTAATAAAAATTCGTTGAAAGGCTCTAGATTTTCCAATGATGCTTACATCATTGGAAAATCCAGAGCTTTGGATAAAAGCACATTTTTCTCAATTTGTAAATTATGTAGCGTTACTACATACTATAAATAGTTCCGTTCAACGTTTTAAAAGTTAGAAACTAATTTTCTCTAATAAAATAACCTGAAACATACAATGTCCAAACCGTTTTCTTCAATAGAAAGCGCATATTTTCCATCACATTTTACCGACACTAACAATAAAATACAACCGTGTGGGTAACTACCAGAGACTGAATGTGGGATGTGAAATATCGATTCACCTTTTCAGCTGTAAACTTTGTATGCATAACATCATTATAATAGACCTGGGAAATTGCTTATACTGACTTCAAACATGTCCTTTTCAACAAAGGCAAACGAGGTTATTTTCAGTGAAGACTTCTTCAACGACATGAAAGAATAAGTGCTGTTTCGAGCCAGACGGGAATCGTTCTTTTAAAACAAATAACACAAGGTGTTCGATGACAGACTGCACGTACAAAATGTGCGAAGGCGAGTCAAAATATCGCCCAAGAATTTGTGAATATACAAAGTGCTTCTTAATTTTTTTTTTATTTCTTTTTTAAGTCAGCTCATAACTGTGAGCTTTTTGCTAGTTCAATTGCTGCTAGTGAGTTAAACAATGGATTATATTTTTATAAGGCCGAAATATCCCTATACTTTTGTTTGTTGTAAATAGAGACGAGATTTTTTGCTGTTGCTAGCAAATACGTTTGTGCTTTACGCAAATATTTTGCTGGCAGTAGCTAAAATATCCAAGCAAAGCACATCACTTGGATAATTTCTTTCAGTGTAGATTTTCAACAAGACATCATATTTACCTTTATTTTTACGATACAACATCATCACTAACCATCAAAAAACGTTCACCTTCTCATCTAATTCCCGTTCTCCATTCCTAGGGAATCCTGCAAAAAACGCTGAAGCTAATAACCCAATAACGAACTCCCTTTTGTTCCAGTAACGAAGAGACAACAAGAACCATCGAGACCACATCAATATCCCCCATCCCCAGGCCCGTATCAGCAGTCAACGTGGCCAACCTGATCTCCCAGTCGTCGTTCCCCGTCTGCATCACGCCCCCGCCCAGTCCCTGCTCACCGGGAATGGCGGCCTTCATCAACAGCGGCCCCCTGAAATTGTCGGGGGTCTACGTTCAGCCCAGTCAGCAGGTTCCGTTGGCCCAATGCGAGGAGGCCGATGTCATATCGGGCGTCTTGAAAAGGGCCATGTCTTGCGATAGCATCTGCTCAGACACTTCCGTTGCCCTGGGGGACCTGGAGATGTTCAATGTAACGGGGTATTTGTGTATCGGCCTAGAATATGACAGGTATTTAATCTGATTATTTTCGACGCGCTGACAAGTATTAAACGCATCACACGTGAGGCATTTGGGACCAAGCACAAACTACGTTGCTACTACATAATTGTAAGCTCTGGATATTTCGGTTTTAGTGAACAAATACTATCTACATTCTAATTGAATAAATAAATAGTAAGATAAATAAATAGGTAAATATTTAAGTATATACAGTGTGATTCATTAACACTGGGAAAATCGAAAGCTGAAGATAATAGGTACACGTAAAATGGTGACCATTGGCCTTATCCGAAAGTTGATAGTTTTGGAAATACAGGATGTTGAAAGTAAAAATTTTAAATCGCTTTTTTGCGATTATTCTGAAAATATGTAGGTTAAGAACTTGAAAATTTGTGAAACTATATTTTTTTAAGCGACGAACAAGATGCGTGTTGCAATTTCAGCGTTGGTCATAGAGGGCGCCACTTACAACCAATTTTACCGAAAATTAGGTTAATAACTTTTTACCCTGTATGTCTAATATGAAACTTGATTCAAAACCTGAAAGAGCAATAAGTTTTCCATTAATTATGCACTCTTGTTTCATTTCGGTATCTCGATCCGTTTTCGAGAAAAATCGATTTAACGAACACTATGTTTTGATAATACGAGAAATTAAAAGCGAAACAANATAGATAAATAAATAGGTAAATATTTAAGTATATACAGTGTGATTCATTAACAGTGGGAAAATCGAAAGCTGAAGATACTTCACGTAAAATGGTGACCATTGGCGCAAATATGCCTTATCCGAAAGTTTATAGTTTCGGAAATACAAGGTGTTGAAAGTAAAAATTTTAAATAATTTTTTTTGTTGTTTTTTTCTCAAACCTTCATCTATTTTTGCTATTTTTTACCTATTTTTTGAGGTTAGAAAAAATGTGACGTGTAGCTCAAATCTGACAGTGGATTCGGATTCAACGCGTCAAAATACCTACTATAGGATATACTAGTTTGGTCAAAACCTTATTACACTTTTTTTGTGTGGCTGTATAATTGATAAAATAGATAGTCTGCATTTTGAAAAGGAATTTTTCTTCGACTCTAAACTTTCTTTTACATACCATGTTGCCGAATTAGTTGCTGCTGGGTATAAGAAACTAGGCTTTATTTTACGAAATTGCAAATGGTTTTCTAATTTGAATACTTTGCACCTACTATTCAACACTTACGTTCCATCTAAATTAGAATATGCTTCGATTATATGGAACCCTTCGTATACTGTACATAAAAATGATATTGAGGGTATTCAGAGAAGATTTTTAAAATTTTTGTATTTCAAAGAGACAGATCTTTACCCACCTAGAGGTTTTCCGCATGGAAATCTTATTAAAAGGTTTAATGTCTCAAGTCTCGAAAATAGAAGAAAATGCCATTCATGTATGTTTTTATTGCCCTTACATTTTAGAAAAGATATACTTTTCTGTTCCGTCCTTGCACACTCGAAACACTAATTTAATTCACCTTAGTACCCCGAGAACGAATATACTTAAGTTTTCTCCCTTGTATGAAATGTGTTCGAGTTTTAAATCGCTTAAATTAGATGCTTTTAATTGTAAACTTAGAGACATTAAGTCAATTTTTAATTGCTGATTTTTGGCATTGGAACATAAATTTTTGTTTTTATTGTTTTTATTTGCTTTTTTTTGTAATTTTATGCAATACCTGATCTTGTATTGTACCGTATTGTTGTTTTGTCTTTTTTATTCTCTTTTTTATACGAACTTATATGTATTTTCCTGCCCTGTAATTGGGTATCCTGTGAAACAGTGTATGTCATAAATAAATAAATAAAATAAATAAATATCCTGTGTACTACTTAATATTAATAAATTAACCACGTAGCGAATGCTGGGACCTGGTGGTGAATGTCTTGGAGGCCAAGGATCTGTGTGGCGTGGCGAGGAGGGACGACTTCCTGGACAGCTACGTCAGAGTGTCCCTGCTGCCAGACAAAGAAGCCACCATTNTTCAAGACCAAAAAGAAAAATCAAAAGGATTGAAGTCCGGACTTCTGGGTGGACAAGCAAAAATGCTTACATGGCCAATCCAGCGATTTGGAAAAACTACATTTAAATATGCACGCACTGGCCGAGAAAAATACGGTGGAGTTCACAGTTCCGTCGTGCATGAACCACATGTCTCTTCTTAAATAAAGTAGAACTTCTTCAAGCCGTGGAAGCATTTTTGCTTGGCCACTCAGAAGACCAGACTTCATCCTCTTGATTTTTCTATTTGGCCTCGAATGAAAGATATCGTTTACAAAGAATCTATTGGTTCGTATATGAAGACTTGTAGCAAAGAATACAAATCGCTGCCAACGAAATCAGACGCAATCCCAATATGTTATTTTAAACTCGAAGATCTCTCGGAAAACGTTGTGTAAAGTGTATCAGTGTCAACGGTGGATTCTTCGAACAATTACTTTAAATCATTATTACGTAGTTATTTCATTTGTTTTACTGTTAATTGTTGTAATAACATGAAGAAACACTTTGTTTCGCTATTACTTTCTCGTATTATCAAAACATGGTATTCGTTAAATCTATTTTTCTCGAAAACGCATCGAGATACCGAAATGAAACAAGAGTGCATAATTAATGGAACAATTATTGCTCTTTCAAGTTTAGAAGCAAGTTTCATGTTAGACATATAGGGAAAAAATTATTAACTAAATTTTCGATAAAATTGATCGTAATAGTGGCGCCCTCTATGAGCAACGCTGAATTTACAACACGCATCTTATTCGTCGCTTAAAAAAATATAGTATCATAAATTTTCAAGTTCCTAACCTACATATTTTCAGAATAATCACAAAAAAACGATTTAAAATTTTAATTTTCAACACCGAAACTATCAACTTTCGGATAGGGCATGTTTACATTTATGTAGTATCTGAATCACCCTGTATACCTAAGTAAAGTTTTTAAAAAAAAAGGTTTGGGGTTCGCAGCTCCTACAGGGCCTTTCTATTGTGTACGATTTCGTTGTTCAGGTTATGTTAACATCCAAAGATCCATACAATCAAAGGTCTATCTAATGCTGTCTTAAAAAAGCCATCCATCTGAAGATACATACATTCATCCACAAAATCAACCATATTAGATCCGCCATGTTGAATTTGCAATTCTGAGCTCATATTCGTAATCAGCAACCTCCAAAACCCCCCAGGACCCAATTCGGTATTCATCTGTTGATTTTTCGAAAATCTCGTCCGCCTTATTGGATCCAATATAGCATTAATCTGAAACCCCTACATACCAAAATTTTCATGATTCTATTCGTTTCTTGCAAACCTCTATTTCTGGCCGATTTTTGAGGTTAGAAAAAAATGAGGTGTGCTGTATGATTTCTAAAGGTGGCTTTGGATTCAGCAAGCCCAATTACATATAACAATGCTAAGAAATGTGAAAAATATTTTTTTTGTTGTTTTTTCTCATACTTTTTCATCTATTTTTGCTATTTTTGACCTATTTTTTGTGGTTAGTAAAAATGTGACGTGTAGCTCAAATCTGACAGTGGATTCGGATTCAACGCGTCAAAATACTATAGTATATACTAGTTTGGTCAAAACCATATTACACTTTTTTGTGTGGGCTGTATAATTGATACAAAAAATAGTCTGCATTTTGAAAAGGAAGTTTCCTTATACAACCTTACCAAATTTCCGTATATTATCGCCATCCTTTACATAACTCTAGGACAATATAGCAATAGCTTACTTCTTCTGGGGTGCCTCAAGGCTCTGTATTGGGACCATTGCTATTCAACATTTATATTAATGATATTACGTCTACATTAAATTGTATATTAAATTATTCACTTCAGTTCGCACTAATGACGACGTAGGTAATTAAACTTCAAAATGATCTGTACATCTGTAATGTCCTGGTGTGAAACAAATCAGCTTCCATAAGCAAATGTAACCATATGAGTTTTAGTAGACACCATAATCCTCTATTGTCTAAATATTTGCTTAATAACCAGAGTATTCAAAAGGGTGATAAATTGAAAGATCTTGGAGTCAACTTCGACTCTAAACTTTCTTTTACAGACCAATCATCCGAATTAGTTGCTGCTGGGTATAAGAAACTAGGCTTTACTTTACGAAATTGCAAATGGTTTTCTAATTTTAATACTTTGCACTTACTATTCAACACAGTTGTCCAAATTAGAATATGCTTCGATTATATGTAACCCTTCATATAATGTACATAAAAATGATATTGAGGGTATTCAGAGAAGATTTTTAAAATTATTGTATTTCAAAGAGACAGATCTTTACCCACCCAGAGGTTTTCCGCAAGGAGATCTTCTTAAAAGGTTTAATGTCTCATGTCTCGAAAATAGAAGAAAATGCCATTCATGTATGTTTTTATATAAACTATTAAATAATAAAATCGATTGCCCTTACATTTTAGAAAAGATAAACTTTTATGTTCCGTCCTTGCTCACTCGAAACACTAATTTATTTCACCTTAGTACCCCGAGGACGAATATACTTAAATTTTCTCCCTTGTATGAAATGTGTTCGAGTTTTAATTCGCTTAAATTAGATGCTTTTAATTGTAAACTTAGAGACATTAAGTCAATTTTTAATTGCTGATTTTTGTTTTTATTCGTTTGTTTTTTTTTTGTAATTTTATGCAATACCTAATCTTGTATTGTACCGTATTGTTGTTTTGTCTTTTTTATTTTCTTTTTTATATGAACTTATATGTATTTTCCTGCCCTGTAATTGGGTATCCTGTGAAACAGTGTATGTCATGTGTACTACTTAATATTAATAAATTAACCACGTAGCGAATGCTGGGACCTGGTGGTGAATGTCTTGGAGGCCAAGGATCTGTGTGGCGTGGCGAGGAGGGACGACTTCCTGGACAGCTACGTCAGAGTGTCCCTGCTGCCAGACAAAGAAGCCACCATTCAAACGAAAGTTTATCGCAGCACGGGCAGCCCCAGTTACAAGGAGAGATTCCTTTTTTCACTCAACCCCAGGGAACAATCGCAGAGGCTGCTCTGCTTTCACGTTTACGCTACCGACTTTCTGTCTCACACCCTCATCGGGGAGGGCGAGATCCGACTGTCGGATATCAGCCTCAGACAGCCCGTCACTACGTGGGTTACCCTTACCGACACCGGACAGGTAAGACTTCCTTAGCCTTAGCTAGGAATATTTGACCTGCCCTTGTTGTTCTCTGGCTAGACTGTATGGGGGCGGACCAGCATTCGTCTAGAGGGAGTAAAAGATAGGCGCAGCGATTTGGTATAAGAGCGTATACCTTACCGGGTCCAGTGTGTATTTGTGGTCCAAGCTATCTCAGACTCAAACTTATTTGTGTTTACATATTTATCTAGAACATCAATAGAATTTCACTTGCAAAAACCACACTTACACTAAAACAAAATTAGTTACAAATGAAACTACAATTCGTATTTCATTGTAGCACCACCAAAACAGTGATCTGAATTTTTAGGGGAACTGATTTGCTAACTAGTTCTATATGATTTTTGCCTAAAAAGATACCCTTCCTTTTCAGAAAGGAACAGAATTCGGGGAGCTGATGTTTTCCATAAGCTACTTACCCACAGCAGAAAGATTGACCGTAGTTGTAGTTAAGGCTAGAAATTTAAAATTTCGGAGCGATTCTCCAGGAGAGGCCTTCGTTAAAGTAAGCCAAATTTAAGGTGAAAATAAACAATACACAATGTTTTTTATGTTTAGGTTTATCTGATGCAACATGACAAAAAAATTAACAAGAAAAAGACCTCCACGAAAAAGGGAGAGAGGAGTCCCATTTTCAATGAAGCCATGATGTTCAGCGTCCCTGCTCACACATTGTCGGTGAGTCTATTATGCAATATTTGTTTAATAATACTAGTACAAAGCATTTACAAAACCATACTAGTAACTCTACATTTAATTACCAGTGAACAGCCAACCCCTTTCTAGAGCGTCACTTTACGCCAATGGCTTTTTGAAATATTTTTGATTATTTTGTTATAATAACTCATTTAAGAAAAAATGTTCCCGTAAAATTTTCTTAGATTTAGGTAAAATCCAAAAAAAAAATTATATTTATTTTACAATTGAAAATGCTCTTATTCCTATGAATTTTAATAAATATAAAAGGCTAAATCCGATAGTAATTAGTACACAAGAAGTCACCCGTAGATCTAGAAAAAGCTTAAAAACCGCTCGCACACAAGCAGCTATCCACGAAGCCGAAAACCGCTAAAAATATATCAAAACCAAAACAAAGGCCGACTACGGGAAAAAGAACGATTTCAAGAAGAAATTGATAGCAGCAATCTGACGACGGGATCTTGTATAGGGGAGGGGGGGATAGTTAATGAAAAATACATAAATTAGTAAAGCCAATTTTGCCCCCATTTGCAGTGTTTTTAATTGTTAATAGCTTTTGCAATAATGGTCATAGGCGAATTTTAATCTACTAAAAATGAGGGTTTTATAACCCTCATATATGTGGCCACAAATTAGGCCCGATCGGTCCAATAGTTTATGAATAATTGCATTTGTTTATTCCAAACACGATTTTTTTAAACGACTAAGCTAGTTCAGTGAATGCATAAAAATCAATTTAAACGCCGGGAAATGATAATTAAAAGTCTGAAAATTATGGTATGTTAAAAAAATAATCGATTTTTTTCAATTTTGTTGCATTTTTTTGTAATGCAAAAAGGGGTATTTTTTTATAAATAAATAGAAGTAACTCCGGAACTACTGGTTCCGACAAAACGACAGTCATATCACTGGATAATTGGTAAAAAAAAAACAAAGATTTAAAAATACATATGCCCTACGCCCTTTCTGGGCCGAGATAGCCCTTTTTTTTAAAAAATCACAGCTCCATTATTTATAAACATTAACGGCTGAAATTAATGCTATATATGCACAAAGGTCTAAACTTTATGATACATTCAACTCCACGAAGAATCATGAATAAATAAAAAACTTATAGTATCTCAAAGCGGAGGCAAATTTTCTTAGCTCGTTCAGTGGGGGGGGGACCAACTCATGCTGGAAAAATAGATTCAAATCGTGCCTGCTCGAAAATTTTGTAATATCTAGACTTCCGCTTGACGTAGAAGCTTCATTTAAAAAAAAAACTGGGAAAGCTCGTCGAAAAAATAACAACTAGACCACCAGCAACCCCTAAAATATCATCCAAGCCCTAAAGAAAGGTTTTTTAAAACACTTTTTCGTCGTGCAATTTGACTGCAAGTACCTTTAAACATATGCAACGTTTTTTCGGCGAGCTACCCGTTTAAAAAAAAAAGAAGCTGCTACGTCAAAAAATTTTCGAGCAGGCACGATTTTGAATCTGTTTTTCCAGCACGAACTTATTTAGTCATGAATCTTCGTGAAGTTGTACCTTTGTGCATATATAGCATTAATTTCATCCCTTAATGTTTATAAACAATGGAGCTGTGATTTTTTTAAAAGAGCCCAGAAAGGGCGAATTTTTTTAAACCTGTTTTTTTACCAGCTAACCAGTGATATGACTGTCGTGTTCCTGAGACCAGTAGTTCCGGAGTTACTTCTATTTATTTATAAAAAAAAAATACCCCTTTTTGCATTGAAAAAAATGCAAACATACCATAATTTTCAAACTCTTAACTATCATTTCCCGGCGTTTAAATTGATTTTTATGCACTCACTGACCTAGCTCAATCGTTTAAAAAAATCGTGTTTGGGATAAACAAATGCAATTATTCATAAACTATTGGACCGATCGGGCCCAATTTGTGGCCACTTATAAAGGGTTATAATACCCTCATTTTTAGTAGATTAAAATTCGCCTATGACCATTAAAAAAGCTATTAACAATTAAAAAACACTGCAAAAATGCATGTTTTTTGCAATTGTCTTTATAAATAATGCACCGATTTTAATGCATAAAAGAAGAAATTGTAGGTTTTTTTAATACCTACAACTTTCATATGAAGACTTTTTCTCTATCTTGCCCCTGAAAAATTGTATTTAAGCAAAAACCTCATTTTGACTACTTTGGCCATTGTTTATTCGGAGAGGAGGCAAAATTGACTGTACTAATTTATGTATTTTTGATTAACTATCCTCCCTAACAAGATCCCGTCGCCAGATTGCTGCTGTCAATTTCTTCTTGAAATCGTTCTTTTTCCTTTAGAATGACTGGCCTATCATTGATGTTTCGATTTTTCTGCAAATTAAGCTCAAGATTCACAGCAACTGTGCAACGACCTCCAAACGCACCATCCAACGACGCGAGGTAACGCAAACGAAAAGCCGAACCACCTATAGCAACGGTTCAAAATCTCCCCAAAAGACAATAATTCAAGAGCGCCTGATTTTCGCACGAAATTCCACAATGGGAAACTGGCATAGCCATCAAGAGGTCCGACTGAATGTCGACCCTGACCGTCCGTAAATCATTAACCAGGCCCAAGTGTTTGATCAATAAACGTTGCACTGCTCTTCCCACTAAACATTTTTCAGTTTCTGACATGTTTCAGAAACGTTTCCATTTTTCTTGAAACGTTTCATAAATAATCCATGCAACCTTCTGGTAACGTTCTAGAAGCCCAAGATGTCCTCCCCAAAATACGTTTCCAATGAAACGTTTCAAAAAATTGGTTTCAGTAACATTCTTTTTATGTTCCATTTATGCCCTCGATATTTTTGTTTTACGTTTCAGTATATTTTCAGAAATGTTTGAGTAACATAATAATTTTATTACCATATTGTTCTCATAATGCTCTCAACTTTAGATCATTTTCATTTCAAAAGCGTTTTTGAAATAGTATAAATAGTGTGAGTATTTTTTTAAATATCTCTAATACTCCTTTGTGATATTTTTATTTGTATTGTGAATGACTTAATTCGAACTAAAAAAAGTTACATTGTATATTAAAAAAAATAAATATGCTCTTCTAGTTTGGGGATGCGGCAACTTTTACTAAGAATTTCTTTCTTTTTGAGAAGCCACTGAAAAAAGTTTCTAATATGGATTACGAATTTTGCCATTCATCGTACAAATAAAAATATCACAAAACAATATCAGAAGCATTAAAAAAAACTACACATTTTATATTGTTCAAATACGCTTCTGAAATGGAAATTTTCTAATGTTGAGACCATCATGAATATGGTAACAATGACGAACTGATAATTAGAAAAAGTTAGTTATGATTATGAATCTTGAAATGGTAGGTACATGAAAAACAAATAACATTACTGAAAAATAATATAAAGTTATAATTTCTTCTACGCATGGTCAATATTACATATATCCTTTTAATAATAATAAATTATACAGCAGAAATAAGGATACAAAATGATATCTTGACAAAGTAAATATCTGTAGGTATACCTAAACTCTTTTATTTAAGCATGCCTATACACATAAACAAATATAAACATTTGTACAAAATATAAAATAAATGACGTCTATTTCACTTGATTCATCCATATTTCAAATAGTTCTCACTGACTAAGTAGTTGCTCTTCAAATTATATCGAAACGTATAGTTGTTGTTCCATTTTCTTAGTTCTTGTCCCTTGTCCTCTTGTCTGTAATAGGTAGTGGGTATAACTATATTTAGGTAGATGTGACGCAAAATTGGAAATCTCTACACATATCGTTTTAAACATTTTGCATCAATATTCATTATTTTATATGCACCTTACAATAACCACAACTGCACACACTACAAATTATCACATAAAATAGCGTCAAAGTAAAGATGAATAACAACGAAACCAAGCAAACTGACAAACCGCAAACCTAACCTAACATAATACGAATTGAAACGACACACGGGAAACAAATAAACTCGGGCTGTTACGCGCAGTCTACGCAAGTCACGAACATACATTTTTTCTAGACTTGTGTTATAAATATGCTACCACATTTTTTTTTCTAATTATGTCTTTATATAACAAAGGCAAATGAACTAACGCTTGAGAAGGATTGGGGATTGAGAGCAAAATTTAACTAATGCCGAATGTTCCATAAGATAAGCAAAAATAGCAAAGGGTTGTTCGTCTGTTATGTTTCCGAGATCGAAAGGGAATGTTTCGAGTAATGTTTCAAACTCTCTTCAATTGTAACGTTTCGGCTATGTTTCACTAAAAAAGTTTTCAAATGCTACATTTCTGTAATGAAACAGAAACGTTTCTAGTTAATGTTTCAAATGTTTAGCAAAACATCTCATTTGCAACGTTTCATTTACGTTTCGTGTTTAGTGGGTTAGCTGTTAATAGCCTCGTCAGGATAGTCTGAGGATGTCCAAATATTATGGCACATATATTTGCAACCGTCGACGTTCTTACGACATCTCAGGATTAATTATGACAGTCCTCGATAAGTATCGAATATTTATTTTTCCTCATTTCCAGACAATCCAACTGCGACTGACCGTAGCTGAATCGTCGACCGAAGACAACAACGTGAGTGGCTACCCCATAGGCCACGTGATCGTGGGCGCTCAGGCGAGCGGCCGTTCACTCAGCCACTGGAACCAAATGTTGACTGCCCTTAGGCGACCTGTGGCGATGTGGCACACTCTCAGGAAATAGTCGAGATACCACCTCATCTAGCTATTGTCGAATGTAACCCCTTTACACCATAAGCTAGCAGTACGCCGTAGTTTATAAAACAGGTGACTTCAGAGGAAATTTTAAAGGCATTTTTCGAGTCATTTTTCAAGTCATCGCACAAAATATCATAATTATAAAGTAGGTATTACGATTTGCCAAAATTAGGAAACTTTGATAGGGAGCAAATTTTTCTGAGGTATATATAAGGTGTTACGACATTCGCACACATACAAACAGTATTAGGTACTTTAGTACAGGGTGTCCCAGGAAATGGTGGGCGATCTTTAGAATTTGGATAGGTCTTGCAATAATAATATCTAAAGTTCATATATTTTTTTTTTCAATAGGCTTCATCCAGTAGAGTTATTAGCTCTTGAAGTTGAGAGTTGAAAATGATTTTTCATTATAACTTTAATATTTCTCATTAAATTTAAATAATTTTCGTGTAAGAGTGGTTATTTGAAGCTATTTCTACTCTACTACTATAGAGGGTGTCCGCAAATTTCACCGACAACGTTTGACTGCAATGCACGATAAATAAAGACGATCTACGAAAAAAAGTTACAAGCCGAATTTTTGGTTTCCGAGTTAAAAGTCTTCAAAGTTGTCAAAAATAGAAATAATTTAATTAATAACTTCCGATAGCGTTAAAATTTGGGAAAATCGCCTACAGAAAGCCATTCTTGAAAAAAATTGCATTTGCAGGTCTGTATGTTTCGATTTGCGTAGCAGTGTCACGGATTTAAAACTTGAGTTCAGTAGGCGATGAAAACAACAGTGTTAATTACTGTGGTTACCAGGGTAATGTATTTACTTAGGGGTTCCTACTTTGAAGGTTCGCACTACGCCCTCAGCGGTCTTAGCTCCAGAAAAAACTTATAAATTTACTTTTTCATTTTTGTCGCCATTAGAGTAGTTTCAAAATCTCATGAGCCGCGAAATGCGCGAAAGGCGTGGCATAATTCTTCTAAGCACGTCGTGAAAACATTGACTCAATCAGAATTAGACCACGTGCCTCATTACAACCAGAAATGAACTAAGGCGCTCGGGCATCAATAAAGTCAACCATCGGACGTTCGTTATATATATTTTTATTGCTTAAATTAAAATAATAAAGAATAGGGCATTTTATTATGATATTTGTAATCGGATCAAAGGCTTGTTTACGCTACGAGAGCTCGAGATAGACTGTGAATATTAGATGTAATGTTTTTAGGACGTAGAATAATTTAGGCAACGGTCGGAATTATGTTTCTGCGCATATGAAGGTCAAAGCTCATAAGACTTTGAAACAACTCTACACAATACACGAAAACAATTGACTATGAAGCAAAATAAAAGCATGTGTCAAATACATATTTTTTTATTACCTAGGTACTTATTTTACTGTATAAATTTTTGTTCTCATACGTCGGAAATAGTATGGTATCTTTTTAACTAAAAAAAGTACAAAAATTTTACAGTTTACATTTTTTTTTTAATGGGCCTAAACTGCTGACGGCGTTCTACCCCTGAGCCTCCGAAAAATCGATTTTCAACTATCAACTTCAAAAGCTAATCGCTTTTCTCGAATGATCGTAAATAAAAAAAGTATGCAAACATGTTATTTTTATCCTGTCCAAATCCGAAAAAATGCTCCGAATTTCCTGGACACCCATACCTACACTTAAAAATAGTAAAGAATTGATTTACCATTTACTGCTTGGGTGAATAATGGTTCTGAAAATGAAAATTATTTATTTAAACACAAAATGGTAAACAAACTATAAAACTCTGTAAATGTAATATAGTATATTCTATTCAATATAGTGTAAGTGATAATAAACAAATCAAATATTGATGATTGTTTTAAGAGGTGTATCTAGAAGATTTGCTCAGATATTTATAATTTTTGAGTGCAGGGTCAATCAAATCGTTGCCTTTGAAATTTTCAGTTTGCAGTCGTCAAAATAAGACTTAATAGCTTAAATACTTACCTATTATACCAGTACCATTTGCCTCTTAATACAAATAAATATTTTTTATCATATAATACTGGCAGGTATAAACATTATTTGGTTAACCTCAGATTTTAGTATCTAACAAAGCAAAATTACCTTGTAAAAATGCAAAAGTTTTTACAATTAGTGATTGCAACTAATGTACAAATTGATTTTCAAAAAGTAACAAGAACTCTATAAATACCAAAAAATTGTCTTAATTACTTTATTATTTCATGTAATACTTTTGATTTAAAAATTAATTTAAAATAGATAGAAAACTCGACAATCACGTTAACTGGAAATATGAGGAAAAATATTTAAACAACTTTACTCATCATGCAAATAAAAAATTCTATAAAACTGGTGAGAAAATTGGCATAAACTTAAAATAACTTAAACGTCAAGTAAATTAAGCTCTGTGGGAATCTGTTTTTCAATCTACCTATATATTTTACATACTTAGCAATTTTTAACTTTAATTATTATAATTTTTAATTTTATTTATTCTATTATTAAATTATAGAAGTTTTATAGAATTTTTGTCGACTATTGTTAAAAAGTTTATGTATATAAATCAAATCCCCAAAGTGTTTACTTCCATATATGTGATAAGTAGAAAATGTTACTGTTAAATATATTAAAATTCTATAAAATATTTATATATGTATTAACCTGTTCTTACGTCTAACCTGTTATATATTTCTTATCTCTTTGTGACAATAACTCATATGGCTAATTTGATATTTACAAAACTGTTAGTACCTCAGAAAATGTATTTTACGTAAACCAAAATATTCTGCGATTTTTCTTTGGAAATATAAATAATGCATTCATTGCAAAACAAATTACGACAATTCTTTATTTCATATTGAGGTGATAACAATTTTGTATCCAGCCAATCACACTCTTTAGTAGTTTCTAGTTTCATATATAGCTTTTATATGCTGTGATACACTATGGGCACACCCATTTTCACCCATCTGTTTTGTTCAGCTTTGATTTTCAATGTTTTTCATCTATATCAATGTTTTTATGTAGTTTAACATTATCTGAATGAAAATTGTTTATATAAAACTAATAATTTTCAATAATTCTAGTTCATCTTATTAAATGAGACGTTACTCAAGAATTTAAAAAAACTGCCAAAGAATCTGTCACACATGGAATGAAGAATATTTGACGTTTATTCATTTTTTCAATTTTCTTATCGAATGATCTGAATCAGAATTTTATTTGTTTCATACTGAACAATATTATTCTTCTTGAATAATAACACATCTGGTTTACATCATCGCATCATACCCTTACCAAAATTGTTATAAGACTGTGTAAAATATCTACATAAAACATGTTAGTTGTAATATAATTAAAACGTAATATCTAAAATTATATATGTAGACACTGTATCTATAATTAAAATAAACATTTTAACTCTCCATGTTTCTTATTATCAACTAGAATTTTATAAAAGTTCTGAATTTTTTTATTTGGAAAATAAATTTTTGTTTTTAATATAACTACAACATTAATTGAAAATCAAAAAATATAAGAGAAGCGTATGTTTATTAAGAAAAAAAATTGTAATTCAAACTATTGTTATATGAATAGAAAAACCCACTGAAGTGGAAATTTAATTTATATAAATATAAATATTTTAAAATCCATTTTATCTTCAATGACCATACCTAAAATAAAACATACACTATAAAACTTGAACACAGTAATTTTAAATAAAAATACTGCTAAACGTTGACTTACTTTTGGAATTCCCACTCCCTATTGTCTAGTGGGCAAACTTGTCTCGTTTTTAACCATCTTGATATGCAGTGGAAATGAAAAGCATGCTAAAAATACAAGCATTTCAGGTGGTTAATATGTTCCCATTACATTACTATTTTGTCATAGAATTCATGACAATACTAATTGAAAATAATGATACAATTACACTTTTATATATACACTAAAAACTTACGTTACATACTCCCCAAGCTACTGTGCATTCTTCACTCGTAGCAGATGCCTGATTTGCTTGACATTCGATGCATAAGTCCATAATGTGGTTACGACAAATTGCACAATTGTCCACAACAATATCTATAAACAAAATAAAAAATATTTAGTATACATTTTAAAAATAAATTAGGCTTACCCCAGGCCCACAAAGCTACAGCATTCCACTAAAATGAAAACAAAAGGTAAAATTTAACACACAATTAGTTTTTTAGGTTAGATGACTTTACTTTTTTTACTTCAAAACGTTTCTTCTCTCCTTTTGAACTGCTAGAAGTGGGCATTTCAACTTCTTCAGCGTCTACATCCATTGCTGTGGCCATATTCTGTTTCCCAAATCTACTAATTGCTAATTATTAATCAATGAAAGAACTACTCCAATTTTAATTTTTTTAATTTTTATACAATATCGAGAAATGAGAAATGAATAACGGAATAACAATTCACGATCACGAATCACAAATGGCAATCAACTGAAGTTAAGAGCAATCGTATCAGTTGGTACCTAAGCTATTTTTTGCGATGAATCAACCAACGATCACTTAAAAGCATAGATTAGGAATTTTAAACAATGGTATTTTTAAAGGATATTAAATGAAATGTTTGTATGCATTTAGGAAATTACTTTATATACATATATATGTTTTTATCATACTTTGCCGCCATGCCGGTCGCATTGTGCGAAGTCAGGTTTTACAGTGGACCAGTTTCCAGTGCCGTGCAGAAGTATGTATTTTTAAATAATTATAAAACTTCCCTTTTTAATTTTTTCTTTACAAAATTGTATTTGTAGGAGTTAGTTAGATAAGTTTTGAATCGCCCTATACATATACAATTTTATATGTAAATTTAATCTAATAGTTTGGGGGAAACTAATTTTTTTATAAAATTCGTTTAATTATAAATAAATTTGAAAAAACTGTTACACTAAACTGTTCCTATTAATGGTTCCCTATTTACCGATTATATGTAAATTGGCTAGAAAACATAATCGTGTCGAAAAAGTAAACTGACAGTTTTCAAACCATCCATTCCATAACTTTTGTATTATTTTATTAATCGAAATTAGTTTGATTAACATAATTTGTATTTTTTGCTATGAAGAAGCTCCATTTTCATGTCATCAAATTATTGATATGATTAAATAAATTTATCTGAAATTTGATAGTCTTACACACGTAATACAGACCTTAAAGGTAGATACTGTGGTTACAGTACAGCTCCTATTTATTTATTTTTAGTTTGTAATCAGTAATTTTTAATGTTTATTAAAAATTTATATATTTTGCTGGTTACATATTTTTTGACGTCACATTTATGATGCAGGATATACTAGCCTTGGGTGTTGTTGGTTAATGAAGAAGGGTTTAGCGAGAATTTGCTTAAAATCAAAATAAGTCAAATATTAAAGTAACAAAAATGTCAACCAACAGTGTCAACTGTCAGCTGTTGTGAAAAAAATTATTACTGTTATTTATTTATAATATTGTTATTGTTCGTGTTATCATGGTTTGATAACTATGATTTTTGAATGATAGGGTGAGATTTCGATCACGAATAAATAATTACTCATTATTATACAAAGGAAATTGTTCTCTATCAGATATGCACCATTATGTTCAATTTGCAAAATAACAAAGTTTTTCTTTTTTAGGATGAATAGTGGAATTTATGTTACAGCCCTTACAACTGTGATCCTGGGCACTATATTGATTTACCCATCATGCTTCTCGTATCTCCTTTTTATAGTTTTATTTGTGATAAGTATTGTTCTGGGCACATTTACAGCATTATGGATAAATATTTTGCTCTCTTTGCCACATAAAACAATTGTCGGAGCAGAACACACATTAAAACAAACTGAGCATTTCAGGAATAAATTAATGGCAAGTATATTTAAATTTTGTGTTTAATAATCCAAATTATTGTTGAATTTTTAGAAAGAATATGATACAGCAATTGCAAAGGTGACTCCAACAAACCTACCAAATATATTTGGAAGAACTGTAGACAGTTTACTTCAACAACTTTTAGATTATGTTATAAGAGACTACATATTAATATATGTTAAAGACTATGCCTATGAAATTGAATCTCTAGGCATTAATATCAAGTAAATATCTGTTTTTAAGTTTATATGTACATATTAAAACAAGATTATTGCAGGGATGATTTATGGGGGGCTGTTAATGCTTTGCACGAAAAATTATCTAGAGTGGACCATGCAAAACTTATAGCCTGTGATGTTGTTTCAAAAATTACATACCACTTTGAAAGAATTAGGGAGTCAAAAACTTTAGTGTGAGTCATAAGTTAAATTATAGTACTCTATACATCTATATTTTCTGCAAATTATTTTTAGTATTGAATCTGATCGTCCACCAATTTTCCAATTATCGCCACATGTAATGTCTTCAGAAAAAGAAATTGAATATTTGCGAACCGTTAGTGAACTGCTTATTATGTTCTTATTACCAAGGTCTTATTCTTTGTCTCCAACAAAATATTTGGTCAGAGAAGTGTTATGTTGTAAAGGTAAGAAATATATACAAATTTTTGTTAATTAGATATTGCAAATAAAACTGATTTATTTTAAAATAATTTTAGTATTTTATAAAATGGATATGAATGATCAGATAGATTTAAAATATGTTTTAAAATAATTAAGTACAGGTTTCATTATTAATTTTAGTTTTCAAACCCATCATCGATATTATAACAGATCCGGACTTCTTTAACCGTAATGTTATAAGTTACATAGAAGCGAACAAAGTACATGTGAATTTACCCAAAAAAGCTTTGGAGAATGCTAATAATTTTGAAGACCTTATAGATAGAATCGATGACATACAAGTTTTAAAATCTATACGGTATACATCACAATATTAAATAGATTTTCTGTTTAGAATAGATTTATTGCAGGTACAATATAGTAACGAAACTCATGCAAGCTACGACACTGCAAAATTTGAATCGCGCAAAAGGTGTCGATTTAGATAACGACAAAGTTACCCTCTCTTCTGCTGGGATACAGAAATCTGACATTAACGCTGCCAAAAAGCTCAGAAAACATATAAACCAATTGACTTTTGCTAAGAATCACTGCGAAAAGAAGTTGATTAGTCTCGGTTGGGATTCTGGTTATCAGTATGGAGATGAAATAAAAAGAGTTAGTATACATTTTAGTCGTTGATAGTTGTCTAATAAATATCACTACGGTTTCTAGGTTTTGTCCCTTCCGATGATACTGGAGCATGTCCTAGGCAGAAAGTACTTATCACAATTTCTACAAACCTTAGCCAGCCAAGACTTGATAAGGTTTTGGACCGCGGTTGAAGAGTTGCGTACAGCGCAAAGAAAAAACTGGCATCAGTTGGGTGCAGAGATATTTTATACTTTTATAAGAAATCCCACTTCTGAAATAAAAGTTGACAAAGGTACAAAGAAGCGAATGGAAGCATTTTTATTAGGTAATACAACAGTTTCAAAATATCCTAATTTAACCGGGTCTGATATTTGTAGGTGACAAGGGTCCGGAAGTATTTTACGAAGTTCAAGCGCAAGTGGTCCAGACAATTGAAGAAAAATATTATCAGCCATTTTTAATCAGTGATTATTACAAGGAAATGGGTATTGCAATGGAAAGTGAAGAGGACATGATTGAAGTTGACGGTAATAGATCCATGGAGGAAAGGCAAACATCAACGGATTCTGCTGGTAGCCCAGAAAGTGGGTTGAATGTGGGAGATCACTCTAACTATGCAAGGCGAAAGTTGGATCAGTTGGAGGAAAAATTGAACAATAAAACAATGGTATGATGTGTTGGTCATTATACAGGGTGTAAGAAGTTCGACTGCCATTACTTAAGCATAGAGTAATGAACAAAAAGGGGCGTAAGATTTACTGTTTTCAAAATACAGCGAGTATTAATATTGGGGAGTTTCGTCACAACGAGACAACAATGCTTAACCTAACGCCACACAGCTGACGCATACCACGTGTGCACGTGGCAGACTTGTCCTGCGGAAAAAATGTAAACTATTGTTGTGAAACATTTAGTAAATTTCAAAACAATCGTTTTCCAGTTTTTAAATAAATAAAATAAAATGTATCGATTTTGTAGTACAAAGATAGTGTTGTGCTTAAATTTTAGCTCGAATTTTAGTAATTATGAATCTCTTAAAACAGGAACTTAACTTTTAATCAAATTATGAATTTGAAAAATATGTAATTAAAGTACCCAAAGATTCACATCCAAATAATCATACACATTAAAAATAATTTAGGTACTTACCAAAAAGCAAAATTCAGTAATTTTTAAATGCACAAGTACAAAACAAACTATGCTCAAAATGTGCACCACCATTTTTGATGTACGGATGACACCTTCGAATCCAATTTTTACGCACTTGGTAAACACCTCAAAAAAAGGAAATAGTGGTACCCAAAAAACACTGAGACACGGTCCAATTCCAGATACCAACTGAATTTGGTATTGCTGGCTGGTCAGCTTAATTCCTCATGTTATTCGCCGCGCCATTGTCACATTGCTCGATATGAATTTTATCAAATTTTAAATTTATTACAACGCTAATTATTTTTTAGAATGAAGCATAAGGAAGTTCAAAAAAGTGATAAACATTGTATTTTATTATTATATACACGCAGTTATGTTATTATTCCTTAATTAATCGAACTTTTGTACATCAAGTTGGACATTTTAATAATTTGTTTTTCTCGGAAATGGTTGAGTTTAGGACCCATGTCATAAAAGGCTTTTTTGTTTATTTTAATGTATTCTATCATTTGTTAAAATTAAGGCAGTCAAACTTGTAACACCCTGTATCGATTACAGATTTTTTTTTTATTTTAGAAGACTATAAAAAGTCCATTATTTTAAAAACAGATGAGAAATTGAATATTTGTATTTGAAGTGTTGCTACTATAAAGGATGTAACTTTAAATGGGGGTCAGTTTTTTAGGGGTATAGTAGTGTTTCCCTGAGTACGAATCTGAAAATCTTTGGTCGTGTTATAATTGTTTTTTTAAAATGCACTTTAATTCTTGTGTACGCCACCACTGTGCGGCATAAACTGGCGATCTAAAGTTCACACGGAGGGAGATATTTTGGATCAACGGTGACGAAACGAAGGGTGGTCAGTAGTTTTTCCGCATTTGGTCGCAGTACATCTAATTGTGAATTTGAATGTTTATTATCGCTGGAAGCCATCATCAGGTTGCTTTGACTATCCTGTAGACAGGTTTGTCGTTTAATTAGCAACCATTTTTCATAGAGAAGCGATGACGAAGGTGGTATACTAAGTGTATGTAAAAAGTGAGATACCCGCAAGGTATAGTTAACCATTTTATTTTTTGTCCAGTGTCGACCCTTACAAGTTTTATTTTAACAGAATACAATTTGTTGTTAAATTCCACACGAACTCTTTATCCTGAGGTAGACGTAGTTAAAAGTGGCAGGTTACACATTGAAGAGATTATGCGAGCTTAATCACATTCAGAGAAGTGTTAGATATAAACATCATGCGTGTAAACAGATTATTTATTTTTTTGTATTTTCATTTATCATTATTGATTACTACTTGAGTTTTTCTGCTAGGTTACTTGTTGAGTACTGTTTGTGTGGTGAACACCCCTTATCAAAGATAACGAGCACCAAAGAGCATTACTTCGCGGCGAATGGTGTTAAAATTGGCTTTTTAATAACCTTCCCTTTAAATATGAGATTTAACAGCAATGCAGAGACTAGTTCCCAATTGTGCATGCGCTGTGACTAAAGCATGCCACTATTTGAGGTTACAGTAGCTTGTCCAGCGGCGGGGTACGAAAATTACTAAAAAAAAAAAATTATTTTCACAACAGAATTTGAAAAAATAAACAGAACTATTAATACGTGTTTCTGNGGTTAAAGGAAGCCTCTGTATAATTATGACCCTCACTTAAAGTTAAGCCTGTATTTATATGAACAAAATATAAATATTTTTATCTTCAAATTCAATTTTTTTGCAAATCAGTTTCATAATAAATTGAAACTGGGTAATACTTTAAAAAATATATGGTGTGTTAGGAATTTTACTGTCATAATTTTGATAGGCAACGGTATACCTACATCAAAATAAACAAAAATAGCCCTTACATTTCAATAATATCAGTATTTTTCTACATTTTATTTATGCATAGTATCGTAAAGAAATAACAAGGAAGTGATAAAGTCAGTGGCGAGCAGGGCAATCGCCCGGAGCCTCGTGCAACAACCCGAATAAAAAAAGTTTATATTTAAAACTTTATTTTATCCTTAGCTATTAGTTATGGAGCTATATGACAATAAAATGAAGTTGGTTAATTCATAGTAAATATACAGGGGAATTCACAACTTATCTAAAAAATTTTAGAATGGACACGGCATGAGAAATGGAGTCAATATCCTAAAAAAAATTTTTGTATAACCCTTATAGTTTCCGAGAAAAAAATTATTGAAGTTGTACTACTGTCAACCATTACATAGCTGGACAACTGTAGTCTCTATACTGAATACTGAAATCCGATTTTACAATCGCCGAAGCAATAGTGTTTACAAAAGTTTTTTAGTAGTTAGTGTCAAAAATGGCTTGCATGTATAGCAACTCGGAGTTGATGGATATCATTTTAATTTATGGTGAAGCAAAACAACATTTGTGTTATGGTGAAGCATTTATGTTATGGTAAAGCAAGACAACATTTGTGTTAGTTCGTAGAAACTGAGTAAGACGGGCCCAAATGTGTTTACACGTTGGTGTACAAAATTTTGAACAGATGTTGTAACATCAGGTATGTCAAATTCAAGTTTTTGTTCATTTTTATCACACTGCTGCCATGCCGGTCACATTGTGCCTGGTCAGGTTTTACAGTGGACCAGTTTCCAGTGCCTTGCCGAAGTGTATTTTTAAATCATTTTTGAACTGCCCTTTTTGATTTTTTCTTTACAAAATTGCATTTGTAAGAGTCCCTTATACATCAATTTTATTTTTTTTGGATAAGTTCTGAATCACCCTGTATTAATACTTAATAGATAATAATAAGTGCCTAAATAAAATTTCTCATTTAGATTTATTTAATAATCGATATCAAAATCAATTAATTTATCAGTGCATAATAATATTTTTTGTAATTTAACTGTAAAACATAACTGAAAAATATGTTTCAATCTTGTACCTTATTTTATAATTATTAAATATTTGTCATCTTTGTATTTGTCAATTTTAAAAAAATCTCTTAATATGAAAACTCAAAATTTATAACTTTTGCATTTCTCTTAAATCATCAGAAATATCTTCATTCGATTTATGTACATTTCACAAAGAACAAGGACCGCGCAAATATCTGCCGCCCCGGGCCTCGCAAAGATCTGCCGCACGGAGCAATGGTTAAGGCCGACGCTGGATAAAATACAAACAGGGAAATGATTATGGATACTGCTGTTTACTTAATAAGTACATACAACTTTTATTTAAATGTACACCACCAAAAAAACTTTTTAAAGAAATTATGAAGAAGGTTTTATAATAAAATAATGGGTCAGCAATGTCAGAATATGGATGTCTGGCCGCGGATGGACATGGTCGATCATGTACCTTCAAATTTTTTCCAGAAAAAAAAAATCAAATTCCCCAATTCGATTTACAAAAGTTTGGTTTATTAAGGGACCTCAACATAATTTTGTACACAGAACATCATAAAATGCACTCTTCGAATTTGTTTAGTTTTAATAAATTTACTTAATTCACAAATATTAAATTTATTTTGCATAAGGAGAAGTTTGCTTAGCAAACAGGTGAATTTAATTTGCAATAAGTTCAACTTTGCAAAAATACATATTTGGAAGAAATAAACATTTCAGTCATACCTATAAGTGTAGCAGCAATATCTTTTGTTCTTGCAATGGAAGTTGTGGCAAATATTTTATTTAACAGGCACTGGAGGCTCTAAGAACTTCGATGAAACCAGAGTCGAAGGTTTTAGGCAAATTAGAAAACGAAGTAGAATGGTTGCAAGGTGAAAAACGTCAGTTAGAGGCTCATTTAACGAGAACTGAGATATGGGCTGAAAATCTTGGTAAATGGAAAGCAGTTGTGCAAAGCGCAGAGGTAAATATTGTAATATACAACAATTATGATAAAAATTAATAATTTTTATTTGTTTTGGATTATTTATTGTGTCTTTTTAGATTCCTGACGAGAAGGAGCCCCCGCAATTTGTCTTGGTCGTACAAATGGAGGAAGACGACGTATACGAGGGCGAAGGTGCCATATGCACAGGATGGGTTGTGTGCAGGAGTTTAACTCAATTTCAGGACCTTCACAAGAAGTTACGACCACTGTGTTCAGAGATTCGTAGCTTGGAGTTGCCTTCCAACACGTTTAAATTTCTTTTTGGGAAAACTGACAAGTTGTCTTTAGAAAGGGCGAAGCAACAGATACAGAAGTACTTAGATGTAAGTTTAACTACAAAAACTATTTTGGTACAGAGTAGTTTATATCATCAAAAGCAATACTTTTTTAATTGTTCCAAAGAGTTGTAAAATATAATCACGAATTTGTTGCAGTTTGTTTTAAGAGATGATAGACTTAACCAGAGCGAGGCGATATATTCCTTTTTAAGTCCCAGTTCAGAACATTTGAAACATTCCACTCCAAGTCCCAAAAAGTCCAGATTTTTCTTCTCGACTTTGTTTAAAAGGTTAGTTGTTTTTTTTGTATATATCAAGCATAAATCTGAAAGAAGGGGGTAACCACTTCTAGATTGCTCCGAAGTATGATACAAATATACCTGTATACCCAAATTATGTTTGCTACTTGCATTATGTCGAATTCCAAAAACATATCCCATATTAACGCAATACCAATAGTACGTGGTGGGAAAGAAAGGTGGCCAGATAAAACTAATGTAGCTGCCAGTGCTAGTAAATATATCAATTCCAGCGTCTTGAAAGTTGTTTTGTATTAAAAAGTTAGCACAATTTCAAGAGAATATTTGAAATGAGAAAATAAATTATCTTGACTTAAGTTGATTCAAGTACTGACCCCTCATACCGCTTGACCACCGACAGACATTTTAAAACCTTTATTTTGTATAATATATGTAACATTTTTTCATATATCTGTGAAGATATTTTATGTAGGCTGATGAAACTTGGGCTAGGATTTTACTAATTAATTTAGAGGTACTACATAAATGCATTATTTGTCTTAATACTACCTCGAATTCCTCAAATTACACTGCAATCCTTGCAGTACACCAAATTTTCATTGTTTTCTCAATACAAGCACGCCTTTTCTTTAAGGTTACCCCCTAGATCTGGACTAAAAGTAATAACGTCGATGCATATTTTATGAATTTCTTCCAAAGTTTTTGCAAAAACATTTCGATTTCAGTGGTAGTGAGCAAAGCAAAGATTCCTATTCCGTCTTGAAGGAGAGCGAAGAAGAAGACATCTCGCAATGCCTAGAACCGCCACTCACCGACACAGTAGACTTTATAAAGTCCAATGGAAACGCTGTGAAAATATGTGACGACAATAAAGACACGATAGCCGAACCCCTCTATGCACTCCTAAGCGAAATATTCGACATGAGGGGAGTCTTCAAATACGTCCGAAAAACGTTAATAGGTTTCGTTCAGGTAACGTACGGACGTAACATCAACAAACAAATCCACGAGACGATATCATGGTGGTTCTCGGAAGAAATGTTGCACTATTATATCACCCTAGTATTAAAAAATTTCTGGCCCGGCGGTAGTATCGCCGATCCGGGCCCACAAAGAACCAAAGAAGAAAGACTGCAGACCGCCATTAAGGCACAAGAAATGTTTATTAATAACGTACCTGAGGTGTTGACGACGCTGGTTGGGAATAATGCTGGGAAAAATGGTGCTAAGAAGGTCTTTGATGCACTGCAAGAGAAGAACATGAACAAACATCTACTTTACGTAAGTACAATTTTTTGTTTTGTTAATTGATTGAATTGCTTTATTTCTGGTCAGGTTTAAAACAATATATCATTAAAATGGAGTATTTGCGAACTTGGAAATTATCTTTTAAGTTAAAGTCTATCTTATTATATTAATCCATATATCAAGAGAATAAGTAGCAAAGAAAAATAAATATCAGTCCTTACAAAAACAGGGTAAACATGTTGAGAACTGCTGGAGTCGAGAGGGAATGACATGTCATATTGTCACATTACAGTAAGATTGCGTACACATATAGACACTTTAAATATTTGTACAGAGTGTTGCGCTTAAATGTGATACAAACCTGTAGCTTCTTTATTTTTTGACCTATTTCAAAAATTTTTTTTTAGAATGTAGGATAAAAATATCTAACTGTAGGTAATGCTGCTGTTTTTATTAATGCAATTCACCACCAATTAGGGCGCGTTTTTTGACGTCAAAACAGCTAATTGATATTAGCGATTTTTTTTCCAAAAAACTCCTTCACTGTTGCTAGATTGACAATTTATCATAAATTCGATAATTTTTGGGCTGAAGTGTTGTGATAAAATTCGATGTGATGATGGCGAAAAACCACTTGAAAATATCTTATTTGAGAATTTCGAAAACTAGACATAAAATCTTCTTAAAACAGTGCATGTTATTTTATTATAACAAATTCCAGCTATAAGTCATATTTATCAGTTTTTTTGTGTGTACATGTAAGTAAATCCGACAATATGGAACGATTTAAAATAAAACCGGTGATAAACATCCTTAACCAAAAAATCGCCACTGCAATAAATGAAAATATCTAAAAATTCACTGTATTTACAGTCATGTAATTATACCTACCTTTATATTGCAAACATTATGCAACAGTATATTATTTTATATCTATCTCTTTTATATTTATACAACATTATTTGTGTTCATTTATTCCATGTTCGCTATTTATTTAAAAAAAAAATGCAGTACAAAAAATAAATTTAAACTGTCAATATTTTCATCATTTTAGGAACTGGTTGAAGTTACTTTGGATGCTATATTTCCGGAATTAAGTTAATATCGACTACTTTTATTCAGTATTTTATGTTTTTTATGATGATATTTCTATTTTATTACATATGAAACAGGATATATGAACAGATATATTTTAGCATTATATTTATGAATGGACTTGGTTTACATGTAGATGAACATCGTACACAGAAAAAATGATTATACTATTTTTTAAAAATACGTTTATTTTTTACACAAAAAAAAAACTTAGCCGAACTGAACGTTGTTCAATTATTTCATGGTATATTATTAATTCAACTACATTCCACTATTTATTTGTGCAATGTTTATATTTTATAAGTAACTAACCAGTGTGTAACTAATATTTTATTAACTTGTAGCGAAATTGTTATAACTTATTATATGTTTGTTTTTTTTTCCTTATTTGACTGACAAAACAAGTAGCATATTTTAGTGAAACCAAAAATTAAATTATACAGGGTGTCAAATATGAGCATAACTTTTAATCTGTCTAATGTGAGAACCAACCTTAATATTTTTTTATGCAAATTTGAAACCACGTAAACTGCATTGCCTATCGAGAATTAATCTATTATATCACACATTTTCACTGCCTAATATAATATAATAAGTTTTATATATACAGAAATTAAAGAAAATATTATGTAAGTATAATATTTAATAATATCTAAAGTATTTTATGGATTAATTTTATACTTGTAGTACTACTAAATTTTATAAATATAATACATATTTATAAAAGAAATCTATGTAAGCGATTAAACCCTGTATATTTTTTGTGACATAGTTTTAGGTTTTTCTCTGTTTATTGGGTATTTTGCCAGCCATGAAAAAAATAGTTAAACGGTTCCTTCCCCTAAAAGAATCAATCAAGAATTTGTTTTATTAGATTTTACTCAACTAAAAATATCACACTGAAGAGGACAGACTAATTAAAAATACTGCAAATTTCTATTACAGTTAATGTTTCAAAAAATCAATCTTTTTCCCTTTTCAAAACTGGGAATAACATTTCGTTTTTATTTATCAAACAAATTATCAAACTTAATTATAAAAGAAACTTAAAGCCTAATTCTGATAACGAGAAAAAGATTGATCTTTTGAAACTTTAACTGTAATTGAAATGCATGATATAGTGCTGAATATTTTTTATTTATTTGTTTGCTTGATTAAGTGTGACTTTTTTGGTTTGGCAAAAATTTTAGTTTAATAAAAACAAATCTCGTCGGATCCTTTTGGCTTAAGGGTTTGTTTGATTAACTTTTTAATTTTTTCAAAGGTAGCAAAATATCTAATAAATATATTTAAAAAACACCCTGTATAATTTTGAGATAGTTACAAGTGCTCTACAATTAAAGACCTGCATATATTATTTATTTGTTATGTAAGTGTATATTAATGTTGCTTATGTATATGACTATACAAAATGCTAAGCTTGTTGTATATACTATTTTTATTTAATATAAATACCGGTCCGATCATTTTAACTTGATACATCAAATTTTCTATATTAAGAGCTACTAAAAACAATTCATGCTAAATGTTTAAAATCGTAACTCTTGGAGGATGATCGGTAAAATGTGAGGACAGTATATTTGTTCTAAGAACAAAATGTGCCATACGGGTCGTATTAAATTGAGTGTTCATCGTTGATAGAATGTCAATTTTAAGAGTTATGAAATCATTTTCTAAAGTTACAAAAAACCCGTAGAATTGAAATTTTACTAAATGAATTTTATTGTATACGGTATAAAATTTCTATTAAATTAATTTAATTTAATGAGGGTTATCAATAGTGAACAATTGATTTTATATGCCTGTAATGTCTCTTACCAATTGCAATATTTTAAGTTTCACAATCCAAGTGAGTAGTGTGAACCGCATACATGGTGTTTCAAATTAAGTCAGGGGTATTGCTAACTGTGTTATTATTGAAGACACAATGTTGATTAAATTACCAAAGTTATAGCAATTTCCATGACAATTAAAATGCACAGAATGGAAACAATGGAAAATCATGTCTACAAGATATATGCCAAAATGAAAATGCTCCTAGATTCAATTTCTGTACATTATATCATACAAAATGTCAAAAAAAGTAAGTCAACATATTCTTCTAAAGCATAATATATAGGATGTTCCATTTAAAAGAATGTTGTTTTAACAAGTATCTCATAAACATAAACTATTTTTTAGATTACCAAATATCAATGAGAAAAAAAATCCTTTTTTTACTTTTTTTAATTTTGTATCTTCAATAATCATGGAGTTTGTACTTGTGCCGACTTATTCTGAAACTAAACACACACTTATATCACGTATTTTCCAAACTGAAAGCAGCTTGCTAAAATATCACATGAATTTTAAAAACAAAATACAGTTATTATGATTAGTTGATTATTCAGGTTCTATAATAATTCTGTTAAGTCTCCAAAATATTATGCACCAATTTTCTAGATCCTTTTGCGCTACTATGGATGATTATATTGCAATTGCTTCAGGGACAACTGATTTTTCCACCTTTTTACTCTATATATTATTTTATGTATAAATATTTATTTTTAAATAATAGTTATGAAATAAAAAACAATACATTTTCTTTGTCATCGACAATTTTCATTTTCCTATTTCCATTTCCCAATCACTGAAAAATTAAAAAACATTCTAATAATTATGTATACAGGGTGATTTATAAATGGTGACCAAAATAAAACTTCATATTCTTTGGTGAATTTTAAGGGGAGTCTTTCCTATAAAGTATTATCTAGGACGCTTCCTTAAGAAGATACTGGTTGTTAAATTTAAGAAAATAGTTTTAATTTTTTTGTAACCTGAGGGGTTATTTCTTTATCTATCTATTTGTCGTTACGACCGCTATCATAACGAGTCTGGATTTTACAAGAGTTTACTATTTAATTCTCGAAAGGGAGTTTATAATTATCATAATACTTTAATTAATATGTGGGAACTTAGAAATGTTATATGTTCAGAGAATGAATTTCAGGCACTTACCCTTTGTTGCTTACGTAGAATGTAATCCAGTGGCTGGCTATACAGGGTGACCCTGAAGTTGGAAGAAACAAAAAGAAACACCAAAACTTTCAGGAAGGGTTTTAATAACAATAAACAAAACAAACAAACAAAATAGCAATACAACGGCTCGAACAACATTATTAGTTAATTTATTGACACCCGACAGCGTGCCGAGATTCAGGGAATGCGCGCTTCATAGCAAAATTTGGAAAAACGTTATCCATTATTAAATTTAATTAATTAGCCCGATACTCTAAAGTTAAGTAGACTGCTCAATGTGAAACTCAAGGAAGAACTGACTTTTTCTCCTAGATCTCTCCTGAATTCGACACTTTGCTTTGACACGCCCATTTCTTGGGTCCAGAAGTTTCTGTTCTTATCTTATTGGTGGGGACCTGAATATCGGGACGCTTGGTATAACTATACTAGGTTAATAATTACCTACTTGACTGGACTTACATTTATATAAGAACTCTGAAACTAAACTTACTTACAAGTAACCCTAGCCTTCCTCTAGCGACTCCGTGTAGCAAATACGAGACGGATTAGTTGATCTCATTTAATTAACTCTTATAGCTTGGAAAATCCGTCAATAAACCAGCTATGATCAGTTACTTTATTTTCCAATTACTATCAATTTAACAATTTGATTTAATTCTACTTTGGAATCTCTATGCTCTTCTCGTGATTTCGCGCGTTATTAAAAATATGGGTTTCTACGCTGGCGCATCCCAGACGCAACAGATGACTGTCACATGGCCCCGACTCTAAGCGATCTTGTTGTCACCGCCGTTCTTGGTGGTGAAAATTCGAAATATTTAGAATTATTCAAATTTCGTGGCTGAAAACGTACATAGGTATTGTATTTTTGAAACCGAGTGAGTTGAGTGAAACTAAATCTGTACAGGACATAGCTAGTACCATACGAAACATCGCCATAATTTTAAAAATGTTGTCACCGCCGTTCTTGAGGGTGAAAATTCGAAATATGTAGAATTATTCAAATTTCGTGGCTGAAAACGTACATAGGTATTGTATTTTTGAAACCGAGTGAGTTGCGCAAAACTAAATCTGTACAGGACATAGCTAGTACAGGGCTCGGCAATCTTTTAAGCCGGAAGAGCCATCTGCAATAGAAATATCAATTTCATGAATTTCAAAGAGCCACGAATTTTTATTTCTGCTTTTACATTTTATTTCAAATTTAAATCGGATGTGGAAGTTTATATGCGTCTTTGTGTGTAGTCGTGTGCTGCTTGTCTGTCCGCTTTAACTGTTAATTTTTAGAGGAACATGAACAGCCGCAATTGTCTCTTGAAAGAGCCGCGGTTTGCCGACCCCTGTACTAGACCATAGATTAAACAAAGATATTAGCCTGGCAGATGACGGACTGGCCTACGTGTAAACTTCAATTGAATTTTTATTGGATTGCCTTCAACTTTATCATTGGATTGGCTTAGTGGAATGTCTTCGCAACTGGCCTCGTGTAAATGGGCCATTATTGTGTAAATAATAATTACTAACCTTATGTAAGCATTATATGGGAATGCGCATGTGTCTGATTGTTGTAAACTGTTTTGAATTACTCTAGGAACAAAGCTACTAATATTCTGTGCTAATAATTTCCCCACCTAATTCACCCAGTCGCAAAAAAAACACAGCATTTGCGCATATACATGTAATAAGGAAGGTAGTGAAGGTTAAGGGGGGAAATGAAAGACAAAGAAACATTAAAATTTATATTATTTATTATCATGCTTCTCACCGGAGGCTTCTGACAAGATTCATGACTCTAGAGAATGCATGACTTTTGTCATATGTAAACATAAATAATCTATAAATGTGTCTTAACATTTAAAAAACATTTATTTAGAACATATCTACGGACTTATGTTTTACTGAAATTTAATTTTTACACAAAAGAATGTACTATTTCGTTCTAAACTGTGATATAATTTCCTTATATAATTTTACTATTAAATAAAATATATAATTTATTGAGCCTGTTTTTTTTTTCTTAGTACATTGAGCTATATTAATTCTGATTTAGGTATGAATTGAAGATAGGCTACCTGAGTTCATATTTTCAATTCATATTAGATTATACATTTACAAAAAAATCTTAGCAATATTATTAAGGGGTGAATTACGAGGGAAAGATTAAATATTTATTTTATCTCCCTTTAACATTCGTTTAGTTAAATCTTCTTGAGCCGGAGAAGATCTACCCTGACGAATAGTCTGTTTTAAAAAAATAACATACATTCCTTTTCATACAGTAGAAACATAACTAACCGTTTTGTACAATAGTACAAAATACTTAATTACGTTAATGTTAGTTTTTAACAAATCCTATCAATCAGTCTTAGAATTGGTTAACACTGTCATACTATTTATAAAAAAATATTTTTCTAAATATTGTACACCATACATTCATAAGTAGGTAGGTTCACCTATAAATAAATAGTTTCAAAACATTAAACAATTATTATTTTGAGGGAAATGTGTGGGAAACGTGATATGAAGATACATACAGAACATTCCCATATATTTTTTTCTTGAAATATTAAACAATTATTTCTGTAACGAGATATGTAACATCTATTGAATACATTAATATTTCGTCTAATAATAAAATTCAAGTAAACTTAACGTTATTCGGATTCCTCAAGTCTGTTATACAAAATCATATTTTTGATAGTAGGTACCCTATAAGCATGCTACAACAGAAATCATTATCCAGATAAATTCCGATGTTTCAACTTAAATAACTATTTTTTAGAAAAATACAAAACCTTCAACTGTATAGAATATTTGGCACAAATATTATAATAATACTGCTGGGCCTTGGCAAACTTCGTTTACTATTATTATTATATTTTTATTGTCAGTCACCTTAATTTGACAATTTTATATTTACATTAATTATATGTTTGAATGTTTTTTTATGTTTCTGTATTATTAGGTGACTAGAGTTATTAGTTTCTTTTCTTCGTGATTTAAGAGACAGATTCGATAGCATCGGTTTTGTGTAGAGGGGTAATGGATGGTGATCTTTCCACTTCTGGAGTGACCGTCTCGCAGTTTGAACTGCATGGAGTCAGGATAGTCGGTATTAGACTGGCGATCTCGGGGCTGCTCATGCCCACAGTTTCCTCGTAGACTCGTTCCTGAAAACAATTCCATAATAATTAGTAGCAAGAACGACTTTTTACACACGAAGACAAAGGAAAAGGAAATCTGCAAATGGCTTTTCTCTCCTGATACTACAATATATTTTTCATTTAGTAATGAAAACATTGTCTCCTCTTTTTGCAACTGTTTTGAATCTACTGAAGAAATACATACAACGATGAAATTTGCAAAAGTATTGTAACAGAAACTCACCTACCTTGTTAATTACTTTATTAGTGTTGAGTATTGATGATTTTTTTTAGATACCTATATTTAGTGTGTTTCGAGATGCTTCTTATAAATGAAGAGTAACGAACAAGAATTCAAAAATGAATTGAATAATAGCTTACACATAATTAAGGATAAAGTGAAATATTACTTAATTAAGATGCAAGATAAGTTGTACAAGAAAGTGTAATTAAGTTGCAGAATGAATTCATTAATCTGGATATGCAAGTTGCACCGATGTCCTCAAAGGAAGTTGTTAAGGCTGAAGACAGTTTTCTTCCATCTTCACGAATTAAGCCGCCAACATTTGATTTAAACGTTACAGTCTAGAAGCAGACGCTTCAGGGCAAATAACTGATCCGAGGAAGGAAATAAGTCACTAATGGTAGCAGGGCTATGAAGGTTTCAAGAACAGTAGCTGAATATAAACAAATGGACTACCAAATGCTGCTCTGGGAAAGAGATATAATGAGTCCATGTACAACATATTTACCAAGTTCACCAAAAGGACAAAACACAACGCTTCAAAGAAAAGTTACAGTAATTTGATATGAAAGAGTCGGGGAGAACAATGAAAAATTGTTTGCGAGATTTCTTGAACAATTTGCAGGAAAGACAACCATACTGATTCTACAGTATTCAGCAAGTGAAGACCCATCCAAGCTTGACGAAGGCTAGTCTCGAGAGAGTCCAAGAAGGTATTAATGGTGCGGCAAATCAATTATTAAAATTGAAGTTAGCGCTGAAAATGAAAAAGAAAGCAGCAGCTGATTTAGATAACCAGAATAAAAATTTGGAAATTTCCAATACCAAAATCTCTAAAAAGTTCAAGTTCCGAGATCAAATGATTTGTAAAGATCAACGGGCCAAGGAAAAAGAACATTAAAAAATTAAAAACACAAAGCACGCTTGCTGCAGAAGTTAACCACAAATTGTTTACAATTGCAAAGTAAATTGGAGATTAGGTTGAAAGAGGAAAAAAGTAAAATGTCTTCACTAAAGAGCGAATATAAAACAACACAGACATTTTAAAGTCTGAATTGAATGTAGCAAGAGAACTAAAGGAATTTATTTGCCAAAGAATTAGCATGCTGGACCCATATGAATGGTACAATAAGATCCATATTAACGAAAAGAGTAGATTATGACTCATTTTTGGCAGAGCATGTCCTTGAAATGTTACTAAACATCATGGGTTTCCTTAGTCGTGGAGAATGGTCTGATAAAAAATATATGGGAGGGTCCTAATGACAAAATGATCTATCAAACTGTACTCCCCCAAAAGAGGGTTTCATAAGTTCTTCATGAACTTCATAATGTCCTTGGTGACAAGCATTTTGGAATACATATAAGACGTTGAACAAAGTTACGGAACGATTCTTTAAGCTTTGACATAATGCTAATGTAGAAAAAGGGATGGCAATGGAAGTAACCTGATTGAGGTATTTTCTCATTTTTTAATTTGCCAGTTGTTGTAGTACCTTTATTTTGATGTTTTCTAAGATATTCCAGACCATACATAAGAAAACTCTTGTGTACTCGTATGTTCGAAACTATATTCAGTGTGGTTGGAGATGTGTTATTGAAGGTCAAGGATATTCAAGAACATGATGAAAAAAAATAAAGCATGCAAGCATTAGAGAAACCAAACATTGAAACGTCAATTGTCATTGAAGTTTATTATTTTGAAGTGTTGTCTTAAGTGACAATAAAATCAAATTAATTTTAAAATTCCATGAATGTTACAGTACCTATTTTAATACCGATCTTTCAAAAACTCTTATTTTTACAAGGCGTCCAAAAACGAATACTTCAGTAGTAATTTCCTTGTATGAAAAATAAACCATTTGAATCAAGTTACCTTATTACAATTTCATTCATAGCAAAACTATAGAGGTAAATAGAGCTGTTTTGTATACGTTTTTTGATATTATTTCGTCATTTTTAAGATATTTCAATAAGATTTGCTATAATTAGGTTTTAAGTATCTACTTAAAACCACTTTCCACTTCCTAAAACATTGGTTCCTTAGAATACCTAAAACAATATATTTTGTTCTTATCATATTTTGTATGGGTAGACTTTTTGGTTATCCCAAAAATCTGCCAATGTCAAAGTTTCTGAAAGAATAATACTGGGAGTTATCTTAATAAAAAGCACCCTGCAAACGGTTCAAAATATCCACAATTTTGATTCAGGTCTTTTTTTAGTGTTAGCTCCGAATACACTTGGGCTACTCCACTCTATTATTAAGGAATGTATAGTTTATTATAAAATACCCCATAAAGCTCTAATATTATTATATGAAACACATTGTACACTTTCTATTCTATGTATAACTTTTTTAACGATACGATAGAAATGCTAAAATATTAATAGAGTTGCATTAAAGATTTCAAGGAGCACTGTACCTGTGATTTGTCATATTTTAGCCGTTTCCAAATGAATTGTTTCCTGTCGTTTCCTTGGGCAGAATTCGCTTCGTTGTTTGACGAATAGTAATTAGGATTGGAAAAGCTCCTGCTGGTTCCATACACGTACTTCTTCTTTCCCTTCTTCACGAGTACGAATACTACCACTATGATGCAGAGCAGAACAACAATGAACATCGGTACCATGGTCATTATGTAGAACGTGTTGGAATGACGGGCAGATACTAGTTCCGTGTCTTCCGCAAAGTTGCCCATGTCGTAGGGATGGTTGTGGAAGGTTATTGTTTCGTCGTAATAGTCTTCTTCTTCATAGTCGCATTTGTAGGTGCTTCCACTGCATTTCAGTGATACGAAATAATTTGGTTCTATAAAGTGAGAGAAATCTTTTGATTTAATTTGTCACATCAGTTATTGGCATAACCAAATAATACACGAATTTGAAGATGCTAACATTAAAGAATAGTGTAAAAAGTTTAATTTCTAGTCTCATACCTGTTTTACATCCTTGTGTTGGTTTATCTGGGCATCCGCATGAGTAATTTTTGTGTTTAAAGAGGCATAAATGTGTGCAACCCCCATTATCCACAGCGCAGGGATTCCAACCCAGTTGTCTATCAGCAGTTACCATTGTTAGACCCATAGCTGCATCAAGCTGTGGTCTAACTACCACAGCGTCTCTTCCTGTATTTTTCTCGGCCCTTATAACAGATTTTTGAACCCAGTCGGTCCAGTAGATATAATCTTGATACTAAATTGTACAAAGAGGAAGCATGGTCATTAAGCATTAAAATATGAATTTAGTAAACAGTGAAAAATGTAAAATTATATACCTGGGTCAAAGAGAAGGGATGAGTAGCTTGTATGTTCAGCAAAACCCTATTATTGCCATGCAAATCCGTTGTTTCGATCCTCTCCGCATTCAGCTTCGCATCGATCCAGTACAATCTTCTTCCCACATAATCCACGACCAATCCTATCGGAAAACTGAGATCAGAGTCCACTAAATTCCTCCTTCCCGAACCGTCCAAGTACGACCTTTCAATTTTTGGAACACCCCAGTCTGTCCAAAATAGAAACCCGCGTCTAGGATAGATCACTATAGATCTTGGATCGTGGAGATATTCCTTTATTATCGATTTCCGGTTGCTTCCGTCCAATCTAGCAACCTCTATGAGTTTGTTCCCAGTGTTTGTCCAATAGATATTGTTGGCTATCCAATCCACAGCCAAGCCATCCGGAGATAGGAGATTGGAACTGACGATAGTTTTCACATCTGATAAATTGTACATAGACACACTTTCGATGACATTCTTTTCTATATCTGTGTAGAAAATCAATTTCTTTTCCCAATGGAAATCAACGTCTATAACGTTGCGGATTTCTTCTATAGGTAGAGTCACATCCCAGGCATCATCAGTATCTAAACTGATCTGACTTAGAGCATATCGTGTAGCCAACAGCAGGAAGGTTTGAGGTACCAATTCGCATTGTTTGTCGTTCAGTTTAGATTTGCTCAAACCTGTGGGACAAGCGCAAGTGTAGGAACTTGGATTCCTCAAACATAGATGTGAGCACCCCCCATTATTATCTCCACAAGCGTTCTCGGCGATGTTGTCACTTTGAACTGAGCGAACGTCCATTAGACCTTCTAACTTGTCTTTTATAATTGTCCTGTCAGCACCAGTGTTTTTATCAGCTCTGTGCAGAGCTTTGGTTTGCCAGTCAGTCCAGTAGATGTGGTTTCCTACCACTACTAATCCGTAAGGATGAGGAACTTTGGTTATGATCACTTTTCGGTCATTTCCGCTAAGGTCGCTGGACTCTATTGTGTTAAGCTTAGCATCGTTCCAATACAGGCGATTTGATGGTCGATCTATTGCTAGACCATTCGGCCAGTTAAGTTTCTTCGAAATCAAAGTTTTCCTGAAAAGAGATAACGAAATTGGAGGAATTCAAAATTGTAATTATAGGAACATAGATACCTGGTAGTACCATCCATATAGGCGACTTCAATTTTGGCTTGTTTTCCCCAGTCAGACCAAAACATTAAGCCATGATGATAATGCAGTGTTATAGCTCTGGGGTTATCCAATTCTCTGTGAAACAACAACTTTCTGTTCTTACCATTTAACTCTGAAACTTCCACACTGTTCCTCTTGCCATCAGTCCAGTATATCTAATTAAATAAATTTAAATTGTATAAAATTAACCTCTGTTGGCAATTATTTTACCTTTCTTCCTGTTGAATCAATCGCGATCCCATCAGGAGCTTCCATTTCATGCATTATAATGACTTCCATATTTTTTCCATCTGGTGATGCTTTCTGTATTGTATCTTCTGCAGTGTCTGTCCAATAGATTTCCCCTGTCTTTCTGTCCACGTCTACTGAGGTCGCCAGCTTTAATGGAGGAAATGGAAGGACCACATCTGCCATGTAAGGTACATCTAAGGATATCTGGCGGATGTCTATACGATGCGCGAAGATTAGGAAGTTGACAGGACCGTTGGCGCAAGTTTTTGCATCATCCTTGAAATGGATTAACGCATTATAATCAGAAATTTACAGTATAATTTTTTTGTACTAAAAATGCATAAAATTTATGTCAAATTATTTCTTTAGTATTAGAAACAATACAAAACTGGAAGAGAAAATATAATAATTCGATTTGTTATAAAATTCTTATTAAAAGAAAAGTTTTTTCTAAATTATGTGGCAGGGATTTCTATGATCAATCAAGACAGATCTACTGTTGAAGATATCTTTTCTGAAAATAAAATAAATTTAATAAATTAGGTAAATTTACTATTTTATAAACGTAAATCGAAATATGCTTCGTTTCCGTGTATATTAATTTTTTATTTATTTTTGTTAATTATTTCAGTTTTAAAGATATTGACTCGAAATTTGAAAAACGGTTTGGAGGGATAAATGTTAATTTTTTGGGGTGATCCGAATATTTCTACTTGCATCAGTGGCGCTCGTGCGAGAATACCACAACCCTTTTTTAATAAAAAAAAATGGTACGCCATTGACTTTTCCTGTTTTGATATTTTTTTAGAAATCCTCCATCAATTCTGAATGAAATTGGTCTCTTCATTTTTTTCGTAGGATGCACAGTTTTTTGAGAAAAAAAAAATACAATATATTTTACTGCAAGTTGTGTATTTTTAATTTGTATTGATACATTATCTAGTAGGTTGCTGTCAATTTTTCTAAATAAAATACAACCATCAAATTTCGAGTCAATTTCTAAAATTCTTTGACATAATTAATAAAAATAAATAAAAAGTTAAAAAAACACTCTGTATCTCGGAAATGAAGCAAATTTCAACCTACGTTTATATGAACTTTTTTTACAAAATAACTTCGGCAACCACCTCCTAAAATATTTTGCACTTTTTTACAAACATCCTGTATATGTATACACAGTGTCTTTGAAACTGAGGTTTTCCTTTTAACTGGTGTTCGTAGGTATAAAAATAAATGATTTTTGAAATAATATGATAATAATTTTTTTTTAATAACCAAGATATTTACATTGAAAGAATGTACATCCTTTATAGCCGGTCCTTATTTGCTCATCAAGAAGTTGGAAGTTGGAATTTTATGAGGTCTGTATTTGAAAACTAATATTAATGTTGTATTAGTAATTAGGGAGACTATATTAGAGTGCACCTAATTAGATTAATTTAGTGATGGTTATTATAAAACTCGTTCTGCGAGACCACGCCTACAGGACGCGCTCGCAAAATTTAGTGTAAAGTCGTTGGATTTCGTTATCCGAGTCAGTTAAGTCCGGAATTTCGACACTAAGTTTAAGAGAGTAAGCTTCGAAGCCTCAACGGGGAAGCTGATTCGTCATTATGAAAGATTTTAACTTTGTTTTATTTTGGTGTCAGTCAGTTGAGTCCGGAATTTCAACAGGGAAACATCGCACATCGGAAGATTTTTAGCTTTATTTTATTTTGATTCAAACAGTTGGTTCCAGAACTTCAACAGGGAAACATTATGCGTTGTAGCAGAAGATTTTGCCTTTATTTTATTTCGCTATCGAGGAGCACCAGGTGATCAATTGTTGGTACACAATTCCAACAAATTGGTCATCAAAAAAGTTTGTAACAATCCCAAGACATTTTTTTTTAGAATTCGTTAATACTCTACAATTTTTATTGCGTAGGCAAACAAAAAGGTGGAAAATACAGCAGGGATAAGGAGAAGTGAGATCACTTAAATTAGTAAACCAACAGGAAGCAAAGCTGTCAACGTTGATCATCTAAGGTGTGGTCCCTCACTGCAGGCTTAGCCAGGCGACTTCTTAGGCCACGAAATATAGAGTTGGACGCGACTTTTTGTTTTGGCAAGCTGAATTTATCACTACAGATGCTAAAGTAGTTTCCACAGTCATAAAAATGGGGGGGAAGATTGTTTATAAGGTGGTTAAGTGTATAATTTTTATGTAAATTCACGTTTTTCGCTTATAACTTTTTTCCGTTCATTTCCACAAGAAAACAGTAAAATACTTTTTTTTTCGTCTTCAAAAGACCTACAAAACTAGCCCTCGAGTCTCAAAAAATATTGATTAGATCAAAAGTCATAAAGAGAAGAAGTTTATTTATGACTTGAATTAAACATTTATAAACTGCGTTATTATTAGAAGAACGTTTGGGCATCGCATCCTCTCATTCCTTATCACTGTCTAATAACTCGCACGAAGTCTGGAATCGTTAAGTTCAATAGTTTACAAGTTATGGCCTTATAAACAAATTAACTAATTATTAGTTTGGACGATCCCGAGGATCTACCACAATTGCACTGATTTTTTTCATGGTTGATTTCATAATAATACATTGAAATCTATCATTTTTTTTAATTTCAGATTTACAACCTGCACTTTTTTTATTTTTTAACATTAGTCGCAAAATGAAATATACGACACACGAGCGTGATATAGTTATATATTATTACATACAGCTTATGAAAAGAGCTTTAAGTTAAAAAAAATTGTTCAGATTCGTTGAAAAACAACGGAGTTACAGACTGTCAACCGTAACAACAACAACACTGTTAGACGCATATTTCTGAATTAAAAGAATATTCAGATTTGCAACAACAACTTGTTAACACTATTCGACGATGATATATGTATATGACAGTAAAGGGCTTGTTGATATGTTGTCAATGCACGGGAATGTCAACAAAACGCCTTAAAGGCATCGCGTTGTTAAGGTGGACGTTTTCCATGAGGTTCCTCCCCTTTCCGCTGAAATCTGTATATCTATCATCTCAATTACAAAGTACAGGGAATTAGAAGAATACTGTGGAAAACACTCGGATAGGTTAAACCATTCTATATGTAGAAGATGAGTCTTCTACTCACAGTTTTGGTTTTTCTCATCAGATAATCTAGGGGAGGTTACCTACATCTTCTAGATGATTCTTACTTACTGCGAAAGAGTATCATATAAACGTAAATGAATTAATAAATTTCAAAAGTCGAAATTCTACACACTGTGTAATTATTAATATACAAATTACTTATTTATTGTACATATTATTATTAACAAATACATTTCTAGTAATGATCATTACTTACCCCCAATTTTATTCCCGTAGGACAAGCACAAGAATGACCTTTTGGTCGAAGTAAGCACAAGTGGCTGCATTCTCCATTTTTAATCATACACGGATGTTTAATAGGCTTCCTGTTTCTGTGAAACACCCTTACGTCCATAAGATCGTTCATATTGTTAGAAAGGACTGTGCGATTTTGACCAGTAATTTTGTTGGCCCTTTCTATGTTCCGATTTTCCCAGTCGGTCCAGTATATATTGTTTCCAAAAACATCTAAACCAAAAGGGTGGGGAATTGTATTTCCACCTATAAAAAGGAAAACTCTTGAACAATCCGTACCTAAACTTGTAGTAATCCACCAAATGAATTGGACACAATACATATAAAATGTATAGCTTTTCTTATTAAATCATGCATAGTCCAATTGCTACATACCTAGAAGCACCTTTCTGTTAGACCCATCAAAGTTATCGAACTCAATAGTTCTAGATCCAGCATCTGTCCAGTATATTTTTCCTGCTGTATGGTCCACAGCTAACCCATTGGGCCAGGTTAAGTTAGTGCTAGCAATGACAAACCTGTTGGTGCCATCCATATTAGATCTTTCTATTTTCGGCCTTTCTCCCCATTCCGACCAATACATAAGACCTCCTAAAGTGTTTATTTAGAACGACAAATGTAACTGAAATTATTCTCCTCTTACCTAAAGGATCAACAACAATGTCCCTAGGCTTATCCAGTTCCTCCCATATCAGCAATGATCGCATTGTGCCGTTAGAATTGGCTACCTCTATTCTGGCTGTCCCAGCGTCCGTCCAATAAATCTTGTCTGTGGCCCAGTCTAAAGATATACCAGCTGGAGAAACTAAAACATAACAGTATGAATGTATAGACAAGAATGACATATAGCTATCGGTGAAGAAGACGCATCCGAACTTACTTATATTCGAGTGGACGAGAATTTCTTGGGAAGTTCCATTCCAAAAAACTCGGTTTAAGGAGTTCCTGTCTACATCTGACCAATAGATGTAGTCGTTCTTAGAGTCCCAGGCTACAGCCACTGCAGATTTTATTCCATCTACTGGTATTACCTAGAAGTATATTTTTGTTAAATACATAAATTTATATTTTTTGGTAAGTTTCCATGTGGTGTTTTCTTACCATTTCGTATTGATGCTGATAATTGCCATCCAGATACTTAATCCTCAAATCCTTCTTCCTTGCAAACAATAAGAATTTATCAGGCTTCTGGCAAGTTTTTGTGTCCGATCTTAATTTCTGGCCCATATGGCAGACACATGTGTAGGACTTTCGGTTGGGCAAACACATATGAGCGCATCCTCCATTATTTTTTCCACAACGATTAGTATAGTTTGGTTGTCTCTGGGGATGATAACTATGAATGTCCATCGGAAAATGTAGTTGTGAATGTAAAGTTTTCAAACCCGCCCCAGTGACTTTATTTGCTGTTGAAATGGATTTCGTGTGCCAATCCGTCCAAAAAATAGCATCCTCGAAGATAGTTATAGCGAAAGGATGGGGTAAACCCTTGCTGATTACTTTTTTCCTCATAGAACCATCGAAGAAAGCGGTTTCGATGACATTGTGCTTCGCATCCGCCCAAAATATCTGGTTTGAGGTATAATCGAGAGTTAATCCATTCGGCCAAAACACCGACTCAGTTACGATGCTCTTTCTGTTGGTTCCGTCCATTTCTGCTCTTTCGATCTTTGGGTTCGGACCCCAATCTGTCCAAAAAACTAAAGCTTCGCCTGGGTGTACTGCTATGGCTCTGGGTTTATCTATTTCGCTTGCAGCAATTATGGCTCTTTGCTGGCCATCCAGAGTCGCCACTTCTATTCTTCTTGTTCCGGAGTCTGTCCAGAAAATTAAGTCATGGATCCAGTCCAGCGCAATACCTCCGGGTGATTCCAATCCGGATTTAATAATGTCTGAAATGTTTGAAAAGATTCTGATAGTTTTTAATCTTTTACTATATTTAAAGTAAATTTAGTAATGGTTAATTACCTTTAACTTCTGTCCCATTGATGTTAGCTCTCCTTATTACATCCATTGACACGTCTGACCAAAATATGAATTTTTTGTCGTAATGATAGTCCAGTGCTATTGCGTTGTGCAACCCTTTTAGCAGTGCTGTGTACTTGGAGTTACTCAAAGACACCTAAAATAGTAGTCAATTTGTTACAATTTTTATTCGCCTCTTCAAGCATGTTCTTATCCGACCTATAGAAGAAGTCATTACCTGTCTGATGTCTATCCTGTTTGCAAAAAGCAGTGTAGGTGGCGCTCCCATGGCCTTGCATGTCCTTAGATCAGGCCTTAGTACGTAACCAGTCATACAACCACATTTAAAACTTCCAACAGTATTGTTACAAGTCTGAGAGCATACTGGATCAGTAGCATACAAGCATTCATTGATGTCTTCGCACCTGAATGAAATGAATTTGGATTACAGTAACAATTAAACTCCATCTTCTTGTACTTACGTATATCCATCATTAGCTAACTGGTACCCATTCTGACAAGAACAGCCCTTCTTTCCATCCGCCAGTGTGATGCAAAGCTGCTCGCATTTGGTGTTGCGTTCACATTCCCTTTTTGAAGGGCAATTTTCTTCATCTTCCCCCTTAGGGCAGTCTTTTTGACCGTCGCACCTATGCTTCTTGTTAATGCAAAATTCGGTGGTGTTGTCGTTAGGCGCTAGTCCGCTGCAAGGAAACTTGGAGATCTCGCACACTATTTCGCATTTGGTTTCATCTTCGCCGTGGCTACAGTCATGGTACCCGTCGCATACCCATGTATTCTAAGAAATAATGCAATAGTAAAGGCAGTACCAGCAAATATTAGGATAGTAGGTCTATTGGAGCAACTTTCTTTAGGTAATACAAAATGTTTGAAAAATTAAAAAAAAACTATTTTCTCTTGGAGATTTTGCATATATGACAATATCAACGATAATACAGGGTGTAACATGCGCACTTATCAGTGTTGCCAATTGTATGAAACTAACAGTGTGGTGGACAGGTTATTTTGAAGTCGACATATTTTTTTTATAGATACTTAATCAAATTTGTATGTTTTATTAAGTAATAATTAATATGGGTATAAGGATAGGCATACGTTAATAGTAAGTAAACTAATATTTATATCATTGACCTCAGATAGTCACCTAGTTTAGGTCACTATATACATACTCAAATGATGTAAACAATTGCAACAGCCATGGCTTGTACATAAAAGTGCACAGGAACGTATTTAGTAAAGTTAAAGCAGGTATTATTAAAAAAAATTAAAATCCTAAACAAAATTCTGTGTTTTTATTTTAATTCGACTTCTTCATCAGTTGAATCAAATCAGTGAAAACTATTACAAGTCAAGACAATTGCGAAAAGTCCGGGTCGACGACCAATAGTTTCATAGCCACATGCTTGATCATTGTTATTTTACTTATTTTTCATATACTTCATTTATCTGTTTACTCGTAAGTTACTACTACGTATATACGAGCTAAGTGTAAATGTAAAGTTACATCCTGTATACTGGTATAATTCATTTAGATATTTACCAAGATACATGCCCCGCTATCACAAGTAAACTCATCAGCTGCACAAGTTTTGGTTATATTATAATCACAATGGATCTCATCCTCATTTTCATCACAGTCTTGTTGCTTATCACATCTGTACCTCTCTGGAATACACTTCCCGCTATTGCACCTAAAATAAAAGGTGTATAGAAGTTGATATCTTTTTATAATTCTTCTTCACTTACTTGAATTCTCCATTGACACAATTCCCAGGGATTTTAGGACAATCATCTTCATCACTCCAGTCTTCACAGTCGTCATCACCATCACATTTGAATTCCTTCTTTATGCATTTGTGAGTAGCGCACTGGAATTCGTCCTCATTGCAGTAAGATGGAGTAATATCTATAAGTATCCAACATGGAGTTAGACAGATATTTCCATGGATATTATAGTGCAAATTAACATACAGGATAAAATGAATGATATTAATTCTTACCACAATCACTTTCATCCGATCCATCAGAGCAGTCAATATGCTTATCACATTTCCAGCTCAACGATATACAAGTCGCGTCGCTACATTCAAACTCATTGTCTGTACATCTGAAAATGTAAATACATTTTTAGTCAGTCAAGAGACAAGATTATTTTGTCTTTGGTGTTGAGCGACTGCAAAATGTTAATTAATAAATTAAAAATGTTCGGTTCTGAAGAAAAAATGAAAACAAATTAGTAGTCATACCTACTAGTTTTACCTTTTTTTAACTGTACAGGGTGTTTGGAAAAGTTGGTACAAAATTTAAGGGGATGAAAGTAGGGCTAAAAATAGTAAAAAAAAGTTCCTATAAACATTGATCCTCCAGAGCACCATTACTGAGATATGTCCCTCCAAAGGAGTCTTATCATTTGGATATTTTTTTAAAATAACTTTCTTTCTGATTAAGATAACGGAATGAGAATTGTAGGTAATAATTATACCATACGAGTCTTTAACTGCCATAAGTTTAATCAAAATCGGTTATAAATAAGGATAGTTTTGTAACTACTCTTAACAGAAATGTATCGAATTTTTTTTATTCCTTTGGATTATCAAGCAAATAATATTATTTTTTAATAAATTAGACTTTTTTAAAGAAAAGATGTTTCTACTTTTTTTTCGAATTCTGCGTAGTAAACAATCTTGCAGAGGGTTGCCTTCTATCTGGAAAATATTGCAGATACTCTCTTTGAGCCGCCAGACTATTTCCATTACAGAAATATAAATAAAATGCATATCGGCATATTCACGGTTAGTAAAAGCATGGTGGTTCATGGTTGTAAAAAAATCGAATGAAATGCAAAGTTGAGCACAAAGATCAGAACTAAGAAAATAAAGAAACATAAGAATTTAAATCATAGCACGCGATAATCATTAGTATCATTACAATTAAACTGTCACTATGAAAGATGCCTACTATGTAAAAATGTTTTAAAAATGTTACCTACTGTTTTGAGCCATACATTATTTAAAAAATAATTATTTCTGACTCAACTACGCAGAATTCGAAAAAAAAGTAGAAATTTTTTCTTCAAAAAAAGTCTAATCCATTAAAAAATAATATTATTCAAAGGAATAAAAAAAAATTCGAGAGTAATTACAAAACTATCTTTATTTTGATGAAACTTATGGTAGTTAATGACCCTTATTGTATGATTAATAATAAGACCCCTTTGGAGGGCCATATCTCAGTAACGGTGCTCCGGGGGACCAATGTTTATAGGAACTTTTTTTACTATTTTTGGCTCTACTTTCACCCTCTTAAATTTTGTATCATCTTTTCCAAACACCCTGTATATTAAAACAATATTTCATTGGGGTACTATCTTTTTGAAAGAAAAATCCTCCATTACATTCAGTTAAAATTAATCTTTCACATATAGTGTGGCCAATTAAGAACCAGAACAACCCTATAAAATTGTTTGGGATGCACAATTTGAACATTTTTTATATATTGATACAGAATGTTTTGGAAAAGGTACCATTAATTCAAGAGCTGATGGAACATCAAAAAATAAAAAGATTTCTCTTATATGGAACAAAAGAATATAGTCTTCCGTTTTGGAGGTACAGATCATCAAATTCAATTTATTTAGGTAAGTCGAATTTTAGCCATATTCCACATAACACGCTTTGTTTGAGTAAGTTTTTGAAGGTGCTAAATACGTCAGCAATGTTAGTTTTTGACCATCTACTAGATGCTGATGGTTACAATCTTACCCAGTGACATTTTATAAAAGTTTTTTTGAGATTAGATTCTACTCTATAATAAACAGAGTATCTGGAAATGAATGGGACATACTTTAAGAATAGGGTCCTTGGATGAAAATAAACCAATTAAATTAAATTTGCTTTCATTTTATTTTATTATAATTTTGTACGGTATTAAATTTACTTGTTAATTCAAATACTCCATTACATTTTAGATTTAGGGCCTACTGCAAAATTGTATTTTTGAAAGATTTGAAGTAAAGTTGTTTTATTTTTTTTATGCAAACATGTCATTCTTTTTTATCAACAAAATAATTTCAAGCTGAAATAAATATGCAAAATATAAGAGAAATTGGCGTTTTGAAAACTGATTCTGCTTGGTTAAAAAGTTATTTTAAAGATAGTTTTATTTCTTAAATTAAGTAGGGAGCAGAAAAATATTTTCTATATAGGTAAGCTTTTTCGTATATCAAAATATGACATAAAAAGTAATTGTCCGAGGTACTTTGATTTCATCATGTAAGATATAATTTTTTTAATAGAGAAATCGAAAAAAATTGACAGAACTAAAGTTTGTGTCCAAAATTTTTTAATTTTGTTATGTTTTATCTAATCAAACCCCATCATCAAATCTGGTATATGGACATAATTGTGAATAACTTTCCCTAATGCAAAATTTTAGTGTCATATGGATATGATATTTTCCCTACACAGATATGGATATGATATTTTCCCTACACAGAATTGGTTTTTCCGTCCTGATTTACTTTTGATTAATGCAAAATAATATATTGTTTTGCAATTCTAGAATGACATGAATATTAATAAATACAAAACAGTTGGCTTAATTAACAACAGAAAGTATTAAGCTCGATGGCTAAAAGGTAAAATGTAAAAAATGAATTATAAGGATGCTGTTTACACATTATTAAAATACGATAAAATATTGTTCTTGATTCTCGTCCCAGTTCAGTACCTCAAAAAGGGACCTTCTGTATTAAACATAGCCAGTACTGTTTAGAAATCAATCGAATTTGGAAATTCACTGTATTTTGAAACGAAGAAAATCAAGAATATCTATCTATGATCAGTTACATACAGCAGCACATACATCGGTAGTAACAATCAGTTTAAACCATATTTTCTTCAACATTACATACGTAATCGATTTAATTTTCCGTACAGTACATATTATCGATTCTTTACACTGTTGATCAATGATTGCTTTAAAAAATCTCTAAAAATTGCAATGATATTATCTTTATTCTTCATGTCCAGCAACTATATTTAATCACGAATGATATTAATGTATCATATATATTTAGTTCTCTTAACTAAAGCTTTACGAGATATTTGACAAGTTTTGAAAAACATGAAGTGACTATATGCTTTTCTTAAAATTGTAACTTCAAAGACAAATGTGTTTTGATCATAACAACAGTAGGAGTGCGGTGACTTACCCAAGCTTGGTGCAATTCAATTCATCTGAAAAATCTTTACAATCGTTGTCGTTATCACAGGTCCAAATTTTTGGAATGCATAAGCCGTTCTCACACTGAAACTGGTCATTGGTGCAGTTGATTGTAAAACCTGTAAACGAATACCGAATTGTACATATTGACAGAAGCTGTAAAATATCATTGGGTAGCCAAACAGACACATAATTTGGTCTTGCGTAGAAATTTTTACTAGTTTGATGAACTCATTAAAGTTTCTCGTTTAGAAGCAAAAACTCACCACAGTGAGTTTCATCCGAGTAATCGCCACAATCGTCATCTCCGTCACAAAGCCAGTCCTTTGAGATGCATCTGTTAGTTCTTGGGCATAAAATATAGTTCTTCGATTCGTCGCATTTGACTTGATGATGTTCTATTTGACCGCAGTCTAATTCGTCCTCGTTGTCTTCACAATCCATTTTACCGTCACACCTAAAAACGTATCAATTATGTTCTTGGCATCTTTTGCAGGTTAATAATGCAATATATTTTTAAATCAAAAAGTTTCTAAAAGATATGAATATTTGATTGTATTGTAAAGAATACTATTACAATTTAAATAATAGTAAAAGGAATTATGTAGATTAACCTCGAGATTTATAACACAGCTCCACAAAAAGAAGTTATGTACCAGAGACATAGATCTTGTGTTTTTTTTATGCTGAATGTGAATCCGCAGCCGATTTGCCAATGTATTTTTTGGTAAAACGTTAAAATATACATTTTGCGTTCTATTTCTGAATTCCACCAGCGCATTCACCAAAATTTTAAAAGTAATTTTAATTTTGCTGAATAGACAGGTTGAGTCATATTTAACGTCTGATACGAAGGTTTGTAACAGTTTACTTTATTTAATAATTTCAATCAATATGTAAAATATATGTTTTCATTAGTAATTATATATCATTTTCAATTTTAATTTTAGATAATACAGCCCCACAAAAAGAAGTTCTGTTGTATTTACTACATCATGTTTTAATAAAATGTTAAAATATCCCCTAAAATAGGAAGAAATAGAGGATAAGGTAAAGCATTATAATGAAAATCTACAGTTTGTAAATACTTTGAGAAAACATTTTAAAATAATAGTTTGAGTTTCGGTGGTTTTCAAATTCTTAAATCCAAAAAATTGATATTTTACCACACAAAGAAATGCGTTATGAATGTTTAAAAAATTGAGTCATTTGTGTAAAAATACGTAAATATCTAAAAATGAGAAACAATGAATATAAATTCGGTTTGCAATGTGCTGCCTTTTTGAAATAGAGCTAAAAATATAAATTTGATCATTTTAGAGCAGACTGTTCCAAATAAATTCTAACTGGTACTTGCTGGGATGACCCTTTAGTTAGAAAGGTCTATGTACTTATGTCTCGGATACAAAACTTTTTTTGTGGGGCTGTGTAATCAAAACCGGAAAATATATTTCAAAATGCCACTAAATTGTCTATAAAAAAAAGAAGAGATTTTACGAAAAAAGTAAAAAACTTTTTTACATAAATTATACAATCACCTAAGACTTCTAAAATCATATAACCTTTTCTGTCGCTATTAATATTAGAACTAATAAGTGCCAATATATTACATTTGCTACAATTTTTGTTCAGATGTTCAACTCTCAACTTGCAACTTAATTTCACGGAGACTGGAATATAAAATGATAACGAGATAAGTTCAAATGTCAAAGGTCCTGAAATGCCTCGATTTCCCCATGTTTTACTCCTTTTCCTGATACAGTCCTGCTAGAAATACCTACTCTGATTAATTTGGAAATGTCAAGTACAACATAAGCCTTGCAATAGGCAGTTGTATACGAAGTTTCTCATTTTGTTTGCCTCAGGAATAACTCTAATTATTTTGTTTATAGTCCATTATGAATTGGATTTTAAATTTTGTAAAAATAAGGACTATATTTTTTAAACTACGCAACACATCTTTAATAATAAAATAAAAGTTATTTATTATAATCTACATCATATACAGGGTGTCCCAAAAGTGACGCCCGTCCTTCTGAAATTTGATTAAGGGGACAAAAACAAATCGAAAATCAAGAATTGGAAATTTTCCGATTGTCTTTCTTTGTTGAATTATTCAAAAAAATTGTTCAAAAAACTATAAAAAAGTGAATATCCAATTTTCTCATCTGGAAACTGAGGTCTATACCTATGGGGACGAAGACTTTATAACCAATTGTAGGTAAGTATAGTTTCCGATTGTCGATAGTACCTGGGTGTAAGGAATTATTTTAACCTAAAACGGATAGAGAAAAACATTCTAATAATAAAACAATTTTATAAAATATAAATAGTAGAAATTGTTTTTACAAAAGGTGTTCAAATAAGTTGCCTTCTACTTCAAGACAATAATTGGCACGATTGAACATTGAAACACGAACAAATTGTAGCATCTCTTGGTCTATTAACGCGACAGCAGCGTGCATACGGGTTACTACTCGTACAGCTTCTGGATTTACAACAGGTTCGCTGTAAATCTTTTCTTTTAAATAACCCCAAAAGAAAAAATCTATTCAGATTTGGTGATCTAGAAGGCCATGCTATACGTCCACCTCTTCCAATCCATCTGCCTGGGAAGTTTTGATTCAGGTAAACTATAATGTGACGGAACTCCATCATGTTGAAACCAATAATTTATTTATGATTGCCACAGCATACTAGATCACTGCGATTTAATACAACTATTATTTTATTCTTCAAAATCCATTAAAAAATAAGTAAGTAATGTATGAGTGGAGCGTAAACATGGCTCAGTTGGCATAGTACTCGTCATTCTCCTAAGCTGCGAAAAAAACACAATAATTCTTTGTATTGCAGCAAAATGATAGGAATATTGAAATTGCAGTAGTTTTTATTCAGGCTGTTATTATCGAGGTAATAGAGCAACCAAGAATCAGTCCTCTGATTAAAAATCACATTTTCACATTTTTAGTTTTTTGAATATTTTTTTGGATAACTCAACAAAGAAAAACAATCGGAAAATTTTCCACTCTTGATTTTCAATTTGCTTTTGTTCCCTTAATCAAATCCCAGAAGGACGGGCGTCACTTTTGGGACACCCGAATAGAAAATAAGAATCAAATAATGTCTTACGCATTTCTTAATGTATTTTGATTATTACACAACAATTCCATCTAAGTAGTTAATTATATTCTTACAATCATGTAATATAATTTTACCCGACAAAGCATTATTTACATGTTATTAAGTACAATTCATCAAAACAGTTTAATTGTAATAAATACCAACATGAATGAATTCAATCATAATCATTCTGTATTCTTAGAATATGTAGGACAGATTCAATTAACTCTACAGGTATGATACAAAAATAGATGTAACTAAATATTTTATTATGGATACGTTACGTATTCAAATAATTCAGATTTTCTCTCTGTCTTTTGGGTAGGCAAAAATATCGTCACAAGCTTATATTTTTTTTATTAGGTCTCTAGTAGCTCTTGAAGTTAAAAGTTGAAAATCGATTTTTCGTTAAAACATTTTTAAATTATTTGAAGCAATTTCTTCCAATACATTAAATTTACTCGTAAGTAGAGTACCCTTTGCCCTTAAAAAACAAATCGTTTTCGGGACAAACGCTATTAATAATGAAGGAACCAAACTTTTTCAATTACACGCTAATGGAGATATTTAGTGATATGTGGTTGGCAGCATTACGCTTCACATAACCTGTAACCACATGTTTTTGGATTGTTAATATTTCATTTAGTTTTCGTGATATTGTTATTTGAGGGCAACATCTTTAAGGGTTAGTGACGATTTTCTTGAACAACGATGCAGCGTAAAATTTTGCGTAAACTTGGGGAAAACGTTTACGGAAACGTTTCAACTTTTGAAACAAGCTTATGGAGATCATGCTTTGGATCGTACGCAAAGTTACGAACGGTTTTCACTATTTAAAAGTAGCCGTCAGTCAATTGAAGATGATCCTCGACCAATAAGGCATTTGACTTTAACTGATGACACCCACGTTCAGAAAATCAAAGATCTGGTGCGTGCAAATCGTCGATTGACTGTCAGATAAATTTCAGAAAAAGTTAGCATCTCAATTGAGTTATGCCATGAAATTTCGATTGAAAAATTGAACATGCATCGACTTGCAGCAAAATTTGTGCCTCGTTTGATGATCAAGCAACAGAAAGAAAATCATGTGGACGTTTGTCGGCAACTCATTCAACATTGATTCAAAGGACCAGAACGTGAGTTGAAAGTTGGCTTTATGGCTGTACTATTGAGACAAAGGTTCAATCATCACAATGGATTGGCAAAGAATCTCCACGCCCCAAAAAAGCACGACAGTCTCGATCCAATGTCAAAATGATGCTCACTGTTTTTTTCAGTTTTAATGTTATTCTGCATGCATTCTTGCCTCAAGGTGAAACAGTGAACCAGTGTACTATCAAGGCGTTTTACAACAGTTACGTGAAAAAATTCTCAAAAAGAGACCAGTGAAACAACTCATAGTTCTTGCACTATGACAAAGAGCCTGCACACTCAGCTTTATCAATTCGTCAGTTTTGTGCCAGAAATCAGCCTCCTTGCTCACCAGACTTGACCCCTTGCGATTTTCTATTATTTCCGAAATTAAAAGTGGTGTTGAGAGGAAATCGCTTTGATGACATCAAAACAAATCACAGACTTTAAAGACCATTTTAAATTAAGCTATCCAGGACTACTCCGCGAATGGAAACACCGCTGGGAAGTGTGTGTCAATAGAGGAGAGGAGTACATACTTTGTAGGAAACAAGGAAAAATAATGTATAAAATTAATAATAAAGTTTAAAAAATAAAGTTCGATTATTTTCTGAACATACCTCGTACTGTATTCGAGATATCTTAATTGTAATAAAAAACTGACAACAATTTGTTCTCTGTTTTGTAAAATAAAATGATATTTCATATTTATTTTACTGCATATATTACTAAATTGTTTTCAACTTATTATTATTAAGGTATACTAAAATAGAATCTGCAGTATCAAGAACGGTTTGTTCTGGCGATATCTGATACATCTTTTTCACTTAAAACACATAAATCTTAGATATGGCGATAAAATTAAAATAGAAGGAGAAACAGAAGCTTTAGACCACCCAAATATGAAAACAACTCTTCAACTATAAGAATACAATTTTGTTATACAATCTAATGACCTGACAAATACGAGTCATAAACAAACTGCTCTAAAAATATGTATCCTTCGAAACGCAGACTTAAATTTTTTAGACCTAACTATTACCGGAATATTTTCATACTTGTAGCAAGTCTTGTCGAAAATTCAACGATAAAATGTTCCAATTATTCTTTTTTCACATAATTTTAACCTTTTCCTACATCTTTATTCCTACCTTTTTGCTCCAGAGACGCACTTGCAGCTCTTGTGACAAATAAACTCTCCTTTAGCGCAAGTCTCGTCACAATCAGGCCCATAATGATCCGGCACCATCTTGAAATCTACCTCTTCCTCTTCCGGTTGCTTCAGGTTATACATATCGGAAATATCATCGTAATCGGTATTTCGATGGTGAGGTGGATACCTTCCTAAATAGGGAGTGTCGTAATCTGAAGGAAGACCTTTTCCGGGCATGAAACCGAAGTCGAACGGATACCTTCCATTCGACAGACCGTGATTTGGACGGCCCTGGTAATATTCTGGTCTTCCTCCATACATGCCCCCGCCCCTGTTCGACGGCCTGTCGTTTCTTGGAGGATTGTGGAGCAGGTTTGGATTCAGGAGCACTGGAAAACCTGACCAACAATGATGGTAAAAAAATATTTTGTGGAAACAGTTTCAGCCTTAAAGCACATTTACAAGCGTCACTTTCGATGGTCATGGGAGATGAACCATCCAACGTGAAAATAAGGTGAACATGGAAACAGCAAATTATCGAAAATGATCATGTGGGAATAAGTAACCAAGATCCTACCACAGTCGATACTAAATACTTTTACTGCCAGTGCTTTAATTTTAATATTACTTATAACAAAATACTTAAAGTACAAGACTGCTGGTTAAATTTTATACTGAGGACTCAAATTTTTTTATCGTACATTACCAATTTGAAAATTTCTATCCTCGTTACCCACCTGACATTCTATCATACTCGTCTCTGGGTATCTCCAGTGGTATCATGGCATAAGGTGGCATAATCTGTATGAACTTTCGTTGAGGATTAAGCGACGGACTGATTGTGGTCCTCACCCCGTGTTGGCGTTGACCAGTGGCGTAGATAGGTTTGGTGCCTGGAGGTCTCAAAGACCCAGATCCGTACATTTGGCGGGCTGCTCCTCGATGGGCTGGGTAAGTTGGCGACGGACTGGCTAAATAACCGTCTGGAGCACACTTCACTGAAATTTTAACAAATGTTATATTAGCCTTTGCAATATCTCAAGGTCAAGGTGTACCTACATTTTCTTTTTAAAACTGGGCCATTAATTAAATGTAAAAGTTAGGGAAAAATAGCTATAAAGGTAAAATAAGTCAAATTTATTACGGATCAGTCCCACTGGATAAAAAATATATTTTAAAGCAGTACTCGCCATATATGAAGGACAGTAAAGGATTCAATTTAGCTTAAACTTCTTTTTCATACTTGAAGATGGTGTAGTTGATTAAAGAAATTTTTCAATCTCGGAAACAAAAGCGTGACATGTACATATCACTGTTCCGTTAAAAAAAAACAAAAGTTTTGTTATACAGTGTGTCCAAGATAAGGACGGGATAGCATTAGGATCTAGGAAACGGTAAGAGATACGGGGTGCCGTTTAGAAAGTGTTAAAATTCCGTGTAGTTCCGGAGTTATCTGGAAAAATCCGAAATTTTGCAAAATCGTTTTATTTTTTCTGGCTTTATTTGAAAACGAATTTTAAAATAAATTGCTTATTTACATTTCCATTTTTTTGCTCTATCCAATAGCGTCAACATTTTGGCAATCCGAGGTTCCTTCTTCGAGAGGCAATCATCAGGTTAATTTTTTATAAATACGTCGCTGCCGTTTCTGACAAAATCTAAAGTCATTTCTAATTTTGAATTAGATAATATTACTATTGTAATCGCTTAAAAAAGTTTTTAACTTGTTTTAGCTATCATTTAAAATTTTCCCTGACTACGCCTCTGAACGCTTTCAAAATATGTATTGGAGGAAGTCATAACAGTATAAAAGTCAATACAGCACAAAGTATCCCACAAATTTTTTTACTACTATTAGCAATACTAATTAGAAGTACCTAATAAAACATTTCATAAATTCGTATAATTTTTTTATTAGGTACAACAATTTTAAATTATTGTTTAAAAAAAATTGTTAGATATTTTGTGCTGTATTGACTTTTACACTGTTATGACTTGCTCCAACAGATATTTTGAGAGCGTTCACAGCCGTACTCAGGAGAAGTTTTAAATAATAGCTAAAACAAGCTAAAAACCTTTTTAGGCGACTACAATAATTATAACATCTAATTCAGAATTAAAAATGACCTGATGATGGCCCCTCGAAGACAGGAAGATCGCATTGCAAAAATCGTGTCGCCATTGTATAGAGCGAAAAAAGTGGCAACGTAAATATGCAATTTATTTTAAAATTCGTTTTCAAACACCTAAAGCCAGAAAAACCATTTAGCAAAATTTCGGGTTTTTCCGGATATCTCCGAAACTACCCGGAATTTTAAAACTTTCTAAACGGCATATTGTTAGTTATAAAAAAACACAATTTTTTTATAATTTGAGCCACCCCGTATCTCTTATAGTTTCCTACATCGTAATGCTATCCCATCCTTACCTTGGACATACTGTATATTTTTTTGATATTCCTAAAACTGTAGTCATTACCATTTTTTCTTAAAATGAAAGGTAAAAAGTATAAAGATAATAGGATATTATGTGAATTACTTCTTACTTACTGAATTACTTCTTTATTTGCTATTCGAGCGTGCTACGAATTGAACATTATTTGTATTCACTGTAAATATTAGGAGTGGTATCCAAATTGTCCATACTTTATCAATGTAGTAAAAAAATCAAAGGCCGCATTTATGAACCCAGTTGCAAGATCCTTTTGAAAAATGTGTATAAAAATACATTCAAAGAACCGATTTTAAAAGAGAAATAATTCGTAGGGACCTATTTAAAATCACAAAATTTAATTAATTTCTTATTAAATCAGAAGGTAGGTATATACCGAAATTATTATCCTTTAATTCTGTTTATCTGTCTCTACTAAGAAAATTTTTAGTAGGAATAAGTAAGTAAGAATTAGATATGTCTGAAATGTTATTATTTACGCTTCCATTTTGTTCCTGGACTGAAAAAAAAATGCACAACAAATCCTTTCAAATTTCGTTACACAAGGTTAATTTGCTATATTAGGTATAATATCAAAAGTGCGTAATGTAACATATCAAATATTAATTAATAAATGAACTTACGTATTTATAGAACATTTGAAGTGTGGGAAGTATCTCATAATCGATATACTGAGGCACAGTTGCTTACATATTTCAAATAAAATTAATTGCCTTTGATGATACGAAAAATCAAAGTAAATTAATATTGCCCGTGGTAATCACATCTCTAATATGCTTTATATCTTAGCTAATAAGAGTCTGTAACAGCACCTACAGAATAGCTCATAATTATCTTTCGTATGTCATATATCGTTTTATATATGTATTTTTTTTTGAAAAGTGGTGAAAAGGTAAATATTTAAAAGATGGAGATAATTAGATTTTTTATTTATTATAATTTATTATAGACATCGTGCTGAGTAGCAAAGAGGTAACACCCTTGTACACTACATCTCACTCCTTCTCTTACCATGTCTGTCTCACCTATGGCAAGCTGATAGATGAAAATGAGAAAGATGAAATGAGAAGTTGGAAACCGGTATATGTCTGATAGTTCAACTGACGAATAACATTAGCCCTTGCAATTTGAGTGTATTAATCCGCAGTATGGTTATTTCCCACAATGTAAACTAAAAGTTTGTTTCTCTTATAGAGAGTACACACAGTTACATACATACAGTTACTCTCTTAGTACCTTCAGAGGAGCAGGACTTCTGCCAGTTTAACAGTACCTATTAAAAGTCTAGGCACTGATTAATGGTTACCATTAAGATGTAACACACTTCTCATTTATATCTCACCCACTAACGACGAAAATATTGAAAACAAATAAAATTTCGGCAGGTACTAAAACTTATCAAAACCATGGTAAATCTGTTTACATTCATTAAATTGGAAAATTGTTATGAGAATATTTAGCAAAAAATATAAAATGATGCTTTGAAATTATTATTACGTATGTCTAAATTTTCGCTATACCTTTTATGTTAGACATTACTGCCTTGAGAAGAATATTGTAAATAAAGGTAAAATCTCCGTATATGCAGGGTGTCCAGAAAGGTCAAGTCAAAAATGAAGGGAGCTCAAAATAGTTGTAGTACTTTTTATTCCTATCGGGCTTCGTTGTGGAATTATTCGCCTTCAAAGAAAGAAATTTGAAAAACAAATTCCAGTTATAACTTCTAAGTTGTTACCATGACAACAATGAAATTTTGGCAATTAAAGTAACTCATAGTAATGTTCATTTCCAAGTGTAAACTGATATTCAATAACCTGGATTATACAGGAGCAGACGAAATTATCCATTTAAATTTACAACATTTTTGGCAGCGATGCCAAATTTGGTATTTTTCTTTCATAGTTCGATTCCTCCCTCACTTTGCTAAAAAAAAAGGTATACCGTATATCAGTTGATATATTGTACCTTTTTTGAGAAAATCAAATTTTACGAACATATATGTATTGTATCAAAAATGCCATATTAACATTTTTGCAAAAATCTTGTAAATTTAGATGACTGTCAACAATTAGCAGTTAGATATTTGCCATAAATCATTTTGACACCAGTTGTTGATTCAATATTATGGAGGATTTTAGCTATGAAGAATTTGCAGATGCTCATCTAATGTACGGACTTGCAGAAAGTAATGCATCTGAAGCTGTTAGGATTTACGCCAACCGCTTTCCAAGTAGAATTTGCATATTTGAATTAACGAAAACCCCCATGGTATTATTCAGACAAAACACTGCCAAAAATTTATCATTATTGTATGGCCGGGAATAATTGGAAACTACTTAATGGGACCACATATCATTGATGACGCTTTAAATGGGGATAAATACCTACATATACTGCAAGAACACCTTAACCCGTTAATGGAAGGCGTCCCTTTAAATATTTGAAATAACATATTGTGCACCACCTCATTTTAGCAGGGCAGTAAGGGTTTATTTAAATACCACATTTCTCGATCGATGGACCGGTCGAGGTGGTCCTTTTCCATGGCCGCCTCAGTCTCCCGATCTTAGACCTCTTGATTTTTTCTTTAGGGCCATCTTAAAAGTCTTGTTTATCAAACTCCTATAAATAGTAGGGTACACCGATATAATTAGAAATGATCCCATGTTATTTTTAGTACAGTAGAGGTGTTTGAGCAATTTCAAAAAATGCATTGAAGTTCAAGGTGCACATACATTGAACATCTTACTTAATAGTTTTTTTTTTCTTTTAATTCCATACAAACCATAGATTTTTACAAAAATATTAGTATCACATTTTTGATACAATAAATGTATTTGTTAATAAAATTGGGTATACTTTTTTTTTAACAAAGTGAGGGGGGTATCGAACTATGAAAGAATAAACTCAAAGATGTATAAATTTAAACGGATAATTTCGTTTGCACCTATATAATCCAGGCATATTGAATATCAGTTTAAACTTGGAAATGAACATTGCCATGAGTTACTTTAATTGCCCAAATTTCATTGTTGTTATAGTAACGACTTAGAAGTTATAATTGGATTTTGTTTTTCAAACTTCTTTTCTTTTCTTTCTTTCTTTGAAGGCGAATAGGAAAAAATTTTTTATGAAGTACTACAACTATTTTGAGCTTCCTTTTATATGTATACCCCTTCATTTTTGGCATGACCTCCTGTGTATATCAAAATTGATCCAAAGGAAGATCTTTGATCCAAGAAAATAGACTTTCAATAAACACCAAAATCGAAACCTTGGTAAATATCTTTAAATTAATATAAGAAATTGGAATGATTCTTATAAGGAAAATAATGACAATTATAAGAAAATAATGTATTTAACGAAAACATGATGCGTTTAGATTGTCATTACATATTTCTAAATTATCGTTCTTGTTGCATTTTTAATTATTATTGCCTTCAACTAATATTCACTCACGATTGGAAGAATATTCTAAGAAGGTAATGAGACAAATTTTTTGCAAAACTTATTTTCGTTGTAAAATTCGGTATATAGTAATAATAGCAATAGTATTGGGTAATTCTTTAATTTATTTACCGTCAAGGGCTTAATACAAGCTTCTCCTGTAATTTTGTACGTTATTTTTCATTCATACAAAAAAATTTCGTCGACTGCAGAATATTGAAGGTATTCCACAGCCTCCATGACGCGGACATTCGATATCTGAGAAAACAGTTACTGCGTCATCCCTAAGGCCGAAGTAAATATAAAAAATAAGCTAGTTGCGCAATCAATCACTGGTCCAGGACCCGATATGGGACAATACTTTTTTAAAATATCCGTGTTTGGCAGTCGGGGCCCTCCTAAACGAAATATAGTAAGGCGAGCTTGCGAACTAGCTTGTTCTCATGAATGGATTCATTCAAGAGACATGCGAACGAAAGCCCAACTCTGGCTGGTCGATAAAACGCCACGTCCCACATTTTCATTCTCTTGTTTTGGTTGCCGTCCCAGGGAGTGGGTGGTTTATTTATAACAACGATTGGGACGAATCCAATGACAGTCCATTTATTCACAGTCTATTAATGATGACTATTAGCGTTTACTATGAGTCCTAGGCTGCACACGTATTTGCACAAGGATGGGAAACGCCCAAAAACTTTATGAAACGACTTATCGAGGCGTCTCGGAAACGTATTACAAAAATTCAATATATTCGCTGTGTAGGATGTCGTAATTACAAACAGGGAAAAGGTGTCTGTAGCGCAGTACTATTGTTGTAGTCATGATCGGTTCGGAAATTGAAAAGCTTTTCAACAACAATATTTTCACGTAAAAAATATAAGACATTTGTTTTTGAAACGTACATTCATTATAATAGATCGTAACAAAACAAACTAAAATTCTCATACGCCACATTTAATTAAGCTTATTAAGTATATATAGTACTGGATATATCCGGTTGGCATTTTTTAGCAGAACATGTTTATACTAAGTATTATTAAGTGATAAACAATGTAATAAATTCATACGAGCAAACAAGAGGACTAGTGTTGTTCTGATAATTTAAATATAAAGAGTTTTAGGGATCAAAATCAGTGACGCGTATCATTAATCTTTACTAATTTTTACAGAAAATATTTTGTTTCATTTTCTTGTAAAATTAAATAACATATGTGTTTTTATTCACAACTTCTAGTCATTATTATTGTTATCAGTTAATTAGTAGTGTTCTGATCTTTGTTGTTATCTTCTGAAGGACTTAAACTGACTAACTTTTGAAGTGCCTTAATAATAAAAAGTACTTGTATTTTATTTACTGTAATAAAAGTAACCTAGAAACTTCCTGTCTTCTTTATTAGGAATAAGTCCAAACAAGAAGACGCCAGCAACGAATTTATGAAAATAACCTAATAAAAGCCGTTAAACTTTAAAAAGAAATAGAACAATATTAACAAAAGAACAAATATTCCTAAATAGTATGTATGTTGCGTTGTAGTAATAAACTGAAGACAAAGAATATGAAGAACTATATAATCCGAATGATAATAGTTTAATAATTATTTTACACAGTAACTGTTTAAAAAAAATATTCCCAATGTCTTGTAATTCTTATTATTACACATTGAATGTTTGTGATGATACCGTGATTAGGCCTGTTGTGTCCAATACAAAATTAAGATTCTCTCATTATTGCTTAAATTATTTTGATGTGGATACTTACTTTCATCCACTGCCTTGAAGAAAACTTGTGTTGTTCCACATAATCTTGGTGATATAAATCAGTATATAAATAATGTATAAGACAATACATAACAGAAATACATAACCATGTAATATAAACAGGACATTTATCAATGTTTTATAAAAGAAAAAACTAGTTGTTGCTAACTGAACATGGCCTTTAGAGAAAAATAGTAATCGTCAAGTGTCTGGGACACCATCACAACTAAATACTAATAAATTCTTCATAATTTATCTACCTTTGACATTTACAAATAGCTATTTATTAGTTTGAGGTAATTAGTTCATTAATGAAATTCAATAAATAGTATATACAAATTATGTATAATTAAATATCAATTTTTTTACGCGATTTTTTAATTACATTTTAAAATTCAACGGTTTTAATAAGGAGAATTTCATTTCGAACATGTACTTGTAAATCTAGGAAAAGCGTTGTAGTTTTCATTGAAAACAAGATGTATTCTACAATGAACCGTTATTTTATTATAACAGGTAGATTAATAAAGATTGACATCAGGACCTAAAAGGATGCTCACCATAAACAAGGCTGACACCAAAGATGAGGCATATTCTAACATCCCCGAAGGGCCGAAAGAGTCTCTCCACTTTTACCATTCTTCAGCGAGATTCGAAATGGAAAAAGGGTGAAGAATCACCCTTTCCTTCAGTATCTTCTCTTATAACCAGACATTTCGCCAAACTCAAACCATTCGCGGATCCCGAAGAAGTGATGCTTTAAGGGTGGGTCCTGTCAAAATAATCTGGCGACCCAATTTCCTTCAAAGCCGCCTTCCTGCTCACTTATCCTGCAGATGTTAGCTGCCTGCTCGATCTGGAGGATATTGTTGATTAGTTTTGTCGGGGACAGCGATTTAATATTTATTTTCTCGGTTTGTCGGTATCGATTTTGGTTGCACTGCGCCTCAGCATCCACACACCACAGTTCACTAGGAGATATGGAAAACTGAGAGAAAATCGTCTCTGTCCCGTTTCTGAGTGTGCCTGTACCGGTTTCGGACGTAGGGCGCCTGCGTCGCGATTTACACCTACACAGCTTGCGTTAAAATTGTAATTTAAATAGAGGAACAGTATTTTTGTATAATTCCCTGCTTCTATGCTTAGGATTATGTATCCAAACTAGGGCTTCGTAACCACGAAGAACACGTTAATCATTGCGTTGGGTGGTCGGTACTCATCGCATCGTAAAAATATTGTGATCTGATACAGAGATTCATGGCTTGGCTTGATTTTCAAACTACTTGATTTGATTTTACTGAAAATTAAGTAGTTCAAGATATAGCATCTAAGTAAGGAACTTCACGGATTCTTAAAAAAAAATGTTTTTCATACTTTTTAAAGTTAAGTATATAAAATATGTTCCTGTTTTTTTTCTACCATAATATACGTTAATAAAGTTAAAACAGCATTTTTGATTATTCCCGAAAACGTTTTCTTGTTTATTTATTTATTTTTTGATAATAGAGACTGAAACAAGTATATTTCTAACATATTCTACGTACGGATTATTTACACATTCTACCACCCTTATCACTTTCTTATTTAGAAAAAACTATATGGGCCAAAGTTGTATGAAACTTTCTTGTGCTTAGAAGTGGAACAAATAACACAAAACCTTTAGAAAAAATTATATTTTGAAATGACAATAGAGTAATAATTATACCACCCTTATTTTTTTTACTTTCGTACTTAGAAAAACAAATAGGCCATATGTTGTAGGAAATTTTCTTGTAATTTCAAGATTGTACTCAGAAAAACAATTGAATACTGCATTTAGGAAATATTTATATGATAGATCTATTCTATTCGAAAATAAAAATTCTATCCAAATATGTATAGTATATAAAAATACACACCGTATGATACTTAAAGAGAACAGATTTAGTAAATATATTCAAAATACAACAATCAATTGTTTTTCTAAGTAGAATTTTGAAATCACAGGAAAATTTCTTACAACTTTGGACTTTACCATTTTTCTAAATGCAAAAAAAATATGAGGAGGCAGAATGTTAGGTGAAAAACACTTATTTCTACTTCTATTATTCATATCTACTCGTTTATCTTTTTCTCTTTCCATTTACAGAGAAATTATGAATGCCAAGGTTTCAGGATATATTCTTTTAGACAAAACTTAAAAAAGAACAAATTAAATATAAGATTTCGAAGATATTTATAAACCCAACTTGCGTTTTTCTAAAAGGAATATCGTGTACTTTTGACGTTTCCCTAAAATCTTCTTTTCTGATTACAAAGGAATATACAGGGTGATTCACAACTTATTCAAAAAAATTTGGGAATAGATGAGGCATGAGAAATGGAGTCAATATCGTAAAAAAAATTGTAAAATCCTTATAGTTTCCGAGAAAAATATTATTACCGTTATAGTACATTCAACCACTACATAGCTGGACAACTGTAGTCTTTAGAGTGATTCGCAATACGCTGGAGAGCCACGTGGCCTTAGCGACTCCGAATACTGAAATCCGTCGTTGCGATAGTGTTTACCTGTTATCTGTGGTGTTTACAACAGTTTTTTAGTAGTTGGTGTCAAAAATGGTTTGCGTATATAGCAATTCAGAGTTGATGGATATCGTTTTAATTTATGGTGAAGCAAGACAACATTTGTTGTTTGAATTGTTTGAATTGTTTTGAACAATTGTTGTTGTAACATCGGGTATGTCAAATGATTTTATTATTTAAAAAAGCAAATTAACTTTATTAATTAATAAAGGCAAAAGCATTTGAATTTGCCGATATAAAATAGGTGCTATAAAATCAGGTCAGGTTTTACAGTGGACCAGTTTCCAGTGCCGTGCAGATGTGTATTTTTAAATCAATTTCGAACTGCCGTTTTTAATTTTTTCTTTACAAAATTGTATTTGTAAGGGTCCCCTGTACATCCAGAATTTTTTTTTTTGGATAAGTTCTGAATCACCCTGTATATGTCAAATATTTGCTTTCATAATTTGCATAATAATTTGTTTTATTTACTAACCGAATAGATAGTCAAGATGTACATGCAATTCATGCACATTTAATTGTTTTTTGTTTTGTATTTCATTCAGATCTCAACAAAATTTCCTAAAACAATCATATTTACAATTTTTTTTTGTGGGTACAACAGTAAAAGAGATAATGGGTGTAGGCTGTAGAATGCTATGTTAATAATTCTGTACACATCAATTAATAACCAATACGTTGTTTAAATACAAATTCATAACAGTGAGTAACAATTGGTAGTCCTTAAGTACTTTCCGACAATAGAGGAGGTGATTCTTTGAATTATTTTAAGGGAAAAGGTTCTTATGAAAATATGCTTTAAACAATCTTGAGAGATTGAGATATTGAAGCTTTTGAATTATATCACATTTTGGTAAAATTTAGGAACTTGCAATGATTTTGTGATTGCTGGAAACTTTGGAAATTTTTTAATTAAATGCGACTCTTTTTTAAAATACTGTTATAACAGAAATATTTCGTTGGTAGTACGTTTCTGAGCAGTTGTTTTAACGTATAATAAAAAATCTATTAAATTGCTGTTAGGGAAATCTTTTTACATTGTCACGGCAATAAAGATGAACCAAAATATCATGGTCAATATTTTTCTTTAGTAAAGGACAAATAAAAAATAAAATTTTCTCAATTGCCTTGTTGACTTATAACCAAAAATACTACTTATTTAAATAGACAAAAAAAAATTAGTTAACAATATTTTTAACCACGGTACATTTAATAATTTTGTTGTTGGAGCGGTGAATGTAATATTAACGAGTATTTTATATTTTTTTTTTCTCGTAAATTTACCGCAAAACTCGCAGCAAAAATCAAGTTTTCAAATATCGTTAAATTAAAAAAAAAATCGTCAATAGAAAAAATATGTATCTTTCTATTTAAGGAGAATCGATAATTGCCTATCATTAAGATATATGTAGAAAAAAATTATGTATTGGAGTTTATTATGAGACACCCAGTAGTAAAAATGTTGTAAATATCATTTGACGAGTATTTCTAGTTGAAAATGACAAATATCTCAAAAAGTACCAGCATTAACACCTACAATGCCTATATTAGACCAAATGGGGAGTTTAATTTTATAAAACAGACTTCAAAAATGCAGGATATTATAATTGAAGTAAAGAAGTTTTTGCGGTTTGGAATTTACCTGAAAAAATAAATACTTTGCATATCATTTTGAACTTGTGTTAATTACAATTAATTAATTATCAAACAGAAAGAGTATGGCAGACTTCTTCAACTGTAAGATTTTATCAAAGTATTAAATACCTCTTAAATAGCTAGGTTTACCTACAGAGTAAGCTATTTTTTAACCAAAAAAATGTTAAGTCCTGTACGTAGATATAAATTCAAATTTTCACAGCACCTTATGATAGTATAATGTACCCACAGTTATTATTAGGACAAAATATCAAAAATAATATTTTTATATGAAGATTTTTAATCTTTGTTTGATAATTTTCCTAAAATATCTGAAAAGTAAGTATAAAAATAACCATTTAAAATAGCAGGAGACTTATTTTGTTTTTCTGAAGTCATGACTTCCTTGGAAAATATTCTACTCATACAAAATTAAGCATAAAGTTCGGAATTTACCAAAATTGAAGATGGATTTTCTCTTTTTAGTTTACTTCTTATACTAAAGTCAGCAGGATGAATCAGTGGCCTAAGGAAAGCCTACATATAATTCCCTTAAAAGCAGACAAATACACAAAACACATCACTTAATATCGCACACTTTAAAAAGGTCGTTAATTTTCGAAAATCAACTGTTTTCGTCTTCTGAACTTTTTAAAAATGGAAAGTCAAAAAAAGTTCAAAAGTCGAAAACAGTAGATTTTCGAAAATTAACGACCTTTTTAAAGTGTGCGATATTCAGTGATATGTTTTGTGTATTTTGTATTTGTCTGCAGTGTGATTTTTTGTTTATGTAAAACTATTTTCATAGAAAAAATCCTTGACTGATCCATTTAGCGTAAGAGTTTATTTCACTGATTTTTTAAATTTTTTCACAGGTGGAAAAATACTCAAAATATAAAGAAGAAAAAAGAAACCGTACTCAAATTTCTATGGAACATGAAAAATATATTGAAAATCCCTGTTGAAAATGCTTTGTATTAAACCCAATATGTTCATCAATATGATTATGTCAATTCATGGCCCATGTAATAAACATATAATTGTCTGCATATCTATAAAATTGTGCCAAAATTTAGTACATATTGCTTCGCTGAAGAACAAATATGTTCAAAAACTGCACAGCGAAACTATTGGTCGGTAATTTTCAGTAAATCTCCATTCTTAAGAACTGGTCATATTTCGGCAGCGTTCCATTGTTCAACAAATATTATTTCTGTGCTTCTATATTTTCTGTTATGTGTACATACTCTACTATTAAAAATCAAACACTTTTTGTTACAGATATTATTTAGTTTTCTTTTTGCATTATCGCTGGTGAAATCAAGCAAGGCGGAACCTTATGTCGTAGTTCCAAAAATAGCATCATATTGACATGGGTCTATAATCATATGCCTTTTAGATAGAATGAAAGTGAAACTGACAGTTAGACCATTCATCGATCTTTCGAACGACTTATTAGATTGCTATATTTAGCGCTAAATGCCAATGAGCTTAAAGTGGTTTCCCCACAAACTGATTACATTTCTCAAACATACCCCTAGTCTGCATGAGACTAACGTTACTTGTCACATGAAAGGAAGGATATTTTGTGATGAAACAGGATGTTTAAAGCGGCCACTAAGAAAAATTTTCCAGCTATGGAAATATAATTGAAAATAAAATATTCCACGAACAGAAATAATATATTTTTTTTAAATTTAATAAAAAACTCTAAATTCAAAGTATGCATTGGAAGAGAGCTTTGATTTACAGAACGGTATGATACAGTTTTATGTTTCCTTACTAACAAGCAACAAAATGTTTTTATGTTTTTACATTCATTAAACATTCAAGTTTCTTATAATTCCTGCTACAATATTATCGTAGTCCCTGTCTTTGTGGTTCACTAAAAAATTTTGAGCGATGTTGCAAAAACTCCACGCTGTTCTCTCATAGAAATGTTTATCGTGAAATATTTTTCGGAACTATATCTGGGAACAATCACCAATCGTAAACGTTGACATCTGTACAGTACACCAAAAAGCCATCGTCTTTTTTTATTGAAGAATTTTTGAGATTCCTTTTCTTAATCCCTGTAAAAAGTTGATTTCGTTCTTGGTACTACCAATTTTCAACTCTTTAGTTCACCAGCCAAAAATTCAGTGACATCTTTTTGATGGTGGTGAGTTTTAAGGTCCTTTGACCAATAGTAAGGCGAATGCGTGTATACCAACTGATTGGTGTTTGAGAAGTGGGGCATTTACTTCCCGGAAGTTTAGGAGATAATCCGAAGTAAAAACATTTCATTATTCATACGAACTGAAGATTTTGCTTTTACTGTAACTAAGAGTATATATGCTTTTACTACTTTAAGCAAGTACTTCCTTATTATTCACACGAGTAAATCTGTTAAATTAATTTGAATGAATATTTTCACCTATTCTAACATATTTGTTCTTTTAGCAAAATCGTTAAGTAAAATTGTTAAAACTGGTTTCAATTAACCGAGTACCTCAACAGTTAAAAAAACCACTACAGTTGAATGGAAAAGTGAATATAGTGTCTCCAAAACAACTTCACGTTTATATAACTTTGAGTATTTTTTTTAAATCTACGTAACCAATCAGCTTTTATTTCGAGGAACACATTTTTTGGTTCAAATATTACCTAATTTGATAAGTTTTTCCATCCTCTATAGGACCAATTCGTCTTTTTACAAGTATGTAGATTAGTTTTAAGAAATTGTCGTTTCTGTAGAGGTCTTCACCAACTGCTACAGTGTGGTTTCAAAAATTCTTCTGTGCTATTTCCTAGAATGTCATTTTGAATGTCTGCCCCCCCCCTCTCCCCTAGTTACAAAAACACAAAAATACACCGGCTCCATTTATTTCTAATATCTGACATTTTTTTATAACACTATATAAATATCCTTAATGAATAAACTATCTAGTCATAGAATTAATCTCATTTAGAATAAAAATATCCTCTTATTACACTTATTCCAGTTTCGATTTATAGATAAATATACCCATTTAAGCTCGTAGGAAACTATCATCACTATCATCCGAAGGTTAAACTCACTCGAAGAAATAAAACAGCCAATATCCCACGTTAAATAGTAAAAATGTGACGGGGAACACTATTCTTGAATACTTGTCAATGACGTTAACGTCTTTGATTTTCGGCATGGAAGCCTTTATGACTAGAGCTCCTTTTCTAATGGCGTGGAGGACCTTGGGCTTATGGATGGGGTTGGCTAGAATAGAACAAAATATAATTATTTTTGAAGTTTAGTAAAACGCAAGATACGAGGATACAATTAAGGATAAATGGTGTCCATTTAGTGGCCCGCTCTTCTATCAAAACCTCCTTCTTGGTCAGAGTCGTGGGAATGTTAATTAGGTTGAAATGGCGTAAGTGTGTTATACAAGTGCGCAAGTAATCGCGGTTTTAAGCCTTATATGGCCCGTGCTGGTACTTAAAGTACGATGTTTTTTCGGGTTGTTATGCTTTGTACCTGGTCGCCACCAGTAGCAGACTTGGACGCTATCACAGCCACTAGGCCCTAGTTTATTCCGGTTCTTGTTGTTGGTTTTAAGACCGCTACGGAGAGAATCGCCCCAAAGACAACGCTGGTCCTCTGAAATGTTCCGTAGTGGGCATGGCGTCTGTAACTGGTCACAATCAATGTTTCCAAACGCCTCGCTGTTCTTCACTGTCAGCATTTTCATTGGTGTTGCTGCAAAAGCTTCTCCTCAAATCGGCTAAGGCGAAGGAAGTGCAATATAATTATTCCTTAACTGGCGGGGATCAGGTACATAGGCAAACCCAAAAAAATATGAAACATTTAAAAAATGGGCACTTTTAAAATATTTTTTAACCGTTAATGTTTATTAGAATTTCAATATCTCCTGTATCACGAACTAATTATGCACAAAATACATATAGAAGCTGTTACAAATTCGCTTCTCAATACAGGGATCTCGGAAACGGTAAGAGGTACGAAGTAGCATAAATAGGGATAAAGTTGCGTAATCAGGGGGACCAACATTATGCCTCTAAAAAATCAAAGCTAACGTGATTAGTTTTCGAAATATTTGAAAAAAACCGAAATTTTCAAAATTTTGTTTCATTTCAGCCTTGTTTGAGGTGATATTGGAAGAAGAAGAACACTTTCTCAAGGCCACATCATCAATTTCATTTTTTTAAATAAATGAAAATTTTATTACCTACTTACATTTTTTGCAAGCCTTCATGACCCCCACTACTGTACTACCTCAGCCCGAATCAGATTCAGACGTTTTGACTCGAAAAATTCATCTTCAGTGTATTCGTTCTAAATTTATCTAAATTTTTTATTTAGATTTCTTTATTTATTGAATTATCGTACACTGTAAGTGTCGTTAGACCCTGTGAAATCCATCTAGTTATTTCAACTATTACCAACACGCACCCTGATTACGCAACTTTGACCCCATTTAAGCTACTTCGTACCTCTCACCGCCGTTTCCGAGATCCCTGTAGTGAGAAGCGAATTTGAATGTTCTGTTGCCAAAGTTGACAAAATGACAAAAAATTATTATAAACTGTCAAGTCAAAATAAGGAATGAGGATGCACGTTTTTGCAACACCCTGTATATACGTCACTAATTTTAAAATGTGTCATTTTCAGTCCCATTAATATCCCCGCAATGACTTTGATTAAAGATAAGGTTGTGAGAAAAGTAATCGCCAATAAATTCATACACTGCACATTTTATTTTTGACAAATTTAACATTCCATAAATAAATTTGTCAGTCAATTTATCAACAAATATAAGATCAATGAAAGTAAATGCACAACATACTTCTCTTGTACTGAAATTTATCAAAAGATAGTTTTTTAAACTGTACGATTGCGTATTACATTAACTTTGCCTTTCAAATTCATGGGAAATATAAATGTTGCTTCCTAGTAACACATACAACTAATTAAACGGGAATTTAATGTGACAATGAATTAGATAATCTAAGAAAAAGATGCCTCCAGACTAAATCTAATCGCAAATTTTGTCTGAAATAAATGTTATACTTTAATTTTAGGTGATTTGATTATTCATTGAACTTCCTAAGTAACAAGCTATAACAACTTGTGAAAATGTTCTAACTTAATTTTGAGCAAAAATTCGTACACATATTTGTCAACTAATGGCGGAGTTACTAAGGAGCAATATCACTAAGAGTTCTAAAATTTTTCTATCACGCGCGCTCGCTATGGGACCTATAGTGTAGGTGGTTAGGTGCACGGAAAGTGCAGGATAGTACAACAGCGCAACCCTGGAGCGTTGCGCGATGAAAATAACATCACGCTGTTGTACTATCTAGCACTTTCTGTGCACCTAACCCCCTATGCTATAGGTCCCATAACGACTCGCACTTGTGATAGAAAATAGTATGTGCAACTCGTTCGGAAAAGTTGCCATAGCGCCACTTGGGCGCTTTCACTGCGTCCGCGTGACGCTATTGGCAACTTTTCCCCACTCATTACACAATGTACTATCACGCCACTGAGTGTTTCGGAAATTGATATAATAGTGGAGTCAAGATAGCTTAAAATTACGCATTATTTCGAAATAATTATGGGAAGCACGGATTTTCCTAAAACCTTTTGAAATTACTTGGAGATAAGTATTAGAAAAAAGTTATAAACTTATTTTTGTACGCTAATTGTTTTTTAATTGTTTGTTTTTAACAATAATAAATAGTTTTTTTAAGTACATTTGAAATAATTCAATGAATTTTAAATCGAATTCTTTCAAATTGACAATATAGGGGTTTTCGATGTCACTGAACAAGAATATGGTGTCGGAAAATGAAAATTCATAATTTCTGATCCAATATGGCCGACTATTTTAAACAATTTATTTAACAATTATTGATTTTAAATTAAACTCGCTTATATTTGTAATATAGGGGTTTTTGACATCGCTAAACAAGAATATGATGTCAAAAAATGAAAATTCAAAATGGTTGATCCAATATGGCCAACTATTTTAAACAATTTATTTAGCAATTATCGATTTTAAAGCAGACTCGCTCATATTTGTAATATAGAGGTTCTAAAAATGAAAATTATAAATGGCTAAAAAGGTTTTATTGAAAATATGTTTTATTTTTTAAAAAACAAATTTATTACAAAATAATTAATTTTTAAATCTCATCAAGTTGCACCATCTAAAAGTAGAGATTTTAAGCTTTAAAAAGTGCTCTCATAAAGTTTCAATATCACATTTACAACTATAGTTTTTGATCTATAAAGTATGGCCTAAAAAGTCAAATTGTGATGTTTTAAAATTATTGAATATGTTGTGCTCAATATTTTTTAAATTAAATTTTTAAGATTTTTTCAATATAGCTCACTGTTTCAATCGTCATTTGAAGAGTAATCTGTGAAAGTTACAGATATTTATTTTAAAAGTTAAAAGAATGACAGCTATTTTATTATTATTGTACAAAATTATAGAATGACGCAACGTTGTATATGTACTATATATTTTTTTTTCTCAAGTTTAAAGACATAAAATTTTGATAGCCGGATGACTCTTCTTTCATTTAAATTTTTGTGAGGTCGATTTGAGAGCTATACTTGGGGGCCGCCCGTCTCATTTTTCGTACGTTAGAAATAAAATTCTACAGTCTTCAATTCTCATTTTAGAAAAAAACTTTATTAAAATTCTTCTTCTTTCGAATGGCGCAGTTAATTTTTTTTAATTAAATTTTTTTTCTATATTTTGCAAAAACTGTAATTTTGCAACTAATTTGTTAAATAAATAATTTACCGTACACTCTACAGTTCTCTCTTCCAGTAATTTTCGCGAAGTCAAAATTTATCTTGACTCCACTATAAGTGCATTTTCCATTTTATTCGAAAAATGAACCATTTTTGACCTTGTCGACCATCTTATCGAATAAATCGTAAAAATAACTCGTTCAAAAAAAAATAAAGAAACTATTTGTTAAAAAAGACAATTTTAAATACAGTGTAACCCTGTAACCAACGTAAAATAATATTTCAGTATTTTTTTTGGTTAGATGTTTCTCAGAAGATTAAAATTGCCAAAAATTTTTGTGGGCTTATGATAACTACATTACCTATATTGAAATTTCTATGAAAAATATGCTAGACTTGTTTTGTGAAAAGAATGATTTTAGACTTGTTTCTTATTTTAAATATTAAATAATTGACTCAACAATGGTTCGATTTTTAATAAAATATAAGACATCTTTTTTGTTAGAATTTCTAGCTTCCCCAATATTTCTACATCACTGGTTGACATATTTTGTATCAACTCGATGAACTTTCTCCCATAAGTAGCTGTGATTATTATAATTTTTTTAATTTTGAAAATTAGTCATTTTACGAAATATGTTTATATGAACTTTTTCTCTTTTTATCCGTCAATTGTTACTACAGAAACAACTCACCCTTTATGTGAGCACACCATACCTCCTAATAAATATATGTATGTATGTGTAATAATTCTTCAGTTAAATGAAAATTTTCGTGACTATTTTAGTATTTACCTTTATTTCCTCTGTATCTGACACCCTGAGTGGCCCTAACGTTATAAGTGTAGTTTGAGGTCCTTGATATGCGAAAACTTGGAGGGAATTTGGATGGGTCTAGATCAAGAGTGTTGATTCTTGAGTTGTGTCTGTTCCTTATAGAAGCTATTGGACTCATTCGGACGTCTTCCAGTTCGATTATGTCTTCGCTATTGAGGATTGGTTGTTCATTAGTTGATTTGGTCCCTGAAATAACAATAATACGATTGGTGAATATTTTATTAAATCTAAAATGAATAGCTTTTAACCAAAGTAGTTGTGTAAATAAATTTTATTTTCCTTTATTACCATTACAGTCAGAAATTGTTCCTAATCCAAAGTTAAGGCCATAAAACTGAGCAAAATTTATTAAAAGATTTTATGAACGTTTGAAATATTTAGTTTAGTATTAAATTACTACTTGAATAAATAAAGAAAAACACTCCTGCTACTTTTCTGAAAATATACAAGGTAATTCACAAACGGTGACCAAAAATTAAACCTCGTATTCTTTGGTGAATTTTAAGGGCAGTCTTTAGTATAAAGTTTTTATCCAGGATGCTTCGTTAAAGAGATGCAGAGTATTAAACTTAAAAAAATGTTTTAAATTTTTTAAATCTTAAAATCTAGTGAGTGAAATACTTTGAAATTGGGCACATGTATTTATATAAACACTGTCCAAAATCTGAGACTTTCTTCTGAGATTAGCTATGCTTGTACGGAGGATTGGCACCCTCTGCACAGGTATGGTAGGGTGGAAGAATGTTGGCTTGGGTCAATGTGAGACCGGTTGGCATTTGACCACCCCCCTAATTAATGAGGTTTTCCAGGTTTCCCTCATTCCTGCACTGAATGGTGGTTAGGGCCTACCAACATAAGTCGTTCCTGGGCGCAAATGCGGCCTGCGTAATAATAATATGCCGCCTCCTCTCCCGCACAAGTCTCCGACTTCTGGGCTAATTCTCGTAATTAGAATGAGGAGTAGAGATATTATTATTATTATTATTATTATTATTATTATTATTATTATTATTATTTTCTCCTAAAATTTAGATGCTCCAGTAGCGAAGATACAGGGTTTCGGTGGCATATTTTTCTAAAGAAAATAGTACGCCACTGCTTTACCGTAACACTCATGACATTTTCGGATTCCTCTTTCAATTTTCAACAAATTGCTACTATCTTATATTCTTCGAAAAAAACCTTGAAACACTAATCATTCGTTTATTTATTTGAATATAGCAATCTAAATTTTAGAAAAAGGCTTCAAATTTTAGATAATTTTTACGTACATACATGTGCCCAATTTCAAATTATTTCATTTACTATATTTTAAATTATTTAAAAAAATTATAAACATTTTTTTAAGTTTAATACCCTTTATCTTATTAACGAAGCGTTCTTTATACGAAAGACTGCCCTTAAAATCACCAAGGAATACGAGGTTTAATTTTTGGTTACTGTTTGTGAACCACGCTGCATATTTTGTTATTATTTCTCTAATAAAGGTACTATGCTATTAAATGAAATCGACAATGTTTTTCAATACTAAATATTTAGATATGCAAATATATGAAATTTCACAGACAGGATTCCTATCTTTCATATTGCTATATTATAAATATAGAAATGCCTACAATGACATTATTAAATAATGTAATTTTTCAAAGAAATGCCTTGTATTACTTAAGATCATCGTTGACAAAGAAAGAAGAACGCAATAAATTGCCGCTAAAGAAAGATCTTACAACCACATTGTAATGTGGTAAACATTACTTCTGCTTTTGCTTAGACTTAACGATTACATTTATTATTATTAATTACACAAAGTTACATAATTTTACTATACTGGATAAGAATATTAATATTTAAAGAAAACATTTATAATTTTTATTTTATAATAATTATCTACTAGCAATTTACTAGATATTGCTAGTAAAATACATTGCTAGTTCTGGCATAGCTCAAAGAGTAGTTGCTTCCTACAATGTCATCAGTTAAGAATCTTGCTTTTTTTTCTAAAATAAAAGTTATATTAATATAGTCTAGAATTTTGATATCGACTTCATTTGGCTAATATAAAAAAAATGAATTTATTTGAACTAACTTAAGTTCTTTACAATAAAATTAAAATTGTTGGTACTGGTTCCTAAAAAAATGTTCAATGAATTAAATGTTTAAAAACAACGTATCTTAGTTCTTCTGAAATAATACTGAAATGATATTTTCTAAAAAAAAAAATATGTTATTCGTTATTTATTTCAGTTAGGTTATTTAACTGATTCTTGTAAGTTTAGTTTTGCAGTTGATCTTCCAATTGGCGTGGGAGAACTTAGGTTTAAGTTGATTTCAGAAGATGAAATATATTCAAATGCTGAAGGATCAAACGGAATTAATTTTCTGATGATATTATGTATTAGTCTCGTGTAAATAGTCAATACTTGCACATGTTGTTTTGATAAGGGTGTTTTACCTTTACCAAAAATAAATGATATTACCGATTATACAAATCTCACACCAAGCAATTAGTATCATTCTCTCACTATCAAAATTATTGATGATCAGATTCTGTACCGGTCAGAATTTCGTCCAAAGAACAGTTGTAGAGTCTTGATTTTTTTATATTAAATTAAATTTACAACACAGTTAGGTGATTTATTCAATTTAATTGAAACATTTAGGTAATGCATTGTGATGGTTAAGTAGAGGAGCGGGTTATAATCTGATTGATTATAAATAAATCCTTTTATTATTATTTTTTATATTATCTAGTTTACTATTATTAAAATTAATAATTTTTATGTATATTACCTAGTTTCTAATGTCAATTGGAAAATACATAATAGTATCCTTCCTCTAAATATTTGATAATTACCTTCGTGTTTAGCGTCGACGGTTTCTTTGTTCTTCTTGCTTTTTTTCTTAGCGCGTGCCCCCCAATAGGTGTAATTTACCGCGGCATACTCCAAAAGCGCGGCAAATACAAAAACAAAGCACATCACCAGGTATATATCAATGGCTTTGACGTAGCTTATCCTGGGTAATGAACTTCTCACTCCAGTGCTGATGGTTGTCATAGTAAGGACAGTCGTAATTCCTGGAAAGCGAAATTATTTTTATCAATTACGGTAGTCATTCGAGTTTTTAAGAAGATCCTTTTGCACTCAAATTAAAGTTTAATTCTCGGATTTGTTAGATCCTCAGAAAAACAACATGAAAAGCACCTACATCCAAATTAGAACGAACACTGATTATTACGCAATCTTTTGTAACTCTGACATATAAGGAGATAGATTCAATAACCATAATTACATGTTTTGTTCTTTCTTGGTTTATTGCTGAAATAAGTAAAAGAAGTAAATACGAGTGTGTTAAATATATCTAGAGCGATGTTAAAATACATTCAAGATATAGAGCAACGGAAGTGTATGGAATAATTACAGTCGTCGACCATAAATAAGTACTTTTTAGTGCTATTAATTATTATTAAATATTATATGTTTAAAGAGAATATGCTTATTGTATTTAGCAATGATTGTAATTTAGACAACGCGTTAATAATGATACTACTACTACTTTTATTTTATTAACAAAGTTTTTCTTTTAGTTCCTGGCGCATTCACCATAATTTTAAATGCCAACAAATATAATGTAAATAGCAAAAATAGATTACACACTTATAGCTACAGCAAGAAGAAAGTGTTCATTAATATAGTCTAAGATGCAGAGTGTTCCTGACATGTATTTGTCAATAATTTCGGGGTCAAAACAAAACTATTTAGACTAACTTGCCTGTACACAAACTCAACAGCTACTGAGATATAGGCCCAAATTCATAGACCTCACTAAAGTTCCACTTACACTTATCTCATACTAAACTCACCCTAATTGTATTCAAAAACAATTCTACTTCAATGAGTCACTTAAATCGTACTCAAATCGCCTCACAAATAAGTGCCTAGGTTAGTGATATATTAGTGGTGTTTGACATGTAGTTATATGTTCCTAATTTATTAATTTTGTGGTTTCATAATATTCTAGCAGTATACAGGTATTTTACAAATAATTCATACAAACTTCATGTATTCAGTAAAGGATATTCTGTATGTGAACGATATATAAAATAGAATTATTTTTACAATTTGGTCCAACGTAAACGATATCCTGTCACTCATTTTACTCTGTATAAAGTACACAAGTAGGGAAATTAAATATTATTATTATTAATTGGGATATCGTGGTTTATATAAGGATTGTTTTTAACTGGATATTTAAGTAGACCTTAATTTGATCTTGATTATTAATTATTTAAATGTAATTTAGTAGGTATATACAGGCTGTTACAAATTCGCTTCTCACTACAGGGATCTCGGAAATGGTAAGAGGTACGAAGTAGCTTAAATGAGGGCAAAGTTGCGTAATCATGGGACCAACATTATGCCTCTAAAAAATCAAGACTAACATGATTAGTTTTCAAAATATTTGAAAAAAAAACGAAATTTTGGAAATCCGTTTTTGTTTCATTTCAGCCTTGTTTGATGTGATATTGAAAAAAGATGAACACTTTCTCATGGTCACTTTTTGCCCTCTATCGAATGGCATAATCAATTTTTATATGTAACGTTTCATGTTTTCCATCTCTTTGTTGATGAGGGCATCAACTTCGTTTTTTTAAATACGACCCTAGAAATTTTATTACATTTTAGACCCTGTGAAATCCATCTAGTTATTTAAAGTATTACCACCAAGCGTTACAATAAAACATTTATTATTATCAACTATTACCATCACTTGGTCATACATAACTCAATAAGTTGTTGCGTCAAAATTAAAACATTACAATTTTAATTTCATTTTGACAAATTAATTCTTAAAAATGCATATGAACAACCATAACGCCAACTGAATATTATTCTTTAAAAATTTTCAATAAATGTTCAAAAACATTTTCTTTTTGGTAAAATTTGAAAATGAAGATTAGCGTAATATTATCGGAATTTATTATATCTGTAACCACAACTGTGAAAGAGCATGTCAGATGTATTTGTATGAATATCCTGAAAAAAATAGATCGGAATTTGTTTGAATTTTGAGCACTCGAGAAAACTATGGACACGGGAATAAATCTCTAATATTTTTTTATTTTAATGGATGGATTTTACAGGGTCTAACGCCACTTACAGTGTACGATAATTCAATGAACAAAGAAGTCTAAATAAAAAATACACTGAAGATGAATTTTTTGAGACAAAACGTCTGAACATTTTCGAGATCTCTGTAGTGAAAAGCGAATTTATAACAGCCTGTATGTTTTCAAAATAAGTTATTCAAATTCAAAATAAAAAAATGATGCTGTGACATTAGGTTTCCACTGATGACATTTGATGATGATTTTTGGTAATATTTGAGTAGCCAACTGTTCCCTTATCTAGTAGTTTGTGGTTTGATGCATACTTAAGGGAAGTCTCTGAATTTGGCTCATAGTCTCAACATGGTACCGCGAAACAATATACATGTTTTCATATAATTTAAAAACGGTTTGAGCTAGAGATGTCTCATTTGCTATATATTTTTTTGTTTATTTGTGTGTGATCTATTGCTCGATTATTAAAAAAATAACATGCAGGGTGTTATTTTTTGGAGACTCCCACCATATTGGCAACTCCATAGCTTTTCCATCCATACTCCTATGGATTACTTAATTTACGTATTATAATACAAATTTCCTTCTAAAACAGCAGTCTTCGGCATTAAATGTAATGTTTTGTTCTATTGTCTGGGGAAGAGATTCTACCCATAGAAATAAGAAAAAAGTTTATATGAACATACTTAAACTGTTCCCTAAGGATACTATGGATACATTTGGAATCTTATAGACTTTTTCCATATTTTAGGTGTAAAATCGCTCCTCCATATATTAAAAAGGAGAATACTTTGTTGTTTTATTCCATAACGGATATTTACAGAAAAAAAAACAATTTTTGTATTATAAAATGCAAATTAGATAGCCATAGGCGTTCGTATAAAAAAGTTATAGGGTGAAGACTCCAAAAAAATAACACTTTGTATGTCATTTTTTTACATATGCGAGTAATGTATTAGAACCATGTCTCTAGTGCAAACCTTTTTATTTTTGTATAAAGAAACGTTATTTTGCGGTTCCTCATTGAAGAACAAGTAGACTAACATTGACTTTTGGGCAGAATCACCTTATTTTGGTCTCAAAAATTAAAGCGGCTAGCTAACATATGTAATTCAGGGACACACAAGGTATATCTATGTTAGCACATAAGTAAATGTTACTTAAAAACAGAAGATAAATCAAAGTTGAAATTTATCAGGAAATGGAAAATAAAATTGTCGGTTTATTAATAAAAAAAACACTTTTTTGTTGAAATTTACGTAACGTCAATTAGCCATTGCAATTTGTAATCATTTTTATGGTTTAAAAATAGTTTGTTTTAATTAGACAGATATTATTTACATTTTTTGAAAGACTTTCAAATTCACATTTAAATTCCAGTAAAATATCTAGAATATCTTAAAATAAATAACTAAACAGTTTACAAATCAATTTAACTTACAATTTACGTAAAAAATAACTGATTCTTAAAAATATTTTGCACTTATACTACTAAAAGTTAAGTTAAAAATATTCACTGAAATGACTCTTACATTAAAAGAACCAATCCAAGCTTTTTTTATATGATACTACAATTCGAAAAATCTGTTTTAGTTTTCGAAACATAATTTGAAATGTAAAAAGATACAAACAGATTTGAGTAGACGCACGTGATGTACAGGGTGTTCCGAATTTATTCCATAAAAATTTAAAAATCCATCGAGGAAGAAATAATAATGGTACTTTGTTATATAAATCTGTTTTCTGAGTTACAAGACGTTGAAGTTATATCTCTAAATGTGTTCCGAACAAATTAACGAATAAGCTAAGTTATAGACTTGGAAATGTGCAATTATAAACTTTATTTTTTTTTTTCAGAAAATTAATACATAATAAAAATTTCAGAGGCCAGCTCAAAAAGGCCGATAAAATTTTAATATGAATAAAATTGGAAGTGGATAGACTGTTTTTTTTTTTAATTTTTGGAAATTTGTTAAAATTGAGTAAAAAATGTAGGTACCTATGCAAATAATACTTTAGTGAACATTACTTTACATTAAACATGAAAATTTCAATATACCAAAATTTTCTAAATTCAGTACCCTTTCCAATAATCTTGTGATATTTGCTATGTATTATAGAAAAATTTTTTGGCAAAAAATGGGATAGAGCACCCTCTATCCAAGAACACCTTTTCACATTTCCAATTTTATTCATTTTCATATTATTAATCGGCCCCTTTGAGCTAGCTAGTCTCTCATATTTTCATTGTTTTCTTTATCCAAAAATAAGTTATGCCTTTTGAAATTGCACCATTTTTTTACACTGCCACCACCCAAATTTTGTAACATATTTTACAGGACACTGTATATTAACGTAATAATAAAGCTTGACCATTACCAAGTGCAACCCTGGCACTAGTAGCTTCATGATTGATCCAAAACGACACCCAAGACAACATGACGATGAGGATGCTGGGCAGATACGTCTGGAACACGAAATAGCCTATGTTCCTTTGGAGTTTGAACGACAACGACAGCCTCTGGTAGATCCCAGTGGCCAACTTCTCCTTCCTATCATTCGTCTCGTAGCCGATGATGGTGAACTGGGGCAATTCTGCCTCTTCCACACCGCTCACGGGGGTGGCCTTCCAGTACATTAGCACATCCATCACGGTGTAGCCATCTATAAAGAGATTAAGGATCAGATATGCGAATCGGCTGCCGAGAAGGAATTCGATGTTCTATCTGTCATGCAAAGTAACGCATTCAGTCTAAATCAAGAGAAGTTACTATTTCATGGCATCCTTGTATTCAGGAGTTTGAACAATGTTTCTTTCGAATAAAGGTTTTTTAGGACCTATATATTTACCAATTTTTCACTCGATAAACTGATCAAAAACTTGTTTGATATCCAGCTAAAGAAAAACACTGAAACCGCCCTAACATAAAAATATAGTTTCCCCTTAAAACGAATATTAATTTTGGAACTTTCATTAATAAAGGACTGAATATTGTTCTTTGCAACCTTAATCATTTTTTGTTGAATGTATCACTAATTATGACTCAAAAGGTAGTATAATTTCGATTTATGGATTAATTGGAGACATTTTCATACTCCTTATGCTGTTACACTTATCCTAAAAGCTTTAATTTATGGTAGCTACATTATCTGAGTCTGTACTGACTAAAGTTCAATGAAAAAGACATATTCTTCCCACATTAATAAAAAAGTATATACAGAGTGAATATACAGATTTTCAACAGCACCCTAAATAAACGCCATAAAGCGAAATTTTGGCTGAGTCCTCTGTATTACTGAACTGTTGTATCAACTGAAATCATTTTTGTTTTTCTCTCAATATCTCTAAGTCGTAAGTAATATATTGTCCTTTCAATTTATATCCTGACATATCACATCATCATGCGCAATGTATATCTTCACGCACCAGTCAACATTCTTCCCTTCTGACGAGAATTCGTCAGAGATTAATCCCACAAAAAGGCATTTCTAAGTTCACTATTAATATGTCTGTGGAAAATAAATATAATCAAAATATTCGATGGTTTAACAAAAAACTACGCGACATGCGAAAGAATTCATTTTATCTAAAAAGTAGAGCTTTAACTTTTAAATTAGAACATCACTAGGCAGTTTATAAAGTAGCACGAAATGAGTATAAACGGGCATTAAAGGATGAATAAAGCAGGGATATGCTGGATAATAATTAACTCGGAAAGAGTACATAAGCCAAAATCGAAGACTACTTCTATTATTCCAGATGATTTCAATAATCTTTTTGCCAATGTTTCAAATGTCATATAATTCTATTAAAATATCTAATTCAGATCCTAATATCTACTTATAAAAGATATGTAACGACATTTTTTTATGTCCGGCATACTTGAATCCGATGTAAATGAAAATGAATTGAAACTAAAAGAATCTCATACTTTAGACTGTTACAATATAAACAGCAAAATAATGAAATTCGTAATTGCATACATAACGCAGCCGTTGATTATCCTATTCAATAAGTGCATTGAAGATGGATGCCGGCCTGATGCATTCAAAGTAAATAAAATTATTCCTATGTTTAAAATAGGTGACACTAATATCACAGATAATTATAGACCGATCGCTATTGTTCCTTACTTGTCCAAAGTTCAAGAGATTATGATAAACGATAAGTTGTCATCATATCTAGAATCTAAGCAGTTGCTTTCTGGCGAGCAGTACGGTTTTCGCAAGAATAAGTCAACAATTAGCGCAATAGCTGACGTAATTGGTACAGTTGTTGACGGCTTTAATCAAGTCCTTACAACCGAGGCAATCATGTGTGACTTATCTAAAGCTTTCGACTCAGNCCACCACCCAAATTTTGTAACATATTTTACAGGACACTGTATATTAACGTAATAATAAAGCTTGACCATTACCAAGTGCAACCCTGGCACTAGTAGCTTCATGATTGATCCAAAACGACACCCAAGACAACATGACGATGAGGATGCTGGGCAGATACGTCTGGAACACGAAATAGCCTATGTTCCTTTGGAGTTTGAACGACAACGACAGCCTCTGGTAGATCCCAGTGGCCAACTTCTCCTTCCTATCATTCGTCTCGTAGCCGATGATGGTGAACTGGGGCAATTCTGCCTCTTCCACACCGCTCACGGGGGTGGCCTTCCAGTACATTAGCACATCCATCACGGTGTAGCCATCTATAAAGAGATTAAGGATCAGATATGCGAATCGGCTGCCGAGAAGGAATTCGATGTTCTATCTGTCATGCAAAGTAACGCATTCAGTCTAAATCAAGAGAAGTTACTATTTCATGGCATCCTTGTATTCAGGAGTTTGAACAATGTTTCTTTCAAATAAAGGTTTTTTAGGACCTATATATTTACCAATTTTTCACTCGATAAACTGATCAAAAACTTGTTTGATATCCAGCTAAAGAAAAACACTGAAACCGCCCTAACATAAAAATATAGTTTCCCCCTTAAAACGAATATTAATTTTGGAACTTTCATTAATAAAGGACTGATTATTGTTCTTTGCAACCTTGATCATTTTTTGTTGAATGTATCACTGATTATGACTCTAAAGGTAGTATAATTTCGATTTATGGATTAATTGGAGACATTTTCATACTCCTTATGCTGTTACACTTATCCTAAAAGCTTTAATTTGTGGTAGCTACATTATCTGAGTCTGTACTGACTAAAGTTCCATGAAAAAGACAGATTCTTTGCACATTAATAAAAACGAAGTATATACAGAGTGAATATACAGATTTTCAACACACGCCATAAAGCGAAATTTTGTCCGAGTCCTCTATATTATTGAACTGTTTTTTTAAAGTTGTATCAACTGAAATCATTTCTGTTTTTCTCTCAATATCGCTAAGTAGTAAGTAATATATTGTCCCTTCAATTTTAATCCTGACATATCAGATCATCATGCGACGAGAATTCGTCAAAAATTAATCACACGAAAAGGCATTTCCAAGTTCACTATTAATATGTCCAGAATTTCTTGGAAGGACCTAAATATTGCACAGTTGAATAGCGAGGATACTGCGTCGTTAATTTTGGACATTCTCAATCCTGTTTTCCGATTCGATTTGTGGAAAACAAATATAATCAAAATATTCGATGCTTTAACAAAAAATTACGCAACATGCGAAAGAATACGTTTTATTTAAAAAATAGACCTTTTACTTCTAAATTAGAACATCACTGGGCAGTTTATAAACTAGCACGAAATGAGTATAAACGGGCATTAAAGGATGAAAAAAGGAAAACTTATTCTGAAGTTATTTTAAATTCTTCTAATAAAGCAGGAATGTGCTGGAAAATAATTAACTTGGAAAGAGTACATAAGCCAAAATCGAGGACTACTTTTATTATTCCAGATGATTTCAATAATTTTTTTGACAATGTTTTAAATGTCATATATAATTCTATTAAAATATCTAATTCAGATCCTAATATCTACTTAGAAAAGATATGTAAACTACATTTTTCTTTTTTTATGTCCAATATACTTGAATCCGACGTAAATGAGGCTATATTGAAACTAAAAGAATCTCATACTTTAGACTGTTACAATAAAAATACTTGTCCAAAATTCTAAAGATTATTATAAAAGATACTTTCATGTCATCATATCTAGAATCTAACCAGTTGCTTTCTAGCGAGCAGTACGGTTTTCGCAAGAATAAGTCAACAATTAGCGCAATAGCTGACGTACTTGGTACAGTTGTTGACGGTTTTAATCAAGGCCTTACAACCGAGGCAATCATGTGCGACTTATCTAAAGCTTTCGACTCAGTGTCTACTGCCATATTTCTTCGTAAGCTTAAGTTCTATGGAGTGAGGTCCAATGCATTAAATTTGTTTGCGTCCTATCTTACAAACAGAAGGCAGTTTGTTTGTTGCGAAGGTAAAAATTCTAACATTGTTCCTATAAATAATGGTGTACCGCAAGGGTCTGTTTTGGGGCCTCTACTTTTTCTTGTTTATCTTAATGACCTTCTCGGTGCTGTTGACGGTCATTGTGTATAGTTTTCAAATGATACTACGATCTTATCTAGTAGTGACACATATTTTAATGTTTCCCTATTTGATAAAGCTAAAGATTGATTTTCAGCTGACAAACTAATGTTAAATGAGTCTAATACTCAACACATGAACTTCACATCCGATAGACGAACTATTAACTCTATGTCAGGGAAACTGCTAGGTTTAATGCTGGACGATCACCTAAATTGGAAAGCACATATTGACATTTTGTGCTCAAAATTATCTCAAATATTCGTATTACAACAACTTAAAAATTGCTTGCCTCATGATATTCTAAGATCTGTTTATTTCTCTCTAATAAATAGCCACTTGACTTACGGGATTTTATTTTGAGGAAATTCAACGTCGTTTTAGAGAGTCTTCTGCTTGCAAAAATCGACTATTCGCATTATCAGTAATTCTTCACCAAGTACTCATTGTCAGTCATTATTTAAAAAACTAAAAATTCTTCCATTACCCTGTTTGTATATGCTAGAGTTATTACTCAACATTCACCGCATAAAGGAGCTTAGACACAATTATGATAATCATAATTATAATACAAGGCATGCTGATGATCTGATTGTTCTGAAATCCAGAACTGACATTGCTAAAAAACAGTTTGGACTTAAAACTTTGTAGTATTTTAGTAAGTAGATTCGCTCAACACAAACTTAACGTAATGAATTTTAAATTTTTTAAAACATTTACCAAGCGTTACTTAAGTGAATATTGTTTTTATAGTGTTCAAGAGTAAGTATATCAATAAATTGACATTTAAATAAATTTTACATAATCACTTACTGTCTTGTTTTTATATTTTTTATATTTTATTTATATTTGTGACACAACATGTACCTTTTGTATTTTATTTATATTTGTGACACAACATGTACCTTTTGTATATAAAATTGTCAATAAACAATGTAATCAGGTAATTGTAATCTTCTTACTTGTTCAGAGAAATTGTTTGGTTCCACCCCAATATAGCACTTAAATGTGGCCTGTTCATTCAACAAAGGTTTAGTGACAACCCATTGGTACCCTTTATCTTACCTAATACTTCATTTAAATTATATTGGAAGCACACATGTTTTATATACCTGAAAACAACTGCTGTCAATTACTATTTTAACTTCTTTAAAGCAAATCTAGTATTTTTATTTTTAGCCTGTGGTAAGCGATCTTCTGATATCATCAATTTCAATAGCTGAATTATTTTTCAGGTTTGAATTAAAACATTGTTTTTATTTATTCTAACGATTTTCTATACGGTGCAGAAAGTTATGTTATTGCTATTTTAAAATCTAACCCTAGTAAAACAAATAATTCGCCTGGTTTAGTAAAAAAGCCAAAATATTTCTCCTTTTTGCATCCAAAATTGAATTGAATCGATCTGTTTTGATGTTTGATTATAAAACTTAACAAATAAGTTCGCTTGGAAATATCGTTTCTTTACATCTCTAATTGATCAATAACTGCAACGAGTTGTGTGCAACAATCATATTCTCTAAATTTTCAACCTATTTTCTTTCTAAGACATAAAGACTCGGTAATAAAAATGACGATGACCGTATGTACCTCGAATGTTATTACACTTCGATTGTGTGTAGTTTGTGAACTTACAGCTTTCAATTTCCACGGTACAGTTCTGCGAATCCAAAGGGTAGTAATGGAGATCCATCATACAAGCGAGCGTAGTGGTGAAACGCATTCCGTACGTAATAGAACCATCTCCATTTAGTCGCACTAATTTGTTTCGTTCCGTTACGTCGTGCAGGAAACTGAAATAGCAGAATATTTAATATGTAACGTAGTTTCAGTTACAGTGGAACTGAAGTACAATATACAGGGTGTTACCAGAGTGAGCGCAGAAAATTTGGTCGAGACATCATGAAATATGGATCATGAATTTACCATCTTTTATTTTTTATATTCTCGAATGATTCAAAGTTGATTTTGAAGAGGAAGAGTAGTGCTTTTAAATGCCATCAAGAATTTTTAGAAGAAAATTTCACGTCAAATATTGCGAAGGACTGTATTTTTTACACTTTTAGATTAGGATATCTCGAAAACCTGAAGTGATGGAACCAAGGACATTTAAATAAAGGGGACTTGTTTATTTACATTTCTAGATGAAGCCTGGTCTATTCACAGTCTAATTGAATCATTGTTGTCAGCTGTATAATTATACTGGAAATGTACTTAATATTTTTATCGCAATTTTCATCACAATTGTGAAAATTATTATTATAGGATAGTATTATTAAGTTATGCATACAATATTGTTAAATTCTGTACATATTAAACTATTTTTCATTTTTCATATTTGCCATGTTTGAAGACTTGGCAACTACGCAATAATTTGTAGCGTGTTCCTCGTTCGTTCTGCCGTGGTTGGCAGAATATGGCGTCTCTTGTTAGAAAATAGTTGTGATTTTAGTAAGTGAAACGTGATTAGTGTTTATACATGTATTTTGGATAAACTTTTAAGGTGTGAATATGGTTAGACAGTGCAGAATTTGTAAGAAATTGGATTATAAACATCCACATCAGCTATCCTTCCACAGGTAAGCGTGCTTGAAGGTGACTTTGGAATGTATATGCAACTGTGGCCATTGTCGTGCGTGTGGGTAACTTTTATTTGAATAACGGTAAAATTTTATAAAACTGACTTGGTATTTTTTTAAAATTTTTGCTGAAATAGTAAGAAAACAATAATATGAACCACGTTTGGCCATTAAAATCAAAGGAAAATGCTGCACCACAAATAAGTTACAGACATTATTTATATTTAATATATTTATAGGTATTTCAATGTTATCCCTTATACCCAACATTACAAATTTTAATCATTCATCATTTTCATTTTCCTCTACGACAAAAACCTTTTCAAAAATATATTTACAATTTTACTAAATGCACGAGCATAAAAACTGAATAAATACAACAGCAAAAATATGGTGGTGGTTCACTTATACATAAAAATACCGAAGATGCAATCAACTGAAAGTTGCATTCATTCAACCATTTGATGTTCTCCTTTGGGAATATATTTTTATGTCTCACTGAAAATTTGCCTCAGTATTCTAAAAGTGAAATGTGAACGTTTTTAGGATGCTTGGGGATGGTGCAACAAGAAAGAAATGGTTACAGTTATTGGGATTCCAAGAAGTTATAAAAATATTATATATATTTATTATAAAAATACTGAGTAGCTGTTGAAATATATTGACTTAGGACTATAAAATATTTTATTTTGACCCATTCAAAATGTACGACATTGGAGATGTAATCGCGCGCATCAGTTGGATGAAAATATAGCCCTCTGCTTTCCCCTTGTCTAGCTTCACACAACATATGAGATAGACTGTGACATGCATAGTCCCCTTTATTTAAATGTCCTTGGATGGAACAATTCTGAGAACGAGTATATTTTCCAAAAAAACAATAGGTTCGGTATAGCTAAGTTTTTGAGCATTGTTAATAAAAGGCGCTTTTGTTAAATCGTTTTAAAAAAAAATGCAATTTACTAGTTTATAGTCATCAGCTTTTGTCTGCCAATGGGCAAAGCTTCAAGGCAGCTATTAAAGAAGTCTTTGGATGAAAAAGTGTAGAGCAATTTACTTTAGTACAATTTTGCTTCCTTGAAGAGTTACTTGCCATAAAAAAATTATTTCATTCACATTAAAATATTAAAGAGCAACTACCCTTAAACAAATAACAACTCGTCAATGAAGAAACGGGCAGCTTTTCCTAAGACGAGATGCAAGAATGGTCTATTCCAAAATCCCAGTATATTCGTACATTCAGCAGACCATGATCATGTGAAAAAGTATACATTGGACAAGCGGGAAGACACGTTAGCACGGTATTAAAGGGGTTCAAGTGTCACTTAAAGACAGTCACTTAGAAAATCAACAATTGCGGAGCACGTGGCAGATGCAGGACACATGATAGACAGATCTTACTAATACCAGAATTCTGGTGAACGGGAGGAAATTTTAACCAAAACTTTAGTGGGATACAGTAGTAATCCAGAAGAATGGAGATAATTTCAATGGAAGTGAGGAGTTAGCTAGAAATTAGAACGACTTATCCGCAAAAATCGAGAACCAGATCATGAATTAATTATTACAAACCCTGCACCCAGCTCACACATGTTAAATGGTAATATCAGCTAAAAGATTTAATCTTCAATTTCAGAGTTCCTTGTGGCAACCAAAAATTTGTTCAACAGAGCATCATTCAATTGAAATGTAAACATCTCTGTTTCATTATTTTGGTATACTCCTTAAAATTAAAACACCACTTTCGGAAACATGCTATATATTATTCTCATTATTTATAACATTTGATATTGCGACGTAGATTTGCTTCCGCTTGTTCTGATTCCTATTTATTATTAGCAGCGCTATATTGATTACTCACAGACTTCATCCGCGCTATTCAAATTTCCCCAATTTAGTTGAGGCATGCAATTTCAGGAGCGGGTTTCATGAAGCAGTGATCGTCTTTGGTTTCATTAGAAATGAGTAATATTGTCATTTATTAAATATTATTCCCTGAAAAATTAACAGGGTTATTTATTAGAAATGTCAACCTTTTAAGTTTAAGAAAAAATATGAAATTTATAGCTATCGACTGCAACTTTTTTATGCTAATAATGACTTCAGAAAATGCTGCAAACTGAACACATGTTTCTTAAAAGGAAAACCCAGTATATATTTGGATTTTTGAAATATCGTAGTTTTATTGGTAGTGTTATTAAACAATTGCAGTTAAAATTTTAAATAATTTTGGTAACAATGCTATATATGAATATATCTAAGAATTAGGTATATAGAATACTACTTTTAATTTTCAGTTATATAAATTTGAATATATTCAGTGACCTGCAAATAGCCCTGATTTAAATACTCTAGATTCATTTTTGTGAAATTATCTTAAACAAACTTTATGAAGTGGATCACTTAGTCTTCAAGATAATAAATTAACTCCAGAGGTAGAGAAATAGAATTATCAAATGGGAATTACGGAATAATAGCAAACGCAATAAATAAACGCTATTATAGGTATTGTATCAACTGGAGGCCATTCTGCACATTTATACTAGAACTGAATAATATTTCTCATGTGTCATTCATATTCAAAAACATACAAGTTCCATTAAAATAAAACATAAGTTTGGTTTGCCACGTTTATTGAGGACATCCTGTAAGTTAAATATAATAAATACTTCTAGTTGATAGTTACTACTAAGGGGCTTGACATTTATTAAAGAATAACCCTGTACAATGGTTGTTTTTCACAATGATTTACCGAAATTTTAAAGTTTTGACATGCCAGACTAAAACTGGTGATAGACTTTTAATTTAGAAAAAACTTATCAACAATCAAACTTACATTTTTCATCAATATTTTAAAAATGACAAATGTAACAAATTAGGGACAGGCCATAAGAGTAAAAAAGGTGCAGAGGGGTCATACATATATCTGTTTTTTATAAATATTAGTTTAGCACTATTTTCAAAATTTCCTTCAATTATCAAATGAATTTTATAAATAATGGTACATTGAATTAAATCAGCAATTTTTATATTATGCGTCATGGCAAGAGATGGTCTTACCTGTTTTTGTCGTTAGCAAAAAATGTGTCTGGCACCCAAATCTTCTCCGCAAAGTCTCCAGAAAGTGTGAGGATTTCCTCGTTATTGCTGAAGGCCAGCCTTTCGTCCTTCCAGTACTGGTTCAGATATAAGGTGATCGTGTAGTCCTGAAATCAAATGTAATTTGCTATTTTGCGTGTAAACCAGAAATTGAAAGCAATAAAACTTTATGCGAACGAACTGTCTACGGTCTTGTCGTACATCGTACAAGACATCAAAATATAAATATGTTTCTACTTCAAATTTCTTGACTATTTAAAAGAGATAATAATAAACTTTTGTCGCATACTATACAAGGTTTTTCATTTACGCATGGTGTTACAGGACTACTTAAGTTATTTGCATTCTAATAATGGAACTCAAAAATTCAAAGTTCCAATTGTCAAACTCCTTCGCGAATGAACACGGCTGCAGAATTTATAGACCTTCTGCAATTTGTTTTGACATTTGTCAATCTGAACCCACATATTTTATGATGAAGACAAATAAATAATAAAAAAATCTTAATTGCAAAACTAATGCAGCTGTTGCACGTTGGATAGAAACACACCCTAATTACTGATACCATCAAAACTTGATTTGTCGCCTAAGACAAATTGCAAAATTAAAAACAACAAATCAGGCAAGGAACCAATATCTCACAGACTAAGTCCTAAATCGAAATTTTACAAGAGCGAAAAATGTACAAGAAGAAGAAACACTTATTCCAAAACACAATACATTTGAATCATAGGCATACGCAATAAAGTAAAGGGGACAATGAGTACTACAAACCTCTTCTCTCCATTCATACTTCAATATGTTTAATCAAAATTGCCTAAAAAATGTATGTACCGGCATTGGATAAAAGTCCATAAAATCTTTCTACTAAAAATCTTAAAAAGGTTATTCATAAGAACCATAACAATTTTAATTTTAACATCCTATATCTCAAAAAAAATATCTTGGTAAAAAAATATACAATAACATAAGAAAAACTTAGGTATATTTAAGAAATAATCACTTTTAACAGGAATAACTAAACTGATATACATATGTTAAGGGCTATATTTTCCTATATTCAAAAAATCTTTCACCTATACAGTTTGATGAATCTCATCTTCAGATCAAACAGATCAAGAAGAAAGTGTGCAGTAACAGTTACAAAAATCTAAAGATCTTAAGAGTAGGGCAGCAGGTTCAGGCAGAGAATGAGCTCCGATACTAGTCTGGTAACAGTGGTAACGTTGCCAGTGTGCAACTGAAACTCATGGGCATATGTTTGGAAAAATTGTAAAAGGTTCAAGGTGTTTTATTTCTAACCACTTTTGGCCAAAATGCTTTTACTATAAAATAATTAATTAGATTTTCTATGAATCCTTTATCTCCTTCAATTTCAAAAATTATTTTCTCAAATCATTCATAATTTCCATGAATTCTATATATTAGTTCTATTTATACATATCTATTACCCATTCCTTAAAATTTTTAGTTTTTTCCTTATACGGTTGACATTTTATTTTTTTTATCAAACAATTTAAGCTGCAACCCCGGATACCTACACCCCAAATTTAATTGACTGCACGAGTACATAAGGCCCCTCATCGGCAACAAAGTGGCTGGCGAAAATCTATAAACCTATAATGCAGAGCCCTTGATTAGATCCAACAGTAAGCCCGAGAATTTAGCCACTGAAGACGATCTAACGGTGAATTAGAGGCTTACGCTTTAACGCATTTTATAATCAAGGTAAATCTCCTATGGAGAGCTTATTGTATTTTTATGTCATTCTTGTTTTATATTTGTATGGTTAAACAATCTACTTTAAAAATATTTTAATATGGGTGGATATCTCCACTAAATTGGTAATAAATGAAACTAGTAAATATACAGGGTGATTCACAACTTATCTAAAAAGAATTTGGGAATAGGTGCAGCATGAGAAATGGAGTCAATATCGTAAAAAAAAATTTTGTAAAATCCTTATAGATTCCGATAAAAAAGTTATTGAGCGTCTATGGCAATACGCGTGGAGAGCCACGTGGCCTCAACGACTCCAAATACTGAAATCATATTTTGCAATCGTCGTTGCGATAGTGTTTACAATAGTTTTTTAGTAGTTAGCGTCAAAATGTCATGCGTGTGTAGCAACTCGGAGTTGATGGATATCGTTCTAATTTATGGTGATGCAATACAATATAAGTAAACAACAGTATAAAAGAAAATACATACTTACATCTGCAAACGTTTAACAAAATATTTTAAAAATTTGAATGATATTGATAATATTTATTTAATTTTATTCGTATCTAAATTGATTCTACAAAAATTTATAAGTAGAACCTAGAAGTTTAACAAAGATACGAGTTTGGGACAATCGATCAAGTTGCACGATATCTTCGGTTCTCTATTATAGTTACGTGAAATATTTGTTTTGTCAACGTGATACCTGGTGATTATGAAGGTCATTGATTTTAAAACTTAAATAACCAGCGAATATGATTTGAAATCTTTCTAATCTCCGCAAAATTTACCTAACCGTGAATGTAAGCACAATGTAGTACGCAGAATCACAAAACATTTATCACGTACCTACGAGTATATAGCTCGACGTATGGATTTCATTATTAAAATGAAAGCTGTTATAATAAAATGAATACCTACCAAGTTATTATGCTTAATGATACCTTATTTATTTGTGCTGACAAAAATATGTAAAGCGTTGGCAAATGATTTCCTAAACTTCATAAAAGACATTCAATTTACGTTTATAGGGGACAATAAAAGTAAATGTGACTGCATTTTTTGTAAGCCGAAGGTGCTTAGTAGCTCGTCTGTATTGGCGTTCCGTCCTTCCAAGGAATTCATTTTAGGAATTCTACCAAGACCGATAAAATGTGGCAATGTAAACATGTAAATCATAACAACACTTGGGCCTATATATATCTTGATATATCTAAAAAATGTAAGAAGAAGTTGAATAATCTACTCTTCTTATTGATCCCCCAAACTATAGCTCAAATTTTAGAAATGTAAGAAAATAGTAATCCGGATCATGCAAGAAGCTATGACGTGAATTTTGGTAGCATTGCATTTTAGAGATAACAGCGTAGCTTATGAAGTGAATCTAGAGATGAAAATAAGAAAATATCCAGGTCATAAAATCATGAGTTTTAATATGAGTTTCATTACAAATTGCTGTAAAGTGAAAACCATTAAAGCATGACTATTTATGAGTTTGACAAGCTCCAACAATCAGTTATTGCAGAAGCTTAGTAATGTTAATCTAACCAAGTGAAGAAAGCCTTCGTCAAGAGCCTGTGGTAGACATGAAGTCTTATAACTGCAATAGCAATCAAAATAACAGGCAAGTTAAGATAACATATAAAGTGATTGTTGCAATATAATCGTTCAAGAAAATAAATTTCGTGGAAGTGTTTTTCAGTCATGAAAGTAACTCCTAGGCCAATAGCAAACCAAGATAATGTCTATTATATTACGCCTGATTTATCTAAAGATATTAGTAAAGGTTGGGGTACTAAAGCACATTTGTTGCGTCGAAAATATGCAGCAATTATATCAACGATCAGGCAGTTTGCAAAATAAAGTTAAAAGTGCTTAATTCCACGTAAATGTAAAACTATGCGATAATCTTAATTTTATTTTTAAGGATACAAATTCTTAAGTAATTATGGATTGATGAGCAATGTTCCGCTGTTGCAAGTATTAGACATATGATATAAAGAAATAATGACGAATATCAAAAATAAAAAAGGAACGAACAATACTATTCAATCTAACAATAAACAAGCAAATACTAAGTGAAACAACGAGTTTTAATATAGAGAAAGTCCTTAAGAAAAGTAATGAATAGAGCAAAATAATTATGAATTCCAAGAAAAACATTCCCAAAGAACGTCTGAAACTTTACGTTCTATAGTTAAGCAAAAATCGCAAATATAGTTCAAAAAAATAAAACTCCCATCAAAGAAAACATAATTTCCTTTTCTAGTAACATTTCGCATTCGCCATTTGCATAAAATACGTTTGAAATTTTATCCACATGGTCCATGTTCTATATTTTTGTTACATTCAAATCAAACAACATATCCCGGCCTATAAAAACCTCATTACAGAACAAATGAAAAGCGTTACCATGTTAATGCTTTAATTAATATTCTTTCGGATCGTCCAACACAGAAAAATTAGCATGCAAAGAGCCCATTTTTCCTGTTTTCCGATAAAAAATTGTAAAAACCTTTGTCGTGCGGTGCGAAACAAGGAATATAAAACAGGACAGAGACCTTTCGGCTTATAAAAAGTATAATAGCTCTGATCGATCATACATTAATTGCTTGTATGGCGTCAAAATATTGAACTAAAGGGTTGTGATACTAAAATTTAAGTGGCATCATAGATGGATAAATGAAAAACGGAACTTACCATGTTAACTTCAGATATAGCGTCGAAACTGGCTATCGTCAGGTCCATACCTACGTATAAAGGGTCACCTGAAGATAAAAGGAAATGATCACGCAAGATGAAAGTATATATCCCTACAAAATCAACAATTCAAAAAAATATACTCCAAAATAAAAATTATTTATTACATTATCTTATTCAATATTTGTGTGAATAAATTAATAATGTTAAAGCAACCCAACTAGAATACAAGTTTCTGTTAATACTTATGAAATTGTACAGGGTGCCCCGGTACTTGATACAAAAAAGTCGAGTACAAATAGATGAGGTCAAAATAATATCAGTTCTCCATATAACTTTTTTCATACGTTCGTTAACAAGTTACGGGCCTCAAAGGTGAAAATTAAAAAGTTATTTTTATTTACAGTCTCTAAACTATTCACTTCAGTATGATGCAAATTTGGTGATCGATAACACATGCGTACAGCTTGTTTTTGATGTTGTAAGTGAAACTTCATTATGCCCAGAACGCCAGGCACGGCCTATGGACAATGGTTAACAACCCAGAATTTTTGCAAAGATGCGATCACAATCTGCCTGCATCAAAAATAAGTTCCCCGAAGAATCTGCCAACGATAATACCCTCTTGGTTCAACTCGGTAAAATGATCAATTTAGGAAATATTTGTGATTTTGTCACAGTGCACATCGAGCGGCGCATCCACCATTTTTTGTTTTTAATTTTTAACTGAACATAATTACTATGTTAGAACCGTACATATTTTTAAAATAAGAGTCTAGAAAATCTTGCTGCCTGCTAATGTAATTTTCACTAACAAAATTTACACACTTTACACATAACACAAAAGAGAAAAAAAAACAAGAATAGTTAAAAAAATAATTTAAAAGAAAGCAGTCAATCAAAATGCATTTTCAATATGGGCACCTTCCATCTCCACATACTTCCTAATTCTACAAATGTTATTTGTTTGTACACGAAAAAGCATTTCTGCATCAATATTGACATGCGGAGGAGCCCCATCATGCATGAACCAAACGTTTCTTCCGGTGTCTAGTGGAACATCGTCTAATAGTGGCTCCAAATTATTTTGCAAGAACTTCAAATATCGATGTCCGTTCCAGACATTCCTCAAAAATGTATGGACCATATAAATTATTAACATACTATTTATGCCCATACATTAATAGTGGGTAATAATTTAATAGGTCTATACGTTTTTGAGAAACGTCTGAATGGACATCGATATTTAGAGTTGAATACTTAACTTATTCTAGTTTTGTTTTTATATTTTGTGTTATGTGTAAAGTGTGTTTGTCAAATTATGTTAGTGAAAATTACATTAGCAGGCAGTAAGATTTCCTATGCTCTTATTTTAAAAATATGTACGGTTCTAACATAGTAATTATGTCCAGTTAAAAATTAAAAGACAAAAAATGGTGGAGGCGCCACTCGATGTACTATGACAAAATCACAAATAATATTCCTAAACTGTTAATTTTACTGTGTTGAGCCAAGAGGGTATTATCGTTGGCAAATTCTTCAGGGATCTTATTTTTGATGAAGGCAGATTGCGATCGTTATCTATACAAAAATTTTGGGTTGTTAACCATTAGACATAGTCCGCCCTTGGCGTTCTGGGCATAATGAAGTTTCACTTACAACATGAAAAACAAGCTGTACGCATGTGTTATGGATCACCAAATTTGCATCATGCTGAAGTTTGGAGACTAAAATAAAAATAACATTTTAATTTTCACCTTTGAGAGCCCGTAACTTGTTAACCAAGGCCCGTATGAAAAAAAATTATATGTGGAACTGATATTATTTTCACCTCATCTATTTGTACTCGACTTTTTTGTATCAAGTACCGGGACACCCAGTACAAGAAAACTAATTACATATTTTAGAATACTATGTAGTAAAAAATACATACACATCTACGAAATCTGTTGGTATTAGTTATCACAGATATTATTTAAAACAAGTTCTGCTATTTCACTGTTCCCTCTTTCTCTCCAACTCCGGAAGACAGCGTAAATCAACTCCCCAAACTAATTTTAAATTGAGAAAATATTGCATCAGACCAATCTGTTTCTTATATTATCCAAAGGAATGCGCTTGACATCCATCCTGGTTTTACAAATTGAAGTTAAACGAATTGTGGTAAATAGATGGCGGCTTATTTAGAAATAAATAGGTTCAATTTAATCTTGAGCTTAAGTCTGCCTCATTGTTTTAGAAATTGTGTATATATTTTCTTTAGTTTTTTAGCTGTTGTAATGGGTTTAAAAATTAAATTTAATTTTCTCTATTCTAGCATTAATAATTTTTTAGTATTTTAAGAAAATTCAGAAATTATTCAAATGCCTATAGTTTTAAATTTAAAATATAATAAATATCATTCGATTGTTTAAAAGTTTTCGATCGTATTTTTATAAAAATTTTGTAACTTTTTTAATACGTATCATAAATTGTAAAAGAAAGAAAACCCACTTTAGCAACCCCCAATAAATCATTTTGGTCCAAAAGAAGAGGTTAAAAAAATAGTGATAAAATTCATTTACGTTCTTTCACTAAATTTGAAAATATTATTTTAGAAAAATATCGTGCGTATCGTTGACAAACAAATTTAAATAACTGTCAGCAATTATAACGTATCTTTGTCCCTCAAATAGATACATTTGCTCGAAAATTAACTACCTGCAAATTTTTATGAACTGCAGTCAAAGACAAACGCTTGCTTTTATTGCCTTTCTTGGACAATATTTCATTTTATAAAAATGAGAATATCTATTCATATTTCCTTTCTTAGCAAGACACTGAAAATAGTTTTAAAACCCTTATAATGAATAATGAGTTTCATCGATATTGAACAAGAGGCTTACACTGTCAATCAAACTATTGAACTACCAAGACGATTTTCAAGGAAATCTAAGCTTTTCCTGATGGAATAAATATACAGTATTATTCGTACTAGTTGACTGCATGTAAACGTCTTGTTTCCACAGACTAAAATATGTAAGGTAAGAGAATAAAAAATAAAATTTGGCACACTTACCTCCAAAATTTGGTCGTAGACGAATATCGTAGCCTTCTAGAAGTCTCGAAATTGTCTGAGTTACATTTTCTAATCTATCAGAAACTATATTCTTTTCTGTCCTATAAACAAATGTGTATTGGTAGGTATATCAAATTATAAAAAAAAAATTGTTCATATAGTCAGGAACTCATTCCTTGAGGAAAACACGTTTATTAAGAGGAAAATGTACTGATAATAATTTTGAATTCCCTTTATTTTTTACTCATGTTATTCAAGGAATGGGTTTAGATGAGACAACTTTTCAAAATATATGTCGGAGTCGTAGGGCTAACTTGGGCGTTAATATCACTACTCGTGTCACTCATCTTCACGAAATAATAAGTAATACCGTAAATGAAAATGATTTAAAATAAAACGTTACAAATAAAGTACTCGAGGTGTTTTATGACAACAACCAGAGGCCCGATAACGAATCCACGGTCAACAGTGTACTCACGTCTTCAATGCTCAAGTAGAACTGCCTTCAATAGATCTCTCTGTACTTCTCTTCACTCGTCAGGTCAAAATTATTCTTAAATGAACCAATCAAATTCGTTATCTCCTAGGGATTCCTTTATAAAGTAATTATAAGGTAAATGCTATCTATCCTTTGACCGCGGCTACGTTGAGTGACCCGTAAGTCCCTCCAAACCCAAGCTTGCCATCATAAAACTCGGGAATAACATAACCGGCTTAACTCATGAATAACTATTTCTAAGTTTTATGGTCTAAATACAATTTATAAAGGGGTATTCCCTGAGTAAAGAATTCTGGAATTTCCAAAGTCTGAAGGACTGGGCCCGTGAGAAAGACATCTCCGACATATATATATATTTATCATCCCTGGCCAGAAAGATGCATTTTTATAGTCTAATCTGCTTTTGCAAGATAATAATAATGGACTTTTTGACAAGTATGTCAATATAAAATCTAAAAAGATAAACTTTTAAAAATATATTTATGCTATATCAAGGTTTCCTATTGTGCTTGTATTGTACAGGTCTTAGTACCATTTTTAATGACTTGTCACATAGACCAGGAAATATAGGGGTGTGCATGCATAATTCTTCGGTCAGGCTGATTTTTTGTGAGCAGATAGTAAAAATTGTGTAGAATAATATGTACCGTATCCGGACGCTGAAAAAGGCCGGCGACAATGTTTAAAAGTTGATCAAAAATTCGCGTTTTTCGACTGTAACTTTTTTTCTAACAGTTCTACAGAGAAATGGTAAAATACTTTTTTGTTTGTCTTTAAAAGATCTACAAAACGACGTCAAAAACTACCAATCCGGTCAAAAAATACTTGAAAAAAAACGCCAATTATGCCATTTTAAATAATCAACAATAGTTGACGCAACTTTTAAACAATGTCGCCCGCCTTTTTCATAGTGCGGATACGGTACATATTATTCTACACTATTTTTACTATCTGCTCACAAAAAATCAACCTGACCGAAGAATTATGCATGAAATGGTCATTTTCGGGCCAGATTTCCTGGTCTACACCTCGGGAACGTTTCATCTGTATACTTGTACAAAACTGTTGAAAATCTTATCATATGAATTTACAAGAAGACGGAATTTAAAATGTATTATTTCTAAAAGTCTAAAGGTAAAGGTCATTTCCTTGTTTTTATTAAAAAGGGAAAAACAGTTGTTAGTTTTACTTAATAATTTTCAATATTAATTGCGCTATGAGGCGAAAATTTTGTAGTTTATAAATATTTTGCTACACACTGTAGATGCATCAAAGTAGTTCTGCAAGTTTGATTGTTGAGTTTTTTATTCGTAATGCCATGCCGCATCACAACAATTTTTCTAATACTCAGATGCTAGGACTTTGAGCTAGGACTTTTTTAATTGGCCATTCCGTACTGGTCAAGATTGCTGCTCTCTGCCATTGCAGTATGTACAGTTAACAATAAATATTTCGTATAGAAACCATTTACCAATTAATTATCTGCAATTGCTACCACTTTTATAAATTTGCTAATGATTGATGATGCTGACGATCATCGTTAACGATTTAATATCAATACTTAATTTATTTTTAACTATACTTACAATGCGAATTGCAGCTGAACAAATTAAATCTACTACCTCTTTCCCTTGCCATTTGATTAACTAGTAAAATTTTTTTTACGGATAGGTCTTTTACTTACACCGGATTCGTTTTATTCCATCAGCGTCACACTGAGGCGTTTCCAAAGATTAAATTAATTCTAATTCGGTCATTTAAATTGTACAGCCGACGCCCTTAAAAAGAGGGATTCAAAATGAAAATGGAACAATGCGTCGTTAAATATTCAACCGAATTCATTGGTATATAAAAGTAATTGGATAAGTTAAAACAATGATCTGGCTAGATCATCTTGTTATTTCCGACATAGAACACTGAAAGTAATTCTGGTTTTCCCATTTGTTCTAAAAAATTGGAAGGCGTGAGGTATCGGAATTCCGTTTTATACAGATTCCCTACAATTACCAAATAGACAACGAATGGTGTGGTAAAACATGCCTAGATATATGAAATGCGCATTTTAATATTAGATCCATATTTGCAGGCTCTGATCTGTTTCGCTCTCTTTTTGGAAGATGAGGACTTTGGCATATCGGATCATCCAAAACTTGGTTGGATACTTTTTTTTCTAATAACTGTATAGTCATTTCAAATTATAATTTAGTTAGACAAGACAGGTATGAAAGAGGTGGTGGAGTTGCGTTTTATATTAAAACTAACATCAGGTATAAGATTTTTGAAGTACCACATGACAATGATGTGTTTAAAAACCTGGATTTCTGTTAAGGTTAATAATGGTAAAAGCATATGTTTAGGGGCATTGTACCTAGAAAATTTAATAAGTTTGCTGATCTGATTATGATTATTTATTTTTTTTATTTAAATATTGATTTATTTAATTGACTTAATTTGATTACTCCCTTATGAAAACAAATTTTTATTTTATGTTAAGATTTTTTAGAAACAATTTTTGAATTTGTTTCAATTAGCTTAATATATTTAAAATAGAGCTAAAAAATACGAGGGCTAGTAATAGAATATTTGTTAAAAAAAACTCTAAATCTTTTGAGTTTAATGTAATCATGTTCATTTGATTGCAAATTAGCTCCTCTATCCCGACCCCAAAGGAATACTTTGACTTACCATCAATTTATATTCTGTGTATTATATACATAGTGATTCAAAGCAGCATCTGCTCGTAAAAATAAGATGAGAAATTCGTATTAATATCGATTCACAAATCCTTCTATAGGAAAATACGGGGTGTTCGATTTTCCAAAAAAAAATGTGTCAAACCTTTTATATCATCCAAATTGGTACAGATTTTTAAACAACACTTGGTAGACAGTATGGCCATATAAACTGGTACAACCTGTATTTATGTCGAACTTTCTAATCAACCAGTATCGCAGATACAGGCAAACAGTACAAGTAATTTAGGAAAAATGACAGCAACAATAATAATAAAATTATGTTTGTAATATACATTGATCCGTTTACAAATACAACAAGCTATATTAAAAACACTACAATGAGGTAGATTTAACCTGACCTTTCTCTCAACCATTACAATACATATACTGACTAAATCATTCCTACTATTTCTATATCAAATTGTGTTATAAAAGTTGGGCGGCATTTTAAAGAGTTAAATTTTGTGCAACAGACAACAGTTGTCAAGGGTTATAGTTCGTAAAAATTTTTAATCGACCAATTTCTTCAATTTCAGAAGTAATCTGTTGGTGCCACATTTTTTTATAAATGCAGTTGGTCATATTTTTTTATAAAATAGAAGAAAAAAACAATAATATAGTTGTGTGTCATCAGCATATAAGTCTGATTTACATTATGACAGGAGGGTATAAATTGTGAAAAATAAGGGACTTAAAGCAGACCCTTGTGGCACTCCGTTATTAACTACTTGGTAATGAAAATACTGATTTATTGTTTACAACACATTGTTTCATGCCGGTAACATAGTTTGCAGTTAAAGAAACTGATTCATTATTGAAACCCATATTCATTCTAAGAAACAGATTATTAATCCTATCAACCCATTTACTATAGTCTAGTCATACCAATACAGTTAACTTATACATATTTTAGTTATCAATAAAAATTGTCTCTCAAGACTTTTTCATATCTGTCATCGTTTCATCTGAAATTTTTCACGATGTTTTTTAAACTGAGTAGAAATAATAAAATTAAATTAAATGAGTCAACACTGTGTGTCTTCCAAACTAGACTATTTACAGAATAAATTTATAAAAAAAATAATTTTAATATTTTTTTTTAGTTACAACTTTCGATATTGAGTAAACTTTTTTGTTTATATTCGACGTTTAAATAAAGAATAATTATTCTGTGTTTTCGTAAGGAATAATTTGCAGGTCTTTATTGATATGAACCGTACATCTTATTTTTTTAAAAGGATTACATCCCTAGACAATTGAGCTTAATTTTGAATCACCGTGTATTTACTCAGTAATTGGATTTCTACTAAAATAGTAACTAACAAGGCTCTTATTATTGTTGTTATTGTTTGTATTTAAGACACGTCTTCTTCTCAAATTTGTTTTGATATCAGTTAGGTCAATTCGATGTTGTAGAACTAAACACGGACTGCTATTGGCGTTTATTTCATTTTGCTAGGTTTTTCATTTGTTAATATTTATTGTACTTTTTTAAAATTGAAATAATAATACTGACATATGTTGCGTTTAATAAAAAATGTAACACATAGATGTGTGATTAAGTAATTAATATTATTTCTTAAAGCCGAAATACTATGAGGATTTACCTACATCTATAAATAAAAACAGAACAATTAGTAGAGCATATTCTAAACTTCGGAAAATGAAGGACGGCTTAATATTGTTTGCCAGTGGGGAATATTCAGCAAACTTATCCCAAAATTTATTAAATGCCGCCAGCAAATAGGTACTAAAAAGGAAAGTTTTACTCCCTTTAATATAATTTGATGAGAACACATACTATATGTATAAAGCATATTATGTAAGTACTAGTAGGTATATTAAATCCAAGTACCGTAATTACAAATTAACGAGGATACGGAGATATTAACTTGAAATAAATATACAGGGTGTTCGGTGGTCCAGACTACCAGCGTATAGGAGATGTCAAAATACTACTAGGACGTCCTATATTCTTTTTTTTTCTAATGTTCCTTCTAATAGAGGTATCGACATCGACCCCAAAGAGGTACCTATAAATATACATTTTGAGTTCTAAAATTGAAATCCAAGGTATCCAAAAATGGATTGGTTCCAACAAATATATTTTTTTTAATTTTCGTCATGCTAGTCAAACTAAAAATATTATTTTTAGACATTCTGGTGTTTGGTATATTTAACTTTGCCAAGTCCAAAAACCTTAGATAGGATTGGTCATAACTTAACAAGTTAAAGATTAAAAATTAACATTTACGTAATTATAAAAAATGAAAAGAAGGTGATAAGTGTTCAAAATTACAATTTTTGACTCTATACGAATATTTTTAATAACAATCCAGGATTGTTTTGAATATAATTGTAGTTCTGTGTTATTCTCAGCGAAAGTTTTTTATATTTATGAGTGTTGAATCAATGAGTTGTTTTGGATGACCCAACAGAAAAAAGTATAATGGATTTAAGTCGGGCGAGCTGTGGACATAAAACAGGTTCGCGTCGACCACGAAAACCATTTGATAAATGTTGATTCACTAAAAGATGAAAATGGGGTTGTACACAATCATACGTATAACTCATTTTGAACTACTTATTAGTAAATGTTTGTTTTCAATCCTTAACTTGTTTTTCAAATATATTTCTAAAGATTTTAAACTTAGTAAAGTCAAAGTAAATTCATTGATTTGTAAAAAGTTAAACCTTAGTTGTTGCTGTTTTTGTTCTAATTATTTTTACAATTGATTAAAAAGAACGGATTTTCTCAATAAATAATATTTTTATTTCGGCATCTGTGAAAATTTAGAATAAGTAGATATTTGATGAACATTAGGAAAATAATTACAAGGGGTGGTAGTGTTATTTTGCATTCTCTATACAGTCCCGAGAAATTAGTAGATATTGACTGGACACTCTGTATATTCAGCAAGAATAAACCAATTATTTTCTTACCAGTAAAAGTTACCTTTTCTTTTCAACTTAACAACAAAACTTTAAAACAAATTTGCAGCATTTTTCACTTCTAATACCGTATAAGAGAAAAGTACATTTTCAAATTTATTTAAGCAGAATAGAGATAGGCAAATTTCTATTACTCTAGTGCATGCCTTAACATTAATAACTTAATAAAATCTACTTTAACGGAGATTATAATAAATAATAAAAATACTTTACCCGACGGATCCTGTAATAGTATAATAAATCTGGAGAAGCCCAATGCTGAGCAATAGCAAAACCATGGCGAGATTTTTAACAAATTAGAATTTTTGTCACATAACTAACATTTTACTTTATTTTAGTCAAATCAAACCAAAATCGAAAAAATAATTAAAAATTGTTTAAACCTGAACAGGACAGAAACAAGTACATATGTTAAGTAAATAATAGTATAATTTTTAAAATTATATTTAAGTTCATCATTTTAAAAATATTTTTTATCACGGTGTCACATTTTACATATCACAATATTAAATTTACGGTTTATGGCAAAGGTTATCTTATAGATTTAAGGACAGTTGGCGTTGTTTTAGTCGTCGGAGGATGCACGTATATTTTTAAGGACTAGCCACTGTTTGTTATTGTAAATATAAGAGATTATAAAGGAGATGTAAACCGCTCTACATTTCTGACGTTATCAAATGCGGTCTGGCCTAAGAGCGCATGCGCTCGTTTATTCCTCCTCTTCGCTGTCCGTGGATGCTGTGAGGCTCCCAAGTCGATACATCTCCCCAATCTCTATTTTACACCTGCCCATTGCGGTTTTACGTTTTCCGATGGAAATTTCGTTTTTTAATGAGGGAAATCGTGCCCGATCCACCACCAAACCACCTGGATTCGAAGAACAATTAATTAGTTTCGACAAATTATTATTGAAGAAAATAAACAGATTCTTAATTTGTCTCAACTACATAAGACAAGTTAAAACTACAAAATGAACAAATACAATTAATCAAATGAAGTTAAAAAATATTGACACGTTAATGAGAGGCTTAAGAATAATTTTAGCTAAAATTACTAGTACCTTATTTTTGAAGGTATTATATTTATTTTTAAGAAACACGTATAGTATAAAAGTTCTGCCTCTTGGGCATTTTGGAATGTTCTTTACGCAATTGAAATACTTGTGTAATAGTTTATTGGAGAAAAAGACCTTGCTTCTAGTTCTACTTTTGGGATAGTTGTGGAAATTGAACTGCAGTATGATAGGTTTGATCGCCCAAACATACTTGTTTGGTAAATCTGCATTGAACATTTCCTATAAGGTTGATATCATCAAGAAAGGCGACCATATCATAGTATCATATAAGCTAATATTGGATATAAATAGCAAAGAGAATGGACTAAGACTTGATTCTTTTTAATTTTGAAAATCTGGCCCAAGAGAGATCAGAAGTTGTTGTCACATCCAACTCATTCAGTTCCTTTACTTCGGGTTTTATCAATGGTGTAAGAGTGGTGAGAATTATTATTACACATGTACCTACAGAACATATACGTATATTTGAGTTTAGTGGAATGAAAACACTTAATTTCTATAAGATTGCTTTGAATGATGTACTGTTCTATGGGGTTTCCATATATTTTTTAATGGCTCGCATAAAAATTATGAGGAATAATAATAATAAGGTAATCAAGATATGCTGAATACAACAGAAACGGAAGTGGCCCAAGAACAGATCTTTGCAATACACCAGATAGTACCTGAGGGAAAGAAAAAAGGTCTGACGGAGTATGTTCTATTGTTCAAATAGCTAAGAATCCTCGAGTTTATTAGTGCGCGAGATCCCAAGTGGTCTGTATCTGGAGATACTGTACAAAGTTTTGCAGAAGTCTAAGTGAGAAACGTCGATAAGATTTCCATGATCAAAATCAAGCTAACACTGATTTAAATAAGGGCTGACATACCTTGTAGGTTATATCGTACCACATCTACAAGTAACTTTTTAGAGCCCATGTTTGTAACTTCATTCATTAAATACAATCAACATTATTCTGTTAAAACCAAATTAATCGGTGTTTAATATTTCGTTTCACAATATTGGTAATATTTAGAACTACATACATTTGTAAACAATAAGTAAGATATTGTCACAAAAGTTCACACATGTAGTGACAGACTTTGCTACATTATTGTTCAAAAATGTGACAAAACCTACTAAAATTATGGTTGATACTCTATATTTATGCACATAATCAGAAGGCAAATGTCGAAGTTTAAAGGTTAACACAACAATTGTACGAATCTCTGGAACATTTTCTGTGAAGAATAAAATAGTCGAACATATCTTAAGCTTCGAAAAATGAAAAACAATTGTATATTGATTACCAGTGAACAATGTTTACCAAACTTATCCCAAAATATAAAGCCGTCATAAATGTTTACAAACCACGTGACCTCCGAGCTTAGACAACCAACATTGCACGGCTGGTACTGTCAACTAAAAATCCCAACGTCACCAATATTAATGACTCGTTTACAATGAACAATGACAAACCGTTATATCTACGTTCGAGATAATGCGATCGCTGATAAATTGAATTGAATCTCATAAAAAGTTACAGCAATCAATAGCCGGTGAAACAAAATGTTGTGTTTTGATGTAATCTTGATCTTATTTTTTTATTGAAATTTAATTTATTGCCAAAGTGAAGAAAGTGCAATTATTGTTCCGAAACTGGTCACGTGACTTGTAATCATTTAAACTCTAATAGGTTGCAGCAAATAGGTAAAAGGAAACAAAAAAAACATGTAGTATTGTACTTTTTATTAAGTACAATACAAGTTTTAGTAAGTAGTAAGGTAAGTCAATTTTTTAAAACTATAATGACGTAATACTAAATTGAATGTCATGATAATGGAAACATATATACAAAATATTTATGCACCAATTTTCCAAAAATTGTATTATATTTTTTTATATCGAAAATCTAATGACATTATTCTGTACCTCTCAAAATGTCCACCTATTAATTTCTATACCTTCTATATATGTATATACTTATTTTTATATCCATATGCAAATTTAAATTGTAATAGTTTAAGGATTTCATTTTCAAGTTATCTGATTTAAAACTTATAAAGAAAACAGAATTATCTAATAACAATGCCAACAGTATTAACAATCTCTCTAGATTCACAAAAATTATTTAATTAATTTTATTAGCTTTATACCCACCCTTTAAGCAAAAGTAGAGAAATATGAAACTGTATTTGATAACTCGGATATCAAATGAGTATTTTCAAGTCTGACCCAGATTGTTCTGATGATCCAACAAGAATGAGAAAAAACTAATTTTGCGTTTTCTTTTAAATCTCTATCCTTACACATTTTATCGATCAGATACCCTTAGAGTAAGGATTGCATAAACAAATAATTTCAGACTTGAGTAAAACTTTCTCTTATACCTAGACATAAGGCAAACAAATCTGTTTTTATTTACTTACCTTAGAAAAAACAGAAATTCCTACACGTACCTTTTTTAGCATAGGCAAAGAAACATCCAAAGGGCACATTCTAAAGTTGTAGAATATTATACAGTGCCTTCATAAATGCTCAAGTCTTGACGCACCAGTAAACTTAGTTTTCTTAAGTTGGTGTTTCAGAAATTAACAAGGAAAAATTACCAACTAGGACCCTAGATGAAGCGTCAATTCAAAGGCGTTCGTATTAGTTTTTAAAAAATTAATAAAACAATGAAACATTTTTTACTTTATTAATATTATTTTTATCACAGAAACATTTTCTACTTTATTAATATTATTTTTATTATCTCTGAATGTAAGTGGATACAAAAGAGCCCATTTTTTTAAAAGGCAATCTTCTTCATAGTCCACGGGTCCACGTACAAAGAAAAAAATGATTACCAGCAAGCTGTAACTTTGCGTGCAGCTTAAGTTTGACGAGTCTCCCAAGATTTGACTATGAGGAAAATTCAACAGTGGTAAGTTTTCCCGTGATTTTCAGGAAAACATGTCAATCTGGCATAAACATGGAATGTTATGACCAGCACTTTTTTTT